CGACGTGATCGAGACATCGACATTGTGCCCATTTTTTTCCGGCATAGACAAAAAAAAATTTTGGATCTCTCGATTGCTCTTAAAATGAAATTTTGACACTTTTTTTGGTGGTTTGTCAGTCTGTCGGAAAGTTATGTGGATTCAGTACCTACAATTTTGTCGCCGACGTTGGGCATAATTTGAGTCAGCTCGCGTACACTAGCGCTTGTAAATTGACATTTACGATAAATATCTTAATAGCTTTGTCAAAAAACTAACAAAGAAAGCACTTTTATGGGGGCTCCTACTTTTGGGGCATTTTTCACCCCTAAAAACCTAAAATGCGCAGCTAATTTTTATATATCCTTGATCAGCACATTTTTTTTATTTTTTGAGATATGTCCCGTCTAAAAGTAGGAGCTCCCATAAAAGTACTTCCCTTGTAAATTCACAAGCCTGAACAGGCAGAAAGTCTGTCCTCCTTACCCAGTCTGTCTACACGGCAAGTGCTTCAAGTGCGACGCTTCAGATTTTGAACAAAGCTTGCCCCAACTTACGAATAATTTTTTGGGACACGTCAAATGTCAAATTAAAAATGCAACTAACGCCTTCAAGACCGCTATTCTTGTACCTTTCCCAACAGAACAGCTTTTATAACACAATAATAAAAAAAGAGAAAATTGAACGGAAAACCCAAACGCATACCAGCGCTGGGCTCCGATCAAATGCCGTCCACTTCGCTGGGATCGGAGATTTGCGGGGGTCAGCTGATCGGTCATTCGCTCAGGTCAATACGGTAGCGAAAGGAACGAAATACGATCTTTGGTTTGTTTGAACGATCGAGTTTGAATAAAGGTTTATGGCTTTATTCAGAATTTTTTTAATAGAGGAAGGGCTCCAAGTGCAACGCTCAAATTTTGATCACAGTTGTAATAAAATCATATGTGAATATTTCTTTTATACATATCCAAGATTGCAGGCTCGCTCTTCGCAGAAAAAGCGGTGAGATTTGTGGTTTTTAGATTGAAAGTTGGTACAACTTTAACACTTGTTCGCGCCATTGCTCATAAATAATTTCACAGGGGAAGCTGCCGGGCTTTCCAAAAGTGGGCCTTCATTTTCAAGCCTGGGCTCAATTCAATTCAATTCAATTCAATTCGATTCAATTTACTTCACTAATCACATGGAAAAACCATGGAGTGAATCAGTATGGTTTCTATATTGTCCGGTCAATGCAACATCATCCGATCGGGTGTGTGTAGGAGGTGTCCATGCAGTAGCATCGCTACCAGAACTGAACAGTACATATCCCGAGATTAACTCCACCGTTTCCTTTTTCCACCGGTTTCTCGAACTGCTCCAATTTCCCCCCGCTTCGGATTGATCAACATTGACTGTACCAACTCGAAATCCAATACGATTGATAGCTACTGCCCCAGGCAAAGCCCTTTGTGCCCGCGACGGCATGGGTGGACAGGAAAAACCGACCGCTTTCCGAGGAGAAAGAAATCGGAAATTCCAAGCCTGGGCTGGCCTAGTTTATTTATCGTTTCATTTTGCATCCTTGCGCCCAAAACCGGTCAGATAGTGTTGAAAAATCCCGCCGGAAATAGTCGTTGAATATCTCGACTGTTTAATTTTTACATTAGCATCCAGACGGCGTCTGCAAGTACTTGGCTAAAGTCTCTTTTTTTTCAACTGCGGTTGCAAAGCTGACCACTAGAAGTTGTTGCATTGTACATATATTATGCTTAAAAGATTTAAAAAATGCTTTCCTCCCCAAGTTCCTATTTTTTATTACATCCTTGCTAGTTTATTGGCCACATTTTCCATTTCCGAATGTCCATTGTAACGGCATGTGCGAACGTTAAGTGTTCACAGAATGCTGATGTTTGTTTGGACGTTCGTAATTGCATTATCGCTTGCCCTTCCCGTCCCAAGAAACGCTACTCCAATCAAATTATCTGTTTTTCCTGTAGGGCGCTTGTACTTTAATTTGATTTTGTTTTCAGTCAAAATTACCAAACTTGTTCGGCGGCTGCAAGAAACGGTCGGATGTCCTTATCATATATCACAAAATGACGGATCGAAAGAGAATGCAAGAAGTTTTCTGTCTGTCGGAAAATTAATGTGGATTTGTTGCAGCAAAATGCCGCCGTCGCACACCAAATTCCCAGCCGCGACTGACCGGGCAAAGCCCGACGAATCCACATTATTTTGCCGAAATAGTGGATATATACGTACATTATGAAGTTGGCTTCCGTAAAAAAAAATTGAAAGCGGGTCATCGTTATGACGGTGTGGATTTGATGAACTTATTTTGCTAGTTGAGATCAGCATTGCCGCAGATTTTTGCACGGAATTCGATCCTTTCTGGGCCCTTCAAATGAATACTTTACTTTACAAATTTTGGTGTATCAGTCTGTCGGAAAAATAATGGGCACTTTGTCCCATCGAAAATCCCATCGCCGCTGAGAAAATGAATTGTGCCGCGACAAAATAAAATTGCTTTTCACTTCAGCGACACAATATGTAGGCGCAGCGACATTGTGTTCATTACTTTCCGGACTGACTGATATTGTACATGAAAATATTTTTTGGCTAAATGCTTTACATAATCGTCTTTCTATGTCTGTCTTTCTCTAGTTTGTCGACCCCTGGCTTACGATATTCGTTTTATGACTCATTGTCAGCAAGGACGCCTTGTCTTTGGCAAACAAAGAGAGTACAGTGGGACGCTCAGATATGTTGCCGAATTTTGCATATCAGCTACCTCGGCTTACAAAATTTGGCTTTAAGAGTTGAAGTCAGTGTTACAGTTACAGCAATTTCATCGTTGATTTTTCGGTGTAATCCATGCACACTCTCAGAAGATGCCACACAACCAAAGAGCCGCGACTCGCGCTTGTCGCTATCTCAGTTGGTGGTCTTCTCCAAACTCAAGCTACAGAGGTTAAAAAACATTACAAAATGTTTTTTTAACCTCGTAGCACATGTATACGTCAGCCTATGTAATTTTATAAGCCATGTGTGGTCCAGCCGCTTCCCGTTGATGAAGAACAGACAGTGGTCTTTGAACCAAAGTCGACGCTGCAAAAAATGCAATAAAACTTGCGTAGTGATGTGGAAATTGCTGATGATCGAAGTAAAAGTGCAGAAAATTGTAAAAAAACAGTGATATTTGTAGCCGTTTTTTTTGCGATCCCACCCAGATTGATTGATTGGTCATTTTGGAAAAAAGTTTGTTTTCTTTTCTGCAGAAAAAGTGTTCCGCGCACTTATAATAAATTTTTAATCTGTCGGGAAAATAATGTGGATTTGTTGGAGCAATATGCTTTGCCTCGTCGTAGTCGCACAAAATCAATAGTCGCGGCTAGTTGTCGCAAAGTGATAAAGGGTGATTTCAAGACGCGACAAATCCACATTACTTTTCCGACAAACTTATACATATTATATTTATTATACCTTCAACGTATTCAACATCAGTCTTAACAGGCTGCGAAGGGACCACACTGGAGGCTCGAATGCACTATTGTAGACATGAGTAATGAGCGTTCAAACGCCCATTACTTATGTCTACTGTCAGCGCGCTTAAAAAGTCGTTGGATCAATATGAAATTTGGTTTGAAAAAAATCAATCGTTTTAAGGACACTGGCCGGATTTTCACCATGATCTTTGCAGAAAATGGCTAAATAGTTACGACCAAAGTTAGCGGGAATTGGCCGCACTATTTCTGATGAGCTGGAAAGGTCACAAGGAAATCGCTGGATTAAAATTTTTGATGATACTACAAGACACATATTTAAACAGGATTTTTTTTTGAAAGATGGGAAGTTTTCGTCACCCGTGTTTTGTAAAACGGCCATAAAACTGTGAAAAATAGCGCCAACCTTGAGTCAGATAATTACAGCCAAGTTGACAACCTCCGACCTTGAAACATCCATGCTGGCCGAAAAGTTGAAGCTAACAAAAGAAGGACTCCAAAGCTCAGATTTTGGTGAAAATTAGCACAAATTAATAGCAATGTTTTCTGTGATATGTGCGACATTTCTAGCTTGCTCTTTGCAGAAGATATGGAGATTTTTAGACAAAGATTTGGCGAAAATATGACATCTTTTGCAAATTTTGGTATGAAAATTGTCATTCTTATTCTTAGGAATTGATATGCGGCCTATACCCGACGTATGTGCAAAATTAAAAGAAAACCTGAGCGTCGTACTTAACAACCTTCTATTGCAAATTCATTTCAGCAAGACATGATAGCGGGACATCACTGAATTCACTTTCGTTCATGCCCTTATTTCTGTACTTTTCGCTTTTTTGACATGGCAAAAAAACTTCTTCATGTCCAAAAAAAGCAAAAATAAAAGTGCGTTGCACTTTTATCTACCGCCACAAGAAGTCACACCTCGCATCCATCATGGTTCACCTTCTTCTGTACGCAATTACAAAAAATACAGTGTAATTTGAAACTTTGAAAAAACTTCGGTGTGGTCTTTAAGCCTCTAGCTGGCTCTACAAACTGCGTATCACCTGAGTCATCATTGGAAACCACTCAAATTTGTCGACCCAACTTTTTTGATTGTTTTTTGCCCGACTTTGACCGCGATTCCTTGTAACACAGTTCCTGGTTTGTTCGCGAAACGTGTTACAGTTTAACGGCAACTGTCACAAATTAGCCTCAGTTCCCTATAAAGGTTTGTGACTTCCCCGTCTGTTACTGTTTTCGGGAACCTCTCTCTTGTCTAATTCGTTGTTTCCCAGAAGCAAAAAAACTTTTGATGGGGAGAAGAAGTGAAGGGGAAGTTCCTCATTTCATCGATAACGCGTTGATGGGAGGAGAAAAGAGACGTCTGAGCAGGCGGTATAAAAGGCAGCCTTTGAAGGAGAGAACATCAGCCGGAACAAAACAAGCTATTTCAAAAGTTCTAAACGTTTACAGTAGCTATCATATTACTGTAAATTTCTAACTACTCCTGCGGAAAAGACTCCTACTTTGACTAGAAATCTCTAACTAAAAATGTCGACTTTATTGTGCTGTGGATCCTTGGATGAATCCGTTGTTGGATTCGTCGATTCTCAAGGCTGGGCCGTCAAAACTATCAAAGTTCTGGGCCAAAAATTCCGAGCTCCAAAGCCAGCTGTCCTCGACTTCTTGAAGGCCAACCGAATCCTTGTTCAATTCGTCAAGGTCGGTTCAATGGATTATTTGTCGTTGATGGACGTTCTGGAAGAGTTGATGAAGCCAGACGGCCGAATTGACTACGCCATCAACAACATGGGAAATGACTTTTGGGGACCGGACTCACTCTTCAACGTCATTCACGCCAAGACTACAATGGCTCAAGATCAGTTGGTCAACTACTCCTTCCTCTACTCTCGGACGTTGGCCGAGTTCACCGAGACTCCAGTCTACATTCTAAGCCCGGGAAAAGAATTTGGAATCCAATCGGTCCATTCAGCGTTCCACGATGCCTTGAAGTCAGTGGAAGTTGTCTTGAAGAGCATGGAATTCGATGTGAAGTTGGTCACGTGTTCTAGATGCTCCTCGACGAAGAACGAGCTAATGTTAGAGAGCATGGGAGAGATTGAGGTCGATAATGGACAATTCAATGAGATGTTGAGCATTAACAATGGCCAGTTCAATGAGATGCTCAGTGTGAACAACGAGCAGTTCAATGAGATGTTGAGCATCAACAATGGCCAATTCAATGAGATGTTGAGCATCAACAACGGCCAATTCAACGAGATGAAATCGCAGAATCAAATCCGAGCCCATCTTTAAGAATTAGGCTTCTATATTAACGCTGATACTTGTGCTCTGATGTTGCAATAGCTTTCATTTATTATCGTTCGTCTGTATGATTTTACTTTAAAATGCTTAATACGGGTAAAAAAATAAATTAATTGATTACAATACTTTTCGGAAGTCGTTTCTTTGACCATCAGAAAGATAAGATCAAAAAAAAGCCTTCAAAAGTGTAACGGGTTGTGAAGCGGCTTACTCATTTATTTTGCCTTACACTTCAGACCAAACTAGAGTAAGACAATGTCTAGTTTGGATAAGACGGGTCCTCTTCGGTGGGTACAAAGCAGAAAAAAAATTGGTCGATTTCTTGTTTGATCTGACAAAAAAACGTAAACTTTTTTCCAAACATAATCATTATGAAGCTTTGAAAATTTGTTGAGGTTTAACCGGTAAAAATTATAGAAGAAGATTTCAAGAGCATAGGCCACATATCAGGCCCTGAAAGTTTCAGCGACATTTCTGGGACAGTCGAGATTTTTACTTAACGGTCTTACCGGCCGAGAGAGAACAAGAAACGCGAGAGTTGTTATGTTCATTTTTAGGCCATATCTATGCTAGTTGCGTGCGAAAGGAATCGGTTTTTTTGTATCGAAACATTACTTTTACGGTAGAAATTGGCATGACTTTCAAGCCAAAGTTCGGTAGAAAGTGTTTTTTGTTTGCCAACTTTCAACCTAAGAATCTCGGTCATTTAAAGTACCAGGGCTCTCGTATTTGTCCTAGAAAAAATTATTCTAAATTTGTGCCAAGTTTCATCAAAATCTGAGCGTCCAGCTTTGCGTACTTCCCTTGTTATAGTTGACTTTTTTGAATAAATTACTGGACAAAAAGCCATTTCAGAAGTTCAGAAGCCTTCCTGTTTGGATCCGCTTCACCCCGTCACAACTCCCGATTTTAAACTCACTGTTTTTTTGCAAAAAATCCCTTCTCTGCAAAATAATCTAGATTCGGTTGCAAAAAGAGCTTTGAGCGCTGAAATTCGTTGCTAATTGAATTAGTGAGAAGCTTGTCGTACTGCTCGGCTACGGAAACGCGTTTGGAGAAGGTTGTTTACTCCAAACTCAACAATAAGGAACTTGAAAATTAAATTACAGTAAGCGAAAACAAGGAACAACAACATGAAATTGTCTATGACAGTTTATCATTTATTTTGATTTATTTTACATGTACATATTACTGCAATGATATTCACATGCACTTAAGGATCTTTTTGAAGGAACCTATGGGCCTTTTCAATGTTATTAAAAGGTTGGCAATCTCTAAGATTAGAAAAAGTAATCATATTTTAAGTCTTCTCCAAGACTCCTTCCAAGCCTTTGCCGAGAGTTCGCAAAGCTTCCAGCGGCTTTCTTAAGCCCCGTAGGCCTCTTCTACTACTTTTTTCTGGACTCTGCTTGCCTGTTCTACGTCTAGTACCGATCGATTTTGTGTTGACCCAAACTATGGTCGACTCGAAAGGAAGGATCGCAAATAAACCCATATGTTTTATCTGGATATTCTTGCAGTAATACATGTAAATATTATAATACAAAATAGGTTATAAACTATCCTATGACCAGATCAACCTTAATAATTCTACTAGCTAGTCTTTCGCCAAGCCTCTACCAATTCATTTACCGACAAACCAAAGCAAACCCAAGGTATGGTCGACCTGAAGTCATAGCGCTAATTTCGTTACTTTCTCTTCTTTCGAAACAAAACACGGTACTATAATATAATAAGCATATGCAAACTACAGGGCACCACACCTTTGGGACTTAACGCACCCACGTTTACGCGTTATCAGCATAAACTCGAAATCGTCGATCAAAACAGCTGATATCATCACCATAACAGACATGTGACCTCGTTTTGAAAAGGCTCACAGCCCCGACTTAAAATACAACTCTGATCTCGTTTGGTGATTCACGCCTCATGTTACGGAACCCCAACAAATCTGGGGTATTTAAATAACAAAAAACGATCAAACCCTGTGAAATAACAAACGAATTTAGAGGTTCAGTTTGATGTGCGCTTTCAGTCAAACAACATGTTCCGTTATGTAATCTGGCTTTTATTTGTACTGAGTGATTTCACCGAGGGTAGTAAATTCACCGTCGGTTTGAAGAGGCATGAGAAGAACAAAACGCAAAGTGAGTTTCTGGGGATCTGAGAAGCCGCGGATGGGATAGTAAAAGATGGCCGACAAAGGATTTATATGCTTACAAGGGAAGGTAACTAACAAGGGAAGTACCCCAAGTGCGACGCTTAGATTTTCTTTAAAATTTGCACACACGTTGAGTATGGTCTAAGCATTAATTCCTGAAAGTTTTAGCTCGCGCTTTGCAAGTGCAGCCGAGATATGGAACGATTTTTGCCACCGAGAGAGCACGCTAAACGTGGAGAGCGGACAGTGAGAAAACACCCTTTTGGCCAGAACTTTGGCAGTTTCGAGCGGAAAAATTTGATTTTTTGTAGAAACATTGCCCTTTACGGTTGAAATAGGCAGGAAACTTTTCGAGCCGAAATTCGGCAAAAAGTCCAATTTTTTGGCCGACTTTTGATCTAAAAATATCGGTTGTTTCTGCAAAGCGCGAGCTAGGATTCTCGCATATATCTTAGAAAAAAATATTCAAAATTTGTGCCAAGCTTCATCAAAATCTGAGCGTCGCACTTGGGGTACTTCCCCTGTAAGTGTCACCCTCGGATTTTCTTTGAATTTTGCGCACACTTCGGACATAGGCCACATTTCAGCTTCTGGAAAACTTTAGCTCGCGTTTTGAAGGGGCGCCAGAGATATTGGACAATCTTTTCGGCCAGGAGAATATGCGAAATGCGGAGAGCGATTAGAGCAAAATTCATTTTTAGGCCATATTGTTTCCAGTTTCATGCTGAAAAAATATATTTTTTTTGGAGAAACATTATCCTCTACGGTTGAAATTTGCTTTCTTACTAAACTTTTTTTACTAAAATTCGCAAAAAACGTCGTATTTTTTTCAATTTTGAAACTACAAATTCTGCGAAGCGCAAGTTGGGAGCCTCGAAGACACTTAAAACACGATTTCTGAGTCACTGGATCAGCCATGGACATAGGAAAAAATCGATTTTGAGTTTTTGATTTTAAAATGACTGTAGGCATCCTATAAACATAATGCTGAAATATTTTTGCCCAATTCCTTCGTTAACCTACTGTAATTTACAATTTAATGCTTTTAGAGTAATCGACCATTACAAGAAAACTACTGATTAGAAATGGCTGAAATTGGCAATACTTATGTTTTAGGCCATGCCCGTCATAATAGACATAGAATTTTGGCAGTCGGGTTACTGTAACATACCGCAATATAGGTACGGCCGCACAAAATCGGCCATAAAAAATTTGTTTCTGAAAACCCGCAGCTGATTTTTACATATGTTAATCAGCGTAAAATTCTGCCCTAGAAACATTAAAAAAAAGTGTAAAAAACCATGATCCGTTTTTCGTGGTATAGTGGATTTTGGCCAAATTTAGTAATCCAAGGGTCGCGAGTTCGATCCCCGTGGAAGCAAAATCCGTAATACCGCCCAGAACCATAAAAAATCAATTGGGCTGAGTTGTATAGCATACACGGGAAGCATAAAAACCTTTATAAAAATTGATTTGCAATTTTGAAAGCATTTTTTGAAGATGACATCAGAATTTTGTTTTTCGTGGATTACGGTGCAAATTTAGTTTAGGAATGTTGGTAAAAATTACTGTATAAAGGTTTTCAAGCCTTCTAAATTCAATGGGACAAATTTTTCGGGCCTAGGATTACTGTAACATGGAGAAAACAAATTTCGGCCGCTAAAAATCGGCCGTAAAAATGTTGTTTTCAAAAAAACGCCATTCATTCTGCGATTTTTGGAATCAGCGTGAAATTTGGCTCTAGAATCATTACATACTGTACCTTAGTTGACCGTTTGAATTTTACAGAATTTTTTTGCCGTAAAATCACAAATTTTGAGGTGAGTGAAGTCATCCGCGGAAATCGAAAAATAAAATCATGAGTTTCTAGGCTAGAAGTATGTACAACCACTAATAAAATATAGCTTCAAAATATTTTTGTTTAATTCCATTGCTAATGCAGTTTTATTTACAATTTTCAAATATGAAAATAATTCACCACAGAGAAAAAAGTATTTGACAACATGACTGTGTTTGGAGTTGATATAGTGTGGAATTGTACGCTGATTCCAAAAATCGTAGAATGAATGGCGTTTTTTTGAAAACAACATTTTTACGGCCGATTTTTAGCGGCCGAAATTTGTTTTCTCCATGTTACAGTAATCCTAGGCCCGAAAAATTTGTCCCATTGAATTTAGAAGGCTTGAAAACCTCTATACAGTAATTTTTACCAACATTCCTAAACTAAATTTGCACCGTAATCCACGAAAAACAAAATTCTGATGTCATCTTCAAAAAATGCTTTCAAAATTGCAAATCAATTTTTATAAAAGTTTTTATACTTCCCGTGTATGCTATACAACTCAGCCCAATTGATTTTTTATGGTTCTGGGCGGTATTACGGATTTTGCTTCCACGGGGATCGAACTCGCGACCCTTGGATTACTAAATTTGGCCAAAATCCACTATACCACGAAAAACGGATCATGGCTTTTTACACTTTTTTTTAATGTTTATAGGGCAGAATTTTACGCTGATTAACATATGTAAAAATCAGCTGCGGCGTTTGAGAAATAACTTTTTTAGGGCCGAATTTGTGCGGCCGAACCCACATTACGGTATGTTACAGTAACCCGACTGCCAAAATTCTATGTCTATTATGACGGGCATGGCCTAAAACATAAGTATTGCCAATTTCAGCCATTTCTAATCAGTAGTTTTCTTGTAATGGTCGATTACTCTAAAAGCATTAAATTGTAAATTACAGTAGGTTAACGAAGGAATTGGGCAAAAATATTTCAGCATTATGTTTATAGGATGCCTACAGTCATTTTAAAATCAAAAACTCAAAATCGATTTTTTCCTATGTCCACGCCTAATTGGCGGCTGATTCAGTGACTCAAAAATCGTGTTTTAATATATAAAGCGGGAGATAAAAGATTTTCTGAAAAATTTTTGAAATTTTTCTGTTTTTACTTTTTTTTTAAAAAAAAAGTAAATTTTCAGTTTACTTCAAGGAAAATGCAAAAGAAAGTCAATTTTGTTTCTGGCTTTCCGACTTCAAGGTCGGGAGTAGGACCGGATCTTACTCCCCGCTCGTAGTCGCCGAAAGTCAGAGCTTGTTTTTACTTTATTCCTCTTTTTGGCCCCGCACTGCAGGTTGCAAGGTTGATGCCAAGTCTTTCCCTGATGTGTCAAGTTTTTCTCTTCCGAAAAAATTATTTTTACGTTTGTGCGACGTTGTGAAGTATGTTCTCCACGAAGATGGGCTGGAAAGTGATCAAGTAAGTTAGCATTGGCAAGAGGAGATGTACGTTTTTCATTTGACATCAAAAATTTCCATTTTATTTCAGAGAAAGGTACAAAATTTTTCCAATTCGTAAAGCTTCATGACCATGGATAATGTAAGTGAGATTATCTCCTTTTTTGCTACGACGTCAAGATTCTAAGTCGGGAAACGTTTAGAGGAGACCCCACTCTCATGTATATTCTCCATGTATGAAACCCCATAACGTAAAAATTTCAAATACTGTACTAACTTTCCAAAAGTATGTTATACTAAAGTAAAACCTATGCAAACTATCTTCAAGTTATTGTAACAACGTTATTTGAGCCTTATTACGTTATTACCTCAGTTTAGAACGCATTCGTGGCAAAAATCCGGCAGATCTGAGCGGATTTCGATATTGTACATGACACCTAGAAATCGAATTTGGTGGCGTTTGATAGATAGAGTATATAACAAAACTAAAGTGAGGTGTCCTCTAGAACTCGCCAGCCTAGAACTGTTAACTCCAATAACGGAACAAAAAACGCGATAAGCGCACTTACATTATCCATGGTCATGAAGCTTTACGAATTGGAAAAAATTTGTACCTTTCTCTGAAATAAAAGGAAAATTTTTGGTGTCAAATGAAAAAAGTACATCTCCTCTTGCTAATGCTAACTTACTTGATCACTTTTCAGCCCATCTTCGTGGAGAAAATAGATTCACAACTTCAAAAAAAATCAAAACGTTTCTTCCGGGAGAGAGAAATTTGACACATCTGGAATTCCCGGGCGCAGCTCGCAAAAATAGTTTTGAAGAAAATAAATTGGCGCGCAGGTGAGTAAAAACGGCATCCTACTCACCAGCCAAAATGGGCGAGCCATTTTTGTTTCAACTTTCCGGATCGACCTTTTAGCGAGCCATTTTTGATCCAACTTTCCAAAAATTTGTCGTTCGGAGTAAGAATGTTTTTTGACTCTCCGAAATCGAAAATTTCCGGAAATTTTTCAAAATTTACTTTTTTTTTAAAAAAAAAGTAAAAACAGAAAAATTTCAAAAATTTTTCAGAAAATCTTTTATCTCCCGCTTTATATTTCAAAAAGTTTGTGCCAAGCTTAACCAAATTTTGAGCGTCGCACTTGTAGAACTTCCCCTGATAGGAAATTATCGCGCAGGCGCTTGATTCCAACTTCATACTAACAAAGAAAGCAAAAATCAGTGTTTAAAGAACTGTTTTTTTTGTCTGCCCGACTTCTCTCACTTTGGATGACCTCTTGAATCCATTGATCATGAATTATCATAAATTTCCTTTTTAGTTGTTCGTGACTCCACTGGTTCAACGACAGCTCCTCGGACATACGGCCAGACACTGAGCTCACAGCACAATCTGGAGTATCGAGGTAAGGCGACCAGAATTTGCATTTCATAATTTGGCATACGATTAAGTACAATGTAGTCTAATAATTTCGAATTTTTAGGAATTGTCTCTGTTGGAACGCCACCGCAAACATTTGAAGTGGTCTTTGACACCGGTTCCGATATTTTCTGGCTCCCAGAGCTTGGATGTTCGAGTAGTGGCGTTGATGTGCACGCTTGTGCGTCTGGGGTTGATGTCTACAATCCACAAGCATCGACGACGAGTTTGCAGCTAACGCAGACTTTTCAAATTCAATATGGAACCGGATCAGCTACTGGATATTATTACGATGATGTCTTTAGTGTAAGTCGGCAATTCAGAGAGCTTTTTAACGCCAATTTTTTATGGGAGGGGTTTAATAAAGGGCTGATAGACTCTTACAATGTTAGATACAAATCGAATGACTTTTTCATGTCAAAATTCGCAAAAAAAGCGTCACATTTATGCCGTTTTTCGATAAAGAAATCTCGGTTATTTATGCAAACCACGAGCTGGGAGCCTCGCATACGCAGTAGGAAAAAAATATAAATTTGTGCCATATAACGGTCTATCGGTAAAATAAAGAACACTCTGTCGTTTAACACTCCAAAAAGTTGCTGAAATGAAAAGCAATTTAATTTTGCCGCGACACAATTCATTTTCTTGGCGGCGATGCGATTTTCGCTGCGACAGAGTGCTCATTATTTTCCCGACAGACATATAAAGAAAGCTTTTTCAGTTCGGCGATGCCACACAGCCAACATCTGCCATCTCCGTTGGGAACGTGACGTTCGGCGCGGCTCGCCGAATGACGTTCTCCGATCAAGGCATCCTCGGATTATCCTTTGCCAACGGAAACGACCCCACCCCGATCTTTCAGCTGGCTGTGGAGCGCGGCGTGTTCGAAGAGCCCTACTTCACCGTCTATCTGCAGAAGTGCACACACAACTGCGACGAGGGCGGCTTAATCACGTTCGGCGGGCTGGATAACGAGCACTGTGAGCCGATCGTGGGCGAGACCGCGCTGATTCAGGGAACGCCGTATTGGCTGTTTTCGTTGGATGCGGTGGTGTATCAGAATGTTAGGATTACGAAACAACAAGTAAGATCTGCAAATGGCATCAGTAAGAGTCATATCAGACTGTCGGGAAAATAATGTTGCCTTGAGAAAAATATTAGGTTGTCCCACAAATAATGTCCCTCTTTGAAAAATTTACTTCTGCGACAAAATTTACCGTAATAACAGCAATCTAATTAATCAAAATAATTACCATATGCTTTAACACGTTGATTACAACGTGCCAAGCATTTTTTTATTCCAGTAGTTTAAAAGTCCCGGCATCTGGAGCCGATGAAACTTTTGGAGGCCTTTTCAAGGGCGTCTTAATTGATTAATTTTCTACCACGGATGAAACGTGGTAGATCCTTGGACAGGTGGTAGTCTGCATAGGCTATCTACAGCGAATATACCAGACGAAGAAGAGTTTCGTATCTCGGTTAATTCGGCTTCTGGAGGGTAATTTTTAGAAGGTGAGGTTGCGCGTTTCCGTTAAAAATGTTCGAACTTCTGTGGCGTACCGTGGAAGGCCGATTGTGCAACAAGCTGTCTATGCAGGTACAGTAGGAGGTGGTGTTTACAGTTTGGCCCGGTTCCAGGAAACAGTAATGCATGAATCCCACGTTGCGCCATCAAAAATTGACCGTCACCGTCTTAGAGGAACTAAGACTTTGGGACGTGCTGTGGTGGTACCCCGGATGACCACCTTTGAGAAAATCTTGCCTAGGTGTCGTAGTTGATTCTCATTTTGTCACAAGCTATGATACGATCCAGAAAAGCAGGATCTTAGGCTCGGTAAAGCAAAAAAGCGAAGCCTTCATTCTGGGCCTTGGTCCAATAATATGGGAAGAATTCGTCGAGCTTTTTCTTTAATTTATCGACATTGCACTGTTATCCACCGATAATTTTGATACCACCACATTGCCGGAAAGGCGTCGGACGTAGATTCCATGACTTCCGTCGACCAATGACCTCAGGGTAAATTCGCAAAGCTGGCATGATGTGTTTTTCCTTCGGGGTTCCTGTGGCTAGGTCGAATTTTTTTAAACGCTCGTTTCACCGTGGCCGGACTCACAGCACACTGGTCAAACATGGCGTTGATATTTGGTGTAACTTCTAAAACCTTCATACCCTGTTTTTGCTCCCACAAGTTGATGGCACAAATCGTCCTTTTTTCCGAAATTTTGAAGTGGGGCTAAATTACTGTAATTTCATCGAAATATGGCAGATGACATATTAAACAAAAGCTTGAAATCATGGCTACAAAATGCTAGAATATTACGAAATTTGGTTGTTGCTTACGTTTTTTATAGACCTTTGACTTGACCCCTCTCGAAGAGGGACATTATTTATGGGACAACCTAATATCTCTCTTCGACGCAGTCGCGCATGAAAGACCATCTAGCCGTCGCAAATTTATGATGGTCGAGTCCACATTATTTTCCCGACAAACTGACATCAGCCCGTCGGGAAAATAATGAGCAAAAAGCCGCCGCGCCAATCGCATCGCTGGAGTGAAAAATCAAGTTCATCTTGTCTCGACACAGTTCATTTTCCATGCAGTTTTGGATGTGACATGGTGCTCATTATTTTCCCGACAGACTGATAATAAAAAAGAGTCCAGAAAATCGCTTTTCAAACATCATTTTTAAAATTTCTTTGAGAGCAAGGGTGTCATCACTACCTTTTTCCAGGCAATCGTCGACACGGGCACATCGATCATCATTGGGCCGCAATCCTCGGCCAGCAAGATTCTCCGGCAAATTAACGCTCAGTCGATTGGCGGCGGCAATTACATCATCGATTGCGACGCCCAATTTTCCATCGACTTCACTATCAATGGAAAGGTCTACAGCGTTGAGGCGGACCAACTAATCTTGCAAGATGGCTCAGGGGTATGCACCCTGGCGTTTGGCGCCGATCCCGAACTGGAATTTTGGATCTTGGGCGACCCATTTTTGCGACAGTTCTGCACTGTGCACAATGTCGCAAACAAGACGTTGCAGTTCGCGCCGTCGAAGAATGCGACGCACAATCAAGGCGGCAATGGGAACAGTGGGAATGGAGGAGGCAGCGGGAATGGAGGGGGTAGTGGGAATGGTGGAAATAGAGGCAATGGAAATCGCGGAAGCGGCGAGAATGGAGGCCGCGGTAAGTTTCGGCTAAGTTTCTGACAAAAAATCCGCAATTATCAGTCCGTCGGGAAAATAATGGGGACCCTTGCACGTCAAACTGAGATAAGCTAAAACAGTCCCGTGAATGGTTTGCCAATTTGGCAAAAGAAAGCCCCAAAAAAACGTTTTGTCGGGGAAGAAATGAGGAATTTTTGGGGCGAGAGAGTACGTTTTTGCCCGTGTTTCTGTCTTCTCTGCAAATTCAAGACGAAGTGTAAAAAACCGATAGCGAAGAGTCTATTCCGGTCGCCAGACTCCACAGTTTGACGCGAGTTGTGCTTTGGAATTTCTAATCATCGCTTTGCGACGGGTAGCCAGGGCTGGGGATTTGGTGTGCGACTGCAACAAAACAATATATTTCGCTCCGAAAAATCCACATTATTTTCCCGACAGACCAACGACAAATCCATATTATTTTCCCGACAAACTGGTAATGGTCCTGCGCTTCAATTTAACACCACTTTTTCACATAATTCTTCCAAATTCGGATTGAACTTTTGCATGGTCAACTAAAGTTTTTTTATGGCGCGTTTCAAGAACCGAACGGAAAAAATCGAACTTTTTAGCCTCGAAATAGGCTTTTAGCCATTTCATTTTTGTGACATCTTGGCTACATTGATCCCTCTAATCTATATTTTAGGCCACGGTCATCGCCCCTTCGATCCATTTGCTCCCTGGAACAGCAACAACAACCCCTTCGGCAACTCTCCATTCGGCAATTCGCCTTTTGGCAACTCCCCATTCGGCAACTCTCCGTTCGGTTCCCCGTTTGGCAACAATAACCCGTTCGGTGGACGCGGCAACAATCCCTTTGGAAGCCCGTTCGGATCCTTCGGCAATGGCCCGTTCGCTGGAAATGGCTGGGATTACGGTGACCCGTTCGGACGAGGTGGCGGATTCGGCGGAGGCAATGGCCTAGGGTTCGGGCGGAATTTCGGCTGGTTATTTGGAAACAACCAACCTTTCTTCAGATAAATATGCTATAAAAAAAAGATCATCAAAAAATTCTATTGATATCATAAAACTGTATATTTATTTTTCGGATGCCCTATGATAAACGGTGGTAATATTGGAGCGTCTTTTTGAAAATGCACATCAAAATTTCGGCTTATTATTTATGCAACATTTACAGAGGAAGTGCTCCAAGTGCGACGCACGTCAACCTCAGGAGGTGACCGGATTAGACTCTTCGCTATCGGTTTTTTACATTTCGTCTTGATTTCGCAGAGAAAAAGAGAAAAAAACACGCAAAAGCGTGCTCTCTCGCCCTAAGAATTCCCCATTTCTTCCCCGACAAAACGTTTTTTTTGTGTCTTTTTTCGGCAAATTGCCAATCCATTCACCGGAGTGTTTTAGCTTATTTCAGTTTGACGTGCGACACTCAGATTTTGATGAGATTTGGCACAAATTCAGAGTGATTTCTTGCAAGGCGCGTGGGAGATTTTATAAGCCGAAGGTTAGAAAAAATGTATTATAACACTTTTTTGCGGATTTTGGCATGAAAATTTTTGTGCCGATTTCTACCATAGAGGGTAACGTCATCACATAAAATCATTAATGGCACCGGTAGGACCTAAATTTTGTTTCTTTCTGTGTATTCTGTCAGAAGAGAACATTGTTGAACATCTCGGCTGTCGTTGGAAAACGCGAGCTAAGTTTTTTAATAATCAATATAATCAATATGGTGTCCATGTCGGGCATACTTGCAAAATTTTAAGAAAAACGGAACGTTGCACTTGGATGATAAAGCACTTACATTGCTAGTCTACTTTTTACCGAGAACTCTGTCGAATACATCGGCTGTGCTTTTAATATGAAAGCTTAAATTTTCTTGACAAGCTTCAAATACGGTCTCCTTACCATCCTCAACTCCTCTTGAGTATATAAAACTTTATTTTAAGCAGTAACCGACAAAAATATTTACATCAAAAACAGCGCTGGCAAGACTAAAGCGATCGACATGGCGGAGATCCGTGTGACACTGGAAGCAAGCCGCAGATTACTGTTACAATCGCTGTTACAGTAGTCGGCCGTATCACAGACCTGCAGCATCCACTCGTTGTTGCCGCTGATACTGAAACAAGACCTTTTTGTTTTGATGAAAATCCTCAGACAATAATGCAAAGTCACGTACGTTTTGATGCATCGATTCCTCACCCCGAACTGCTGTTTGTCGGGCCCGTAGCTGAAGAAGGGGGTGTCGGAGCAGCTCCGTTTCAGCGTAATCCGTTCCGGACTCTTCTGTAAGTCTCGATGGCGGTCTAAACTCGAAAGATTATGTTCGTAAAGTAGTACAGGACACCCAAATATCAGGAAACAATACGCGGAGTCTGAACTGTAAAATTAAAAAATTTGAATATACAGTGGGATCCCTGATCCAGTGGCAAAAAACGGATCATTTTGCATCCAGGAAGTATCAAAAAATGTGGCAGAATACCTTCTCCAATTGAAAAAAGTCAGATTTCAAAAGCGCGCCAGCTCTTTTTGTGAGGAAAAACGATGTTTTTTACTTGGAGAGGGAAGCATTTGGCCACATTTTTGATACTTCCCGGATGCAAAATGGTACGTTTTATGCCACTGGATCAGGTCCCCCACTGTATTAGCAAGTTCCTTGAGCATCGATGGTTACAAAATCAATATGAACGAAAGATAAAGACGTCAAGGAATATTCTACATCGAGTCGTTTCTTCTCGGCCCAGTTGCCATCACTATTGACGGCCATTGGGCCGGGCAAAAGCGCAATTATCAGTCTGTCAGGAAAATAGTGGCGGGTCGTCGCGGCAAAATGTTTAGCTTCCTCGAGAAAAGGGTGCAGTCGCTCACCAAATCCACAGCCGCGGCTAGCCGTCGCAAAGCGATGATTTGCGATTTCAAGGCGCCACGACCCGCCACTACCTTCCCGACAGATTGATAAGAAAGCTCTGGGCCGGCCTGACCGATGACCATGGATCTTGCCTTCACCTTAAGACCAAGGCACCACAAATCCACATTATTTTCCCCGACAGATTGATAATTTTCACAATTTTGTTTTTTTGAGGTCCCGCTTTTTTATGACTTCCGGAGATAAATAAAAAATGTAGCCTACGATACTATTATAATATTTTTTCGGATGCTTAATAACCAAGAAAACTTACAAAACGTGCAATACTTCCCTTCGCAGACATCCACGATCTTACTGCAGCCAATTACGCCGATGCATTGATCATGACACACCACACTTTCCGAGACTGAAACAAAAAATATTATTTTTTTCTGCAAGGCAAGGAAGTTGATTGAAAGTGTAAAAAAGCAAATTGATAGGGCAAGTGGCAGAGTTGCGATGTTCATATTTTTCTAAAATTTTTGGGTCCCTTTTTGCTGAAATTGTGCTGAAAATAGTTCCTATAAATTTCAGCTTGCGTTGTGTAGGCCTGGTGGGGAGTCTTTGACATGGGGTTAGACATGGCTTTAGGGCCGGGCCAAAGAAAGTTTAGTTTAGCGGGCTTAACAAGAAGTGGCAATCGGGCCGGCGCGGGGCTTTTTCAAATTTGCTCAGGCCCGGTAAGATTGCCACCTCTAGGCTTAAGCAAGCCAGGCGTGATTTCCACCGGGCCGGCTAGATTAAAAAAATTTTTAAAAGGCCTGAGTGGCATGTCTAATAAGTGGTGCCATCAGATAGGGTGAAAGGTCGATAAAATTTAGCAGATTACTTGCTTAAACATGTGCATTTTTCGCAAAAAAAAAGGCTTTCCAAAGCAAGGACCAGCTCTAAAACACAACTTCATTAAGGTATTTTTGGCAATTTTAGGCTCAAATCTGAATATTGAAACTAGAGAGTAAAAAAGCAAAGCTTTATTATGTTAACTTACATTTTACAAGAGCTAAAAGAGCCATAATTGTTAGCCACATTCCCGCCATTGCTGAATCATTCATTTGCCTCGTTTTCTGTAAAAAAACAATTAATCCGACAAAATATCTGTGACAAACAAGTTTACGCAAAAGGTGATCGAAAGGGGCATCCACAAAAGTTGCGCAAGTGGGTGAATGAAAAACAATTTGTTTAATGATATTAAATTCGGAGGGGAACACGAGAAAATATCGATGGTGTTCGGAAAATAAAAGGAAATTCCCAACATTCTCTTTTTTTCGGAATCGAATGACAGCGGGAGTGCTAGAAGTGCAACGCTCTGTTTAAAAAAAAAATATCGTGCCAAAATTCGAACTAGCTTTTTCTGTTTCTTAAGAGGGCCATATTTGCGGGCAACCACTTAGCGGGCAGCTTGGAGAACCACGGAGATTCTGCAGGCATGTTTGGAAATCAGCCAACACTTGCTTACAACAGGAAATTCTAACAATGGAGTTGGCAGTAAGCCGTTGCGAATTATGTTTTCAGGTGTATAAGTGACTTGAATAGTTACCGAATGGTTAACCAGGCTTATAAAGGTTCAAAAGCCATTTTTTGAAAACAACCGCCATAGCATTTGAAAGCGGTGGCTGAATTCAATAGATTCGTGTACTTTTCAATACCAAGGAGTTGTCAATGCAAAAATTATACGTATATTACGGTAGAAAATCGTAGTTCTAATCGTCAAACCATAGGCTGCTCAAAGTGGTTGCCGCATGAGTTGCAATGTCTTTTCATTTTGCCAGCGCAACCAGGACGATAAATAACTGCATATTATTTTTGAGAAAAGAACTATGAAAGCAATAAAATTAAAATATAAACCTCAAAGAATTTGCATGGCTCATAAAAGTCATAAGGATGACTGCGCAGCAGTAGGTTGATATTAAGAGGCAAGGCTTTCCTAATCGCTTAATGGTAAGGCTAGATACGATGACTATCAAAATACAGCAAAAACAAAGTGAAGAGAACAGCAAGGAGTAAAAAAAATTATTTTTTATAGAAAGTTTCGTGGTGAACAGTGTATTCTAGCCTACAAGACCATCTTATCCTTTCTGATATACAGCCAGATTAACAGGCAAAGTACCCTGAATGCGATGCTTGCATTTACTTCAAATTTTGCTCGAACTTTTTGCATAGACCGCAGATTAATTTCTGAAAATTTTGGCTCGCGTTGTGAAGGCACATCCGAGATATTGAACTTTCCTTTCGGCCGAGAGAGTTCATAAAACACGGAGACCGGTCAAAAAGAAAACCACTTTTTTTCTATAATATACAGGGTGGTTCAGCTAAGTTCGCGGATGTAAAATGCTTATAACTTTTTATAGGATTGTTCAATTTTTATGAGCAATACCTCATTTTATTCCTTAGTAGTTACCATTTTGTTTAAAAAAAATATCATTAAAAATGATCAGTCCTACGTCGAGTTATGACCTTCAAAGTCAAACATGCTTTTTCACGTAAATTTTAAAAAAATTTACGGATTTTTTCGGATTTTCGGATGTTTTTTGATTCCATCGTATTCTACGCAAAATTCTATGACTTCTGAAGCCCACTTACAATTTACAATTATCGACCGGTCGAAAGTTATAAGCGATTTTCGAGATTTTTCGGAAATTTTCAGATTGAAGCGTGAAAAGGCAAGTTTGACTTTGAAGGGTCATAACTCGACGTAGGATTGATCATTTTTAATGATCTTTTTTTTAAACAAAATGGTAACTACGAAGGAATAAAATGAGCTATTGCTCATAAAAATTGAACAATCCTATAAAAAGTTATAAGCATTTTACATCCGCGAACTTAGCTGAACCACCCTGTACACTGGCCAGTGAAAAAAAATATTTTTTTTGTGGAAACGCTAACCTCTACAGTAGATGAAATGTCAGAAACTTTTCATGCCAAAATTTTCAAAAGAGTGACATATTTTCTCCACCTTTCGACAAAAAAATTTCGGTCGTTTCTAAAAAACTTGAGCTAGAAGTCTCGCATATGTCTTAGAAAACCAACCCTGGATTTGAGCCAAGCTTCAGCAAAATCTGAGCTCGCACTTGGAGCAATTCCCCATAAATTTAAAATTTTTTTCCTCTCATTCAAAAGCAATGACCATCACTCCACATTCGGGCCCCAACAAATCTGAAATGCATAGCCGTAACGGCGTTAAACGGACTTCCGAACAACCCGATTAGAGCGTTAATTGGGAATGAGCCATTCCCTGCGGTCATCCTGAATGTGTGGGATGGGAAGGCGGGACGAAGAGCGGCGAGGGGGGAAAGGGAGAGCGGAAACGGCCAAACATAAGGGCCATTTATCGTCTCGTCGCGGGTATTTTTTTCGTCCATGAAACCGCGAACATGATTCATCCCGTTGCGGGATTTATTCCAAAGACGATTCAAAATATTTCAACTTGAAGGAAGAGGGAATGGTCAACGTTGCGTAAGAAATGGAATTGCAAACGAAAGTCGCAAAAGTTCTCCCGTTTTCGTGTGCCCTTGAGCACTTATCCCATTAAGAAATTAAGGTAAAACCGGGCTAATTAAATTCGATGAAGAGCATTTCCCAAGGGCTCGAAAGTTCAGGGAAAAAAGTGCTGGGAACTGGAGGTTACTACATGTAGAGTATGGTCTTGTGTAGTAGAGACGGTATGCGAAATAAGGGTGATAAAAAAGTTACTTTTTGGCAAAAAAATACGGTAGAATTATTAAAAGGCTTATCAGAATTTTCGATTTTTCGATCCTCATTATTTTCCCGACATACCGATAAAATAATTGTTTACAGGGTGACCCAAAATAACGGAGACAAATTTTTGAAGGTCCCACCGCGAAAACCGGGGGTTAGAGAAACATAAGCGACAACGGGTAATATTCTATAACACCTCCTCTATAATCCACGAAAATTTGATGGAATCATCGTGACGCAGAAAAAAGTTACAGCTTAGCAAAGATGCCTTGCGCCGTTTTTTGGCCTTCAAGTTTGGTTCCTGTGTTTTGCGTAGAGCCTGGCTGTACTCCAGTTGCAGAAATGGCAAGTTCATTTGTTTTCTTAAACTACTATGTCCCTAAGAAAGCAGAGTTAGGTTTTTGGGCTACGGTTTTTATTTCTACGGTGGTACCAATCTCAACATTCAAGATTGCCATTTTTTCCAAGTTTTTTCTATAAAAAATTCAGTTTTTTTCGAATAAAGCTAAAACCGCTAGTACGTGTTTTATTCATTAATACAATGATTCTGAAAAAAGCTGATATTGCTTGCTGGTTGCAACAGCTTTTCCTTAACAAGTTTCTCGCCCAGAACCTCCCCATGGCACGCGGCTTTGAGAAGGATGGGTTATCGATAACAGAATGACATAATAGATAAAAATGGCGCATTATGCTCCTGTACACTTATGAATACGACTCTTGAGAATCAGCCTAGGGCACTTTCGGTCTTTATGTGTTACCGGCTTGACCGGTATTTTGCTTAAGGCAAAAATGAGGCATAATTCTAGTGATTACCAAATGGAATTCCGTGGGCGTTACAAAATGTTTCTCTTTTGCTTTTATGGTGTTCCTTTAATCATGTTCTAGTAACTCATATTTCATTTTGCCTTATCTAACACTCAAACTCCTTCTTACGCTTACATTTTCAAAAAAGGCCGATTTTTGCACTTCAACTGACTGAAAATACTCGGCAGTAACTTTTGAACCATCGATAGTTAAGCTGAGTACGATAGCTCATTTTAAAGGCCTTATTATGGTAATTAATCACAGCAAATCTCAACCTCTTCCGAGTTTTCTTTTTTGAGTAAGGCAGCTTTATTTTAAAAAGACCCCACGGGCAGAAGGGTCCGAGTCAACCGGATATATTGATGTCGTTCAAGGCAGAAGAGCGTCGTACAACAAAACTTCCGGTATATAAAACTACCTTAACGTGGTACTGTAGTATAAATAAGGAGTCACTCATGAATCTTAATAAGTCGCAGAAAAAACGAGAAATCTTTTGTCTCCGTTATTTTGGGTCACCCTGTAAAATTGGCGTGAAGACCAAAAAAGCGATCAAAAGTCATCGCCGAATACACCGCTTTCCGCGTTGGTGAAGGAAAAGTTTTTTCAGTCAAGAATCCACCCATCCTCATCTTTCTACTGCAAAAAGAATTTTTTGGATATCTTGCCTGAGCGTCACGAAATGGACAAAAACTTTCCGGGGAATTTCTGTGGACACCCTGTAAAGTTGACAACTATATACTAAAGTATGCATTCTATAAAAAGCCTTGGAATTCACCACGTCCTTGGATGAGTCACGGGAATGTGGGATAGTGACTAAATTTGTGTCTATACGGCAAAAACAATGTGTAAACAAGGGCTAACGAGAGGCCAACAATCCACAATTTAAAGCTTTGTTGAGATTCAGCCTCAAGCTGCCGTTGTAAGATAAAAAAGGCCGTTTGGCTGGGAAATTGAGGCCGGTTTGACATGACAAAATAAACTTTTGTTTGTAAAAACTTGTAATGACGGTTATTTAAACAGCTATCTACATATATCTACACAGGAAATACCAAACTACTGAAAATACATCCGATTCAAGCACATAAACCGTTATGAGAGTTCGTAAATCGCAGGATGTTCGGAATGAACTTTACGAGAGCGGCAGATGGGATCATAAGTCAAACCTTAAACCAGAGCTCTTCGAAGCGTCCTCTAAATTCGTTATTTTTATTCGTTTTTTATGAGCGTTTATTTGGATATGCCACTCCAAATTGAAATCTCTTCATTTTTCGATTGTCTGGGGAGCGGACGGCCTGAAAACTGGAACGATGATATCTTGCGAACGTGCTCTTCATATCGCACAAACAAAAATAAATTTATTTATCCTCAACTTTCCACAGGTTGTGTAAAACGTTACATATATCAACATGTACATCAAATTTTTTACAAAACTGTTTTACAGAGTAAAACAGTAGAGAAAATAGTTACTAGAAGGCGATTACAATTGACCAGTCAATTGTTTCTCATCCTCAGCATCGTTATTGGTGGGCCCATCCGAGGGCGCGAGAGTTGTGGCCTTTTCGCGGACCTCTGCCGTTACCGGGTCCGTCACGTTGACTGCGACCCCAACAATCTCACATTTTGTGCCGCTGTAGCCCAGGTTGCAGAGACAAGTGTATTGCGAGGTGGTTCCCATGCACCAACCATGGCCCGAACATTCGCGGGTGTTGTCGCAGTAGGCTGAAAATGGAATAAGTGAGCACTGAATTGTGAGCTCCAAATTCATCTTTTCGACAGTAACCTTGCAAAAACTAGCAAGTCATCGGATGCATCAGTCTGTCGAGAAATAATAAGCACAATGCCGAGTCTAAAATTGCATCGGCTGAATTTTGTCGCGGCCAAATCAAATTTCTTTTCATTGTGGCGACGCGATTGGTACAGTCACATTTTGCTCATTACATTCCTGGTACTTGCACTGTTGTAATTATCAGTCTGTCGGGAAAATAAGGAGCACAACTCGTTCGCTTCTTTATAATATTTTCTTGGCGATGACGCGATTTTCGATGCAAAATATATTACTTTCTCGACAGACTTATAAAAATCTTGTAATTTGAATAAGAATTTGAATTTTTCGCTGCAGAAGTTGAGCTTATTATCAAGTAACTTTTAAAATACGTTTCTCATTAGTCTGACTTGATTTTACCGCGACACAATTATAATAATATGCAATTTTTGAAGAGACAGAGCGTTCATTATCTTCCCAACATTCCGTAGTACCCTAAAAACACTCCAAGTCCCTAAGATTGATTTCTACCCTTTTCAAAATTGAGGCTATATACGAACTGTCACGTATTTCATCCACCTACACTCTTGACATCTCGCTCCAGCAAATCCGATTTGACAAATACAAAATGGCATGGACTTGGTTCCAAAACAAGTCCCATGGTTATTGCAATCCTCCGCCGTGCACATTTGAGGCCCAGCTACCGCATTGATCGACTCGCTGTTGTCTGATTGACGAATCTAAAAATTAATAAGGTATCCTCAAGATTTTATCTTTTTTAACTCACTTTTCTCGCGGTAATTGTAAACTCGGGCCTGAGCTGTTGCGCCGTGGAAAGGCCGATCAAACTGATCAATAAATAGGAGAGAAACATGGCTGATGGAAACGAGTACTGTAGGCTTTTGTCGTCTATCTTTTGACGCCTTTATTCTACAAATCGGACAATTATCATTTCGTAATCGCGGAGCAATGTTTGTAAATACCGACTGATCAAAAATTATAGTAAGTAATGGCTTATACGGCGCTCTTCGGAGCTATACATCTGCATGTATACGGATCGAAAATACGGTGATAAAGTTCGAGGAAAACATTGTAAATTTTATCGCTTTGGGCGTTCTCAAAAAACGCAGTAAAATTTTTTAATAACAAATAAAAAATTGCAAATATGACGCGATAAAAAAACTGATTCTCCTCGACTGACTTTGAGAATTGCCTCTAAAGCGGTCAAAAGTCATGTTTTTGAAAAGATTTTGACGTAAAAGGATTGATAACGACGTGAAAATGAAAGCAAAGGCGCTGGATTAGCCTTATATGTAAAAAAGTCCTGCAGTATTTTAAAGTTTTAGCGTAGTACCGACTTTGGCTGCCTGTGTATCAGTCTGTCGGGAAAATAATGTGGATTTGTCGCAAAAAATGTCTCGCCTTGTCGCAGACGTCTTCAAATCTCCAGCCGCGGCTAGCCGTCGCCAAGCGATGATGGGCGATCCCAAGGCGCGACAATCCACACTATTTCCCCGACAGACTGATAAACCAACAAAAAAAGATCAATTTTTGAGGAATTTATGCAACTTGTCAAAAAAACCCGCATAAAATTTTTTTCCTAAAACCTCAAAATTTCGTTCTTAGGACCATCGGAAAATCCAGAAATTATTTCTTCATTGTCTCGGCGACGATGCAATTTTCGATGCGACAGAGGCTCATTATTTTCCCGACAGACTGATATTTTCGCTTTCCAAAAAATCACCTCAAAACACAATCTACTGTAATGAAAGTCTGCACGAATGTAGCCCGGAACAAGATCCCCCACTCGGACAAAAGAGCCTCCCCCAATCCACACCCCAACTATTGCCATCGAATAAAAAAACGTCGAATGCGCGACTGACTGTCTCTCTGTCACTGACTTTGTATTCGCGCTAAATTGGTATTGAAATAATACATAATAAAAAGTGGCGGAGAACGAGTGATCAGCGCTCTTATCCTGTTTGATTCCCGCGCCCACATTTCTCGCATAATATTCCCCTGTTTTTTTGTGTCATTGCTATTGTAGTAGGTGGGTTTTTATACGGCGAACAGCGAAAGGCGGGCCGGTTTCGGCTCGGTGCGCGGAAAACGGCGGAACAAGGGCGAGAAAAAGCTTTATTAATTTCGATAGAAACGGCGAGATGTCTTGGGAATCGGATGAATGGGATGCTCGAGGAAGCGGCGATCACTGGAACGACCTGGTCGAGAAGAGGGCTGGGAACTTGTAGTCCGCGGTTTCTTGAAGCCTGAAAGTTCGCGTTAATGAAAGAAAAAGGAACGAATTGTGGGAATGGTGTCAATGAAAGGAAGCCGGATCGAATTTGAGGAGATTAGCTGAGAAAAGAGTTTCAAAGATCGTGCTTAATGTTTCAAAGGAAATGCTGAAAAGATGACGCCTTGATTTAGCTCGAATTTTGATTTGAGTCAACCTATGGTCTCGAAATAGGTCGCTGAAAAGTCACTAAAATTTTCAGCCTTCGGTTTGCGTTAGTATCAAAGATATTCAATCATTTTTAGCACAAAACAGTAAAAAAACACTCATTTTTCATACAGATCAAGCCAGACTGAAGGAATTTCGATGCAAGCTAATTTTAGACATGTTGAAAAAGGTCGCTAAATATCACTACTGCGCCTGTGAAACACTAGCTAAATTTTTTCAGTCTGTCGGGATAATAATAAGCACTCTATCGCATCAATCGAAGCCAAGGAAATGAAGTTTGTCGCGGCAAAATCAAATTGCTTTTCACTTCATATTTGGCTACAAAAGGTGATATCTCAGTCTGTCGGGGAAATAATGTGGATTTGTCGCAACTAAAATTTTGGCCTCTTCGCAGTTGCGCACTAAAACTTCGGCCATGGCTAGCCGTCTCTAAGCTAATATGATAAGCCATTCCAAAGCGCGACAAATCCACGGTATTTTCCCGACAGACCGATAAGCTCAAAATTCTCACCAATTCCGCTTGTTCCACTGCTTTCCTTCCTCCATCTCTGCCACATGTAACGTATACGCATGTCGACTCAAGTTTGAGGTGTTTGGCTCGCTCTTATGCGCTACCAGCCCATTAATCAGCACCAAGCTTCCCTTGGGCACCGGGACCGGGACGAATTTACTTTGATCATAAGTCGGCTTGGTGCCTTCGAAAACCAGTAGCTTTTCGTTTGGATCGGTGGCGAAGGTCCTCACAAACCGATAGCCCGGATGTGGGCCCTTATGGGAGCCGGGAATGAACCAGAGACAGCCGTTCTCCTGGCTGGCTTCGTCCACCGCAATCCAGATCCCGAACAGGTTTTCGGGTGGGTCACTTTGTAGGAAGGTGGCGTCGATATGGTCCGTCACCGCACCGCCAATTTTGGGTTGCTAAATAGAGGAAATATAACGTAAATCAATGCAATTACGGGCTGTTACAATGTGACAATGTGAGGTTTAAAATGTTGGAGAAGAAGATTGAGTTCACATGGAAAGTAATCCAAATTCGACGCTCAGATTTTGATGAGACTTGGGGAAACTTTATAAAAACATTTTTGGAGACGTATGTGAGACTTCTAGATTGTGCTTTGCAGGAAAGACCGTGATTTTTAGGTCGAAATTTGGAAAAAATGCAAGAATTTTTTTTTCGAATTTGGCCATGAAAAGTTTCATATCAATTTCTACCGTAGAGCATAATCTTTCCACAAAAAATCAATTTTTTTCCACACAAGACAAAAAAGATATGACCAAAAAGCGTTTTTCTCTCTAACAAGGGCTCGGCAAAACCTCGTCCCCTGGTTTCTTCTTGAAACATATACCATTTGAAAGAGCGCAAAAAACTGGTCTAGGATCACCTTCAATTAGCTGCAAAGATTCACTTACGTGCTAGCTAGCGAACTTTTTTTCAAAATTCCCAATTAGACTTTGGGAACCTTTTCTTCTGAGATGCCAACGAGATCTAATAATCACTTTTCATACAAATATTAGTCACCTATGACATTGGAGGCTTCAATCAAGATCAAAAAACATGAAGTTTTTTCCGAGCTTGAAACTCTCAGGTCGATGCCCTCAACGAGTGATTAGGCGATGTTTTAGGTCTTGTCACCCGAGACATACTAGGAGGTTTCAAACATGTATACCATTTTCAGGCTCGTTTTTCACGTACTGTCCGTAAATGGGCATTCCTGGCAAAAAATATTAAAGCCGTTGAAAGTTTCAACCATCTTGGATGCCCACTGCAGGGTCAAAGACACCTATATCACAAAAAATTTAAAAACCTGTCGATTTTTCTGGTAAAAAAATCTAGGGTACCCCAAAAATCAATTTAAAATCAAAGACTACATGCTAGCCTTCTTCATTCCATAATAGCCAAAAAAATCCAAAAAGTCAAAAAAGGATTCGAACCTGGTCCGCAGGCCCTACTGGTAGAGCGCCTTACCCCACTGGGCCACCGAAGCACTGCTTCGCCGTGCTTTTGAAATCGATTCCTTTTGTTTTCTTGAAAGAAGGGTGAGACTGGCTTAGAACTAAAAAAAGTTCTCTAGCTAGCACGTAAGTGAATCTTAGCAGCTAATTGAAGGTGATCCTAGACCAGTTTTTTGCGCTCTTTCAAATGGTATATGTTTCAAGAAGAAACCAGGGGACGAGGTTTTACCGAGCCCTTGTAAGCGCTCTCCGCATTTCGCGTGCTCTCTCGGCTGACAAATTCAGCCGCCGCTAGCGTTACAATTGTGGTACTTCCTTGTAAAGTCCTAACAAGTACTTAGAATAAAAAACAAAAAAAAACAAAACCAACCTTGAAGATATACATGCTCTGCACGATATGTGGATTCAGGAAGCCAAGGCTGTCCACGATCGCCTGGAAATATATTTTTCAAAAATTGGCAATGCAAATAAGTCATCACGAAAGCGATATATTAATATGAGCGAAATGTTGCCAGTCATCAACATTTTATTCCAAAGAAATCGAAGACGAACTTACACATATCCGTTTGTCAAAACTGTACTTTTTATAAACGGGATTTAGCCAGTGCAACGCTGAAATTTCATGATGAAATGAATGTAAATCCATCCTTACCATGCCCAATTTTGTTCAATGCACGATCCTTGGGTACCGTTAAATTTCCCTCCTTGTCCACGGCGCCGTCCTCGTAGAAGAACGAAATCTTTGAAGCGCTCTCCAGAAAATAACTGTCCGATGCATGTCGCTGCTCATCGTATGTGTCAAAAATGCTTTTGGGATGTTGTGAGGGGTCCAATTCACCGACAATTTTCCCAATCTCAGCTCGCATTTCGTCGACCTCGGCGTCGGAGAAGACGTTCTTCACCAGGACAAAGCCGTTTTCTTTGTAAATTTCGGACAATTTCGACAAGTCGGAGATATCCACTGACATATTTGGTAATTATAGGAAGAGGTAGTTGAGCAGTAGGGGTTATATGAAGAGATTGTTGAACAGTAGCGGTTAATAGATTCTTTAGAAGCTGTCGAAGGAATTTTTGTGAGAATTAGAGGGTATTAAAGACGCGTTCCATGGTCAAATAATTTATTGATAAGACAAAAAAGCGCAAAAAAGAGGAAAAAAGCACGTCTCCATAGCCAAACCCATGCTTATCGATGCGCTATGGCGGGTGACGTAACCTCAAACATTTGTTGAGCTTATAAACCGACTTTTTCGTATTTGTGTAAAAATCTTTTGGTCAACCGATAGTGTGTGGACGAACCGTCTAAACGATTCGTGAAATGCTTGACGTGTGTCTTGAAAATAAAATTTATTCTAAATTTATTTCAAGTCTCCCGTAAATCGTGTTTTATCACAGTTAAATTGTTAATTTTTACAAATATTTTCCTATTATCACTTCCGTTGGCGGATGCTGTTATTTTTCGCGGTCAAGTCTTGCGCCGACGAATGCCTCCTTTCGTAGTCGTTCTTGACGTCCTTGGCAACGTCCGTCGCTTTGACGAAGAGCTTCTCCGTCGCCCATGTCATCATCTAAACAAACGATTTTTTATTAGCAGAAAATCGAAGCCCACAAAGTTTGTAACAAATACAATACAACCCCTGACTTACCTGAATCAAACTCAGCATGGACAGTCCCAGCCACATCCCAATGACGCCGCCAAGCTCTCCGATGAACGATGCGGTCGTATAAACTCTCGACTGCGTAACTTCAATGTATTCAAAGGATCCCCAAAGAAGGAAAATCGAAGTGACATTCGAGTTTCGGACCCGTTGGTCTTCCACTTCGGTAACCGACACTTTTTGGTCCACACTCACGGAATACCGAAGCTGATGGCAGTCGCGATAGCAACGTTTGGTACAGGCCTGTTCTGATCGGTTACTTTGCTTTTGAACGCTGAAAAAAGTTTGGAAATTACAATGGATAGAAAGGAAGTTCTGCATTCTTGGGACGGTCAGATTTTCTTTAAACTTCGCACACATGTCATAGGAAAGGTACACCTCAATCCCTGAAAGTTTCAGCGTGGGCTTAGCAAAAGACAGCCAAAACGATATTTGGCGTCGAGAGGGTACATAAAATGCGGAGAGCGGGCAGAGAAAGAAAAACACCTTTTGGCCACATTCTTCTAAGTTTCGCTTGGAAAAAGATGATTCTTTTTGAAAAGGTTACTCTCTGCGATATAAGTAATCTTTCCATGCCGAAATCCGCAAAAAAATGTCACATTTTTCCCAATTTTCAATCTAAAAACCCCGGTCATTTCTACAAAGCGCGAGCTAGAAGTCCCGTGGCTGTCTCAAAAAGGATACTTCCAATTTTGTGCCAAGTCTTATCAGAATCTGAGCGTAGAACTTGGTACCCTTTGCAAGCTGATTTCAAGGCCTACAAGTCTAATAATGAGTTGACAAAGAAGTCATATCATCAATTGCCTGTAAACTTACTCAATAACACACTGACTGTAATTACAAGGCGGGAAAGTCTCCAAGTCCCCATCCTCCGCCAAATATTTGGTTGTGATCGGCGTACAATGACATAACTCCTGAAATAAAACACTAAAATCGCCAAGGTACTACATAGGAGCATTCAAAAACCCGCCACTCACTCTAATCAACTCCATGCGACATCTTGTCCTGCATGTGAATTCATCCTCATCCTCGTCGCTGAAATCGCGACAAGCAGTTCCGGCCTCGTCGTTCTCCAACATGTCGTATTTGTTCTTCACTTCCACAGTGACGTCATGCCGAAGTCCAGGGCACAAGTTTTCATGATATCCATCTCGACTGGTCCCGCCGCCTTCCGTGAACTTGGACCAATCGAATGGGTAGCCGTGGAAGTCGACACTAATACATCTCTTGCTTTCTTCCGTGTTCTCATTCGCTTTGTTCTGGACCACTTGAAGAAAGAAGAAAGATCCCTGAAAATGACGACTGAATCTATGTCAAATCAAATTGCAGCGATTAATCGCTATCGCGATTCCCAATCAAAATCAGAAAAGGAGTTGCAGACGGAATTTCATCTTCCTGCTATTTTTATTGCTACAGTGGGGGACCTGATCCAGTGACAAAAAATGTACCATTTGGCATCCGGGATATCAAAAATGTGGCAAAACGCTTCCCTTTCCAATTAAAAAAATGTCGATTTCAAAAGCGCGCCCGCTCTTTTTGTGAGGGAATTGGTGCGCCTTTCAAAATGAAGTTTTTTTTTGAGGTATTTTGATATTTTTGATCCTTCCCGGATGCAAAATGGTACGTTTTTTGCCACTAGATCAGGTCCCCCACTGTGCGTTATAAGCTACCGACTTACTTGGTCTGCAATCGGTTTGTAATTGTCCTCATCATAGGTTGGCTGAAAGCAGACGTAGGTTCTGGAAATCCAAGTGATTTTGGGCCACAATTTGATCCTCGGACCCTCATCGTCTTTGGTGATTCGAACCATCTGCTTTATCGACCTGAAAGAATGGTGGTTTACATTTTCAGAGCATAATATAGGTGCTTGAAAAGTCGCTAAAGCACTAAGAGATAGCTTACTTCATTAAGACCTCTTTCCCAGCTTTCTGGAAGATTTCGTCGAACGTCAGATTCCTCTTTGCCATTTGGTCCACCCAGAACTAAACATCAAACTGATTACTGTCATTTATCCGCACCATACCTGGATTCCCTTCCTCTTTTCATTCAAAAATTCTCGGCCTTTTGGCGGATTGTTGAACCGATACAACACCTGCGCCATATGGCTTCCCAGCATCTCTCTTTCGACGGTGAACATGGCTGCTAAACTCTGGAAGGCGTGCAGAGCCAGTTCTGGAGGCCAGCGCTTCTTCAACATCTCTTCGTTGTTCTTGAATTTTGCCAATTGTTTCTGAAAATGACTTGTGACTTTACTTGTTCTTGTCAAAGTCGCTGGAGCAAGTTTTGCGACATGCACTGTGCGAAAACAAAATTTCACTTTGCACTGTGCAATTTCTTGCTTTTTGCACAGTGCAATAGGCTTTTTCGGGCTGTCGCTCGCACCTTGATTCTTCTGCAAATGATTTCATTTCTGCGACATGCACTGTGCAAAAACGAAAATTCACTTTGCACTGTGCGGTTCCTAGCCTTTTGCACCGTGCAATTGGCTTTTTCGGAGTGTCGCTCGCACCCTGATTTTTTTTGCAAATGATTTCACTTCTGCGCCATGCACTGTGCGAAAACGAAAGTTCACTTTGCACTGTGCAATTTCTTGCTTTTTGCACAGTGCAATAGGCTTTTTCGGGTTGTCGCTCGCACCCTGATTTTTCTGCAAATGATTTCATTTCTGCGACATGCACTGTGCAAAAACTAAAGTTCACTTTGCACTGTGCAATCTCTTGCCTTTTGCACCGTGCAATTGGCTTTTTCGGGCTGTCGCTGGCACCCTGATTTTTTCCACACCGTGGTAACGATTGCTCCAGCAACTTTACGAACGCGTCTGCATTGCCAACTTACGATGACCGTCGCTGTGTCATTTCCATTCGGAAAATGACTCAAAACTTGTTTGGTTGGAATACAGAAAGTAATATTCGGCAGGGTCATAGTCTCATTAAGGATCATATTCATGTCCGCTTTCATTGGATCGTCAAGATATTCGTTGAACAGATTGAAGGTGTCTCGGACGGTTAAAATCAACAGAAAAATGGCGAGGAACCAAAAGGCCTTATGCCGAAAGGGCATATGAACGAAATTGGTCCATGCCTTCCGCAGGTTGAATGTGTCCTCCGCCATTCTGAAAAACGCAAGGAATATGGGTAAAAATTATGGAGGACCGTATTTTAAAGAGTAATTGCGTGGAATGTGAAAAGAATTGTCCGTAGTCTGTCGGGAAAACTGCGGGTGGCAAGTTGCAAAAATTTGGGGACTTTTTGCAACGTATATACATCTGTGGCAAGAAACGTACCATTTTGGGAAGTATCAAAAATGTGGCAAAATGGTTCCCTCTCCAAGTGAAAAAACTTTGTTTTGAAAGTTTTTCCCCCCTTTTTTTCGCTCACGAAAAAGAGGGCGCGCTTTTGAAATCTGAGTTTTTTCACTTGGAAAGGGAGGTATTTTGCCACATTTTTTGATACTTCCTGAAAGCAAAATGGTACGTTTTTTCCCCTGGATCAGCTCCCCCCTGTAGCCACAATTTTAAGTCAGCTAAATTTCCAGTCCCAGCTCCCCACCCCCACCCAACCTGAAGGTCTAGAAGTCTATTTCGATTAAAATTCTTTTCGATATTACCGCAGTCTTAACTTCGAGTTTAAACTGTTTTAAACGTCAACGTCCCCAAAATTCTCGATTTGTGCGATGACGTTCATTACACACGGCAAGAAACGTCGGAACGTCGAGCTGTAAGACCAAGACCAAGCGCGGGTTTTTTATTACATCTGAAAAACACCTCTCCCACCAGTTCGGTTGCTGAGATGTTTCCGGCAGTGAAATGTTATTGTTTCTAAGAACAACAGAGGGATGAGTGGCGGAACTGATGTTAGTTTGCACATATTCTTTTGATTAGTAGGCGCCGCGATTACAGTGTAATAATAAAAAAGCAAGTAAAATTAGAGGTTTTTTTTTCATTTCTGGAGCTTTTTTCCGGAAGAAAGACCAACGTGAGATCGGGAAATTTTGGTGTAAAAATATTGAGGCGGATCGAAACAAACTTTGATTCAGGTAAGTCGAGGGTTGTATTTGTTGCAAGCTTTGTGGAACTTGATTTCCCACTAGGCCTTCCTAAAAGTCGCCGGACTGATTTTTGGCGTTTTCGACGTGCGAAAAAGTATGGGTGCGATCGACAGCCAAAAAAAGGCCTATTGGATCAAAGCAAGATTGGATTAAAGCAAGAAATTGCACAGGGCACACAAAGCCTTTGGATTTATCGCAGTGCGTGTCGCCGATTTCAGTCCGGCGACTGTCCGGAAGGACTACTCCAAGGGAGGCGTCCCTAGCGCGAGGCCTAGAGCTTCCTTAAATGTCTTAAGTTTTGCGCACAGTTTTCTCATTGGCCACATATTAATTCCTGAAAATTTTAGCGCTTCGCAGGGACGGCCAGGATATTCAACAAGCGTTGAGAGAATCGATTGCTAGGAGTTTTGAATATGTCTTCAAAAACATGAAACATTGTCGGACATGATCCCGTTGTGAAAAACGTACCATTTTGCGTCCGGAAGTATTAAAAAATCAGCAAAATACCTCCCTCTCCACGTGAAAAAATTCCAATTTCAAAGTGTGCCCGCTCTTTGGTGGGGGAAAGTGAAGTGTTTTGCTGCATATTTGATACTTCCCGGATGCAAAATGGTAAGTTTTTTGCCATGTACAACACAGACCTTTATGTGTGAAACGCACAATCAGCTATAATAATAAAAAAGCACCGCTAATGAAAAAACAAGTGCAGCCAGAAGTTAGAGCGGCTGTAAAAATGTTTAACCATCTTCCTGTTCCGAGAACTCTTGCATAGCTTGTACTACATTTCACAGATCACAAAAACAAAACAAGATCAAGTGAAAAAATCTTTATTTATTATTGTTTCAGGTAGAATGGAGTCGTAGAAGAAATGGAGATGCTCGACAAAATAGGAGTTCTTCTCAGCTGTTCGACTGTCAATTTAGCAACCTCGCGGCGTATGGTTTTCGATATGAGAAGAAAGGTGACCGTGGTCAAGATGGAAGTGTCTTGGATCAAAGGGATCACACAGCCTAGGATAAACGTAATAAGCTGTAGGTCCAGTTCCATGTACCGGTGGAGAACTTGCTGCTGAAAGAGATATAGCAAAGTTACAGTGGGGGACCTGATCTAGTGACAAAAAACGTACCACTTTGGGCCCGGGAAGCATCAAAAAATGTGGCAAAATACCTCCCTCTCCAAGTGAAAAAAAACTAAAATTTCAAAAGCACGCCCGCTCTTTTTATGAGGAAAAAAGGGCGCGCCCTTCAAAATAAAGCTTTTTCACTTGGAGAGGGAAGCATTTAGCCACATTATTTATACTTCCCGGTTGCAAAATGGTACGTTTTTTGCCACTGGAACAGGTCCCCCACTGTAGAGAGACGGGAGTGGAAAGATGATTGATCAGAGTCATTTCTCTGTCCCGTCTCTCCCGTGAGCGGTCTCTTTCTCTATTTGGTGTGTGACAGCTTACCGTAATTACGCCATAGCCAATGTGGCTGACAAAAATTGCGCACGTGCTCAGAGATAGACTGATCTCATGTCTCCACGTCCTCTGCGATCTGAGGTTCTTTCTTCGTGAATACAGAAGGAACAGTGACAAAAGGTTGAGCACTCCAGACGTTGTTGGCACAACCACGAACAAAACTTGATTGATGTCGATGATGGACAACTAGGAATTATATATCAGTCTGTCGGGAAAGTAATGAGCATTCTGTCGCATCGAAAATATTAGCATTGCCGCGGAGAAAATGAATTGTGTCGTCGCAAAATTAAATAACTTTTCGCTTTTGCGACACGACTGGCGAAGCGACAGTCGCTCATTATTTTCCCGACAGACTGATATCGCTGAAAAATTGTTTGTTTGCTCACCCCGTACAATAGCACCGAATGATCATAGTTAATGAAGCAGCCAGTCACTTTGCCCCCTTTCCTCGAACATTCCAACTTTCCCATGTTCAGGAATACAAACCCATATAGACAAAATGGCATTGCGAAAAAGATGGTAAGCAAATAAGGAAGACAACCCTTCCATACAGCTTCATGCTTAAGTGGTGCAACTAGCGCAGTGATCCGATAAACAGCGAGGATTACGGTGCCGATTTGGCCATTCAACTCGGTGGCGAAGCGAATAAAGATGAAGAATATGGGATATTTTTGATATATAATCTCCAATGAGTAAAAGAAGTTCGCGTACATGAATTCACATAGTGGTCCGCGAAGAACAAATTGGGCGTTTATGTAGCAGGTAATGTCCTGAAACAAAGGTTTTCCAACAACTCCAAAAACAACGAATGTTTTAACGATAGCTTCAAGATTACGGCAAACTGAGAAGGCTTTTTTTTGACCTCTTTTTAATACCAAAATTCACCTGGATTCCAAAGATTGCCACGAGTGTGTAAAACGCGGAGGAAAAATACGTCCTCCTTGACAACAGGACATATATTATTAGAGAATACAGAAGTACCAATGGGATACCGTAGAGGTAGAACAAAACAAACGACCAGACCGGCAACATTGAGTGTGAATTTGGGGACTTACTGCGTGTTAGTGCTTGTCGTGCCTGTTAAACATTCTGGTTGTATGTGTAAAGTGCGATAAGGAACCAACTTGTATTCTAAGTGCGAGAGCACTAAAACTCTGCTCGTTGTACTTTTAGTAGAAGGACGTTCAGACAGCAATAGGTGATGCTTGCGGAAAGGTTTTTGTACGGCTCTTTTCTCCAAACTTTTTAAAATTCTGGAGAAATGTTGAGTACTTTGAAGCGACACATACCTTTCATAGAGACTTTAAGAGATGACATCAACCTTGGAAAGGCGAAAGAAAAGGATCAATACGGTGGCCCACGGCCACCGCAACAGCATTAAACCCGTCGCTGCATCTCGAAATGAAACCCGAAAGGATATTGGCATTCCGCCCCAATCGACCGAGACGGGGATTTGGGAATGAAGATCAGTTTGGAAGTCGCAACCTGAGCGAGCGGTTGGCCTTCAGAGCGTGTGGACAATTGTCAAGAAGCGGCAGAGTGAGAGGAGTCGCGAAACTGCGGGCAACCTTTTCAGGTTAATTACGATTTTCACCCCGTACTGTACGTAGTATGATAGAAATTTTGCATTGACGACTTCCTGACACTGATAAGTAGACAGATCTTTGAATTCACCCACTGCTTTCAAAGTTAAGGGAGTTTATTTTCAAAGTTTGGGTCCGACGAGTGAGCGATCGGCTACTCGCGATATTCGAATCTATTGTGTGTATTTTGGCCGTCTTGTGTTGTAATATTTCGGAGGATAACCGTGTTTATTTATATTGTTGGAGATTGAGTGAGCTTTTCTAGAACAGCATATTAGAATAACCGGTGTCTGATCGTGTTGACGAGGAACCGAGGATCTCATTACGTTGAAGCTAGTGGATTTCTATGACCTCGCATTGAACACAGTGCCAAGCTGTGGGGATAGAGTGCTAGAGAATTTGGAGCCCCATGATGCGATCATCCACGGTTTGACAAATATCTTGAGGACTTCACTGCGTAGGCGCTCGGATGCGATTAGGAGAGAGGTCACCATAATGAAGATTGAGGCGTCTTGAATCAGCGGGATAACACAGCCCAGAACAAAGGTAACGAAGCCCAAGTCCAGTTTCGTGTACGGGAGGAGAATTCGTTGCTGAAAGAAAGATGGTATCTTCTGGATGTTATGTAATTGGGGACCCTGAGAATTAATTTATATGAGGTCAAGGGGGCCCATATTGCACCACAAGGGAAGTAGCTTATATTTTCTTTTGCTAAGGTAGCTTTCCCCTATACTTACCGTAATAAGTCCATAGCCCACGTGGCTAATGAATGTAGCTGCCGTATTCAACGACAGATTGATCTCATGCTTCCATGTTCTTTGTGATTTGAGAAGTCTCTTTCTTGAATAGAGCAACACCAAGGCGATGAGGTTAAGCAAGGCGGATATGATGGGTATTACCAGAAATAAAAATTGATTGATGTGGATTATGTAAAGCTAAAATTGGGCAAGTTTGAGGTGCTGCAAAGGGCAGCAAAGTTTCTTTTAAGGCGTGGGAAACAAAGCCAATTCTGCGCTAACAACGGAAAAAACTGGCATTCTAAATGCTTAGTACATAGTTATTTTACTGGTTGCATTTTTGCATTTTCTTTTTCGGTGGGACAAAAAATAAAATTTTTTGGACATTTGGTTTCTCACGCCGTAAGAAGTAGTTATACTGGCAATTAAAACAAGTCCTTACAAATCCAAACAACAAGACTGTGTGGTCATAGTTGAGCATGCAACCCTCCACCTGTCCATTCTTGTAGGCGCATTCAATAGTCCCGTTGTTCCAGAAAATAAAGCTGTACAAGCAAAACGGAGCGGCAAAATGAAAAGCGAGCAGAACTGGCAGATATTTCCTCCACACGTCAATCCAGCGCATTTCCTGAACCGTTTCGAAACTTCGTACCGTTTTCATTGGTTTAAAAGAGAGACGAAATGTCGCGAAATTATCGGCACTTTTTCTCGCCCGAAATAATTGTTTTTTTCTCGAAAAGGAAGAAGAAAGATAAGAAAATGCGTTTTATCGGATTTTGAACGAATCACCAAAAAAGGGGCGGGAAATTTTTTCTTCTATTTTGGATTGACGTGCTCCATAATTGATTGTGTGTCAGCGGGAACACCATAGCGCTGATACGATAGGTCGCCAAGATCACTGTCCCGAGTTCTCCATACAATTCGGTGGCGAATCGAGTAAAAATAAAGAACACCGGGAACCATTGGTGGCGCGTCTCCAACGAGGCAAAGAAATGGGTATGTACGAACATACTGAGGGCGCCGCGGATGCAGAGTTGAGCATTGATGTAACCGATTATGTCCTACAAATCAATGGTTTGATTTTACATGGCTTGATGATGAGAACAACATCTCTGTATGTCCAGAAAATGCGTCACGATGACACCCGTGTAAGACATGCTAGTAGTGTAAAAAACAGCTGTATATGACTAGGGCACTCTGTTGAGAATGTCAAAAAATTTTGGGCTTTGCAAAGGCTCTTGCCGCGGAAAAGTTTCAGAAAATCCGTCGTCTAAATAGCACATTGCAAGAGAGCTTTAAACCAAATTTTTTGTAGGTACTGTAGGGTGCATTGCGTTCAATTTACAGCCGTTTTTTATGTATTTCGGAGCATTTCAACGGGTTTTATCACGAAAAATATTCTGAACACACAAAGATTTATATTCCAAGTTCATTAACACCCACCTGGATCGCAAAAATAGCCACCAATCGATAAAAAGTTGTCGGAAACTCCCTCCGCTTGGTCAGTAGTGTGTATGCAATCAACGAGTACACCGACAGCAACGGAATACCATAGGAATAGAAGACAATGAAGGCCCAGGTCGGCAGCATTATTCGTATCCTAACGGGGAGCTCGAAAGTGTTTCATGAGTCGACGACATTCTTCTCAAAAAACAGTTACAATTCCGCTCATCCTTAACCTGTATTGGTTCCCAATGGCACTAACGTTGTCTGTTGTGTAAAACTACATTGGAATGTGAAAATATTTTGCCGAGAATCCGGGCTTTGTGCGACAATTAGTGCCTACAAAACGTTCATTAAGTGGTCTACAAAGACGATGAAGAAGTGTGCGCTAAGAGGACCGGGTTGTTTGTCAATTACGTTTGTATGTCTTGCAATAATTGCACAACAAAACCATGGACTTCAATATTTATTTCGTACTCTGTAATATACCGTATGAACAAATGGATTATGTTGTTTGAGATATTATTTATTATGCAATTGGGATATTACTGACGTTGGTCTTTTCCGGCAGCGCGTCGGCTTGCTTGTCGTCCCGTCGACGAACACTTTGTCCGGTTAGTCGGGTTGACACTGTTTTGGTGGCGGTTTGGGTCATAAAGACAAAGCCCTGGAAAGAATTGGGTTACTATGGGGAAGAAGGAAAGAATTGATAACATTATTTAAAAATAGCGACTGTTGTGGGCAACCACTATGTAGACAGCTGACATCTGCCGATTAGAATTACGATTTTTCTACCGTAATCTACATAGGATGATGAAAGTTTTGCATTGACAACTCCCTGGCACGTCAAACTCAGGAGTCCGGTAACCGGAACAGACCCTTCGTTATCGGTTTTTTACACTTCGTCTTGATTTCGCAGAGAAAGAGAGAAAAGAGACACGCAAAAGCGTACTCTCTCGCCCCCAAAATTCCCCATTTCTTCCCCGACAAAACGCTTTTTCGCGTCTTTTTTTGGCATATTGTTTTAGGTTATCTCAGTTTGACGTGCCTGGTGCTGGTAAGTACACAAATCTATTGAATTCATCCACCGCTTTCAAAGCTATGGCAGTTTAAAAAAAAATGGTTTCTGAACCTTTAAAAATACCAGTTTAACTTTATGGTCACTATTCAAGCCATTTATACACTAGTGAACTTAATTCTCAACGTCTAACTGACAAATTCATCGTTTAAACTCCCTTTTCTAAGCAAATGTTGGCTGATTTCCAAAAATTCCCGCAGAATCTCCGTGGTTCTTCTAGCTGTCCGCAATGAGGTTGCCTGCAGGTGTGGACCCGTCTACTCCAAGCGCGACGCTCATATTTTCTTCAAGTTTTGCGTGCAGTTTTGGCATAGGCCCCATATCTCTATGGGCCGCTTGTTATTCACAAGATTTTTTATTTTTTTTAATAAGGTGGGGTGAAATACCCCTCTGTTTCCCATTGCTAGATTACCTGCAGCACACTTAGAATTGATAATCCCAGCCACATTCCCAAAGCTCCTCCGGCATCGCCAATGAACGAGGAAAATGTGTACGCGTATTTCTGCGACACTTCCAAATACTCGAACGATCCGAACTGAACTGCCATGCTGAGGACGTTGTCCGCAACGGAGGGCTTTCCATCCGGCGACAGCATCACCACTCGACCTCTTTGGAAGGTCTTGATGCTGTAGTGGGTTTGTTCGCAGTCACGGACGCACTTCTTTGTGCATTCGAGCTCATCGAAGTTATCGGAGGATGGACTGGAAATGGTGATTTTATCATTAAGGGTTTGACTTCAAAACTTACTCAATATCGCAATTCTGATAGTTACAGTAAGTCAAGTTCTTGGCGTTAGTGTCTTCGTCTTTCTCAACGAGGTCAGCCAACGCGATTGGAATGCATTTGCAGAGCTCCTAAACAAAATTAAAAACCTAGCGTATTAATGCGCAAGACATCAAAAATACGACCAAAACATACCTTGATATGGTCGTATCTGCACCTCGATCGGCATGTGAAATCGTCCTCCGCGTCTTCCTCGTAGCATTTGCAAGCCGATCCGGCGTCATCCGTCTCAAGCATTGAGTATTTATGCCTCACTTCCAGCTGAACTTCGTATCGACTGCCAAAACACAGAGGCTCCGTGAATCCATTACGTTTCTGCGATCCTTCAACCATGTAGGGCTCGCGGTCAAACCGTGAGCCATGGAAGTCAATGAAAACACATTCATCTTCGGGAACGACGTCTTCTCGATCCTCATCTTCGATAAATTCGGGGTTGAATTTGAAGGTCAGCATGAAGAAGGTCCCCTAAAATAATACTCTCAAAAATCACGTTGTCAATTATTGGTGTTCATTGGTTAGAAGGTACTACATATAAGTCTGTCGGTAAAATAATGAGCAAAATTAGCCGTGCCTATCGAATTGCTGAAGTATGTAAAAAGTAATTTGATTTTGCTGCGACACAATTCATTTTCTCGGCGATGATGAGATTTTTTATGCGATAGAATGCTCATTATTTTCTCGACAGGCTGATAGAGACTATAATACCATTGTAATCTACCTGTGAGTCGATTGGGATGTCCTCGGCAAACGTTGGACGGAAACAAAAGTCATTGAAGGAGAGCCATTCAATGTGCATCTTGGCTGGAATGGTGGTCTTCCCCATCGGTGGTTGTGGCTTGTGGGTCTCGCGTTCGAAGCGGGTAAGCCCTCTAAAAATATACAGTATTACAGTCAGAATATATCTGTTTGTCGGGAAAATAATGAGCACTCTGTCGCAGCAAAAATCACCGTCGGAAAATTGAATTGTGCCGCGGAAAACGCAAAGAAAAAACTTTGCTTTTCACTTCTGCGACGCGATTGGCGTAGCGACATTGGGCTCATTATTTTTCCGACAAATTGATCATATAAAAGGTTGTTCTTTACACTCAAAAGGAAGCATTTTCTTTGCTATGCAGAGCTCGTATTATGATCGCCCAACAACTTACTTCATAATAGCTCTCATTCCGACTGCTTGCACCAATGCATCGACTTCAATGTCATTTTCCTTCATGAAGTTGAGCCAGAACTGGAAATTTATACGTTTCAATATATTGAAGTTACTTTACCTTAATGTTTTCCCAATTATTCGCGGCGGAATACCGCGTTTTCCCTTTGCCAAAGCTGGTCAACTTCTTTGCCACCTCATCTTCGTAGGTCTCCACCTCCAGCGTGTGAAACGCGGCCAGCGCGTTGAATGCGGAGAAAACGAGCTCGTCCGTCCACGGGTTGGCCACCAATCTTCCGGTGAGGTTGAATGCATCCAGTTGTTGCTAAAACCGGCAAAAGAATGGCTATTAATTTATCGTCATCAATGTTATACCTGCAGTAGCTCCGGCTTGGGCATTGTTCCATTGTTTCCCAGACTCGCCACAACATTGCTCAACACATGGCCAGATGGGAAACATAACGTCATTGGCGGCATGTCCATCGACTTGTTGAGGACAATATCCAAGTCGGCTTTTTTCGGATTCTCCAAGTAGTCTACTGTAATATCGTACACATTTTTCAGAGTGATAATGGAGAAGAAGACGACAACAGTCCAAAAGAGAAGCCTCCGCCAGTCGGTGCAGAGAAGGCCTCGCCAGTCCAGCTTCTCCTCTTCCTTGAGATCCGCCATCCTGAAAGAATTGGGCTAGGATTTTTTTGAAAAAATAAATGTGTTTTTTATATAGTAATAACGCGCCACAAAAGAAACGGATGGATTCAAAATGCGTTGAAGTTTACAAGAGAAGGCTTCCAAATGAGACCCTCAGATTTTTTCTAAATTTTTACATACGCATGGGTCCTGGCTCACATCTCATTTCCTGCAAGTTTTAGCTCGCGCTTTGCAGGTGCTGCCGGGAAATTCAATAATTTTTGAGACCGAGAGAGTACGCGAAATGCGGGGAGTGGGTCGAAAGAGAGACTTTTTGGCCATATCTTTGATAGTTTTGGGGGGAAAAAATTAGTTTTTGGATAGAAAAAAACCCTCGGCAATAGAAACAGGCATGATTTTTCATGAAAAAATCGCAAAAAATGTCAAGTTTTTGCCGACTTTCGATCTAAAAAAATTCTTTTTACCTGAACAAAAACCACGAATACATTCGAGAAAGCCATGAGAGAATCCCTAGAAATTTTCCAATTTTTCTTGCGCACATATTTTTTCGTTATTATCATAGCTCGAAAAGCTGTCACAAATTATCAGTCTGCCTGTCGGGAAAATAATGTGGACTTGCCGCGCCTTGAAATCTCCCCATCATTGCTTTGCGACGGTTACCCGCGACTGGGCTTTTGATGTGCGACTGCGACGAAACAAGTCATTTTTCTGCGACAAACCCACATTATTTTCCCGACAGACTGAAGATGGTATTCAATTTATAGAAATCAATTTCCCCCCACTAACCTCCTAACTCCCTCAACGGCCGAACGAAACAAGAGACTCATAAAAAGAGGTTCAATTTATTCCCGAGAAATTAGTTGCGCGACGGAACGAGTGCCTGCGGTTTGGAGTGTTTTTCCCTTTCCTTTCTCATCGACTTTAAGGTAAGTTTAAATTTTTGTGGGCTGACTGCGAAAACAGGACGCTTACTTCGCGCTTTCGCCGCGAAAGGTGGGTGTTTTCGCTGAGGGTAATCTGATTTGAAGAGAAAGGACGAGATTCAAAGTGAAGCGTGAAATTGAAGAATTAAAAAGAGTTTGGTGTTTGTTGTTAATACGGTAGGCGCTAATCAATTGTCAAAGCGTTCGCTGTCGACGGGTAATTTGTCTAACAGGCTCGGTACAAGTCTGATATCAAGGGAAATAACAGACGAGACGTTCCGCATTCCAACGTTGTTATTTTTTGAGAGCAAACACAATGTATTGGGGAAGCGCGTCAAGTGCGATGAAACTTGGGACAAATCAAGAAAAAGTGTTTTCTAAGGCATAACAGACAACTAGAGTGGACTTTGTTGAAACGACCGAGATTTTTTTATTAAAGTTGGAAGAGATCTGACACTTTCTTGGGAGTTTTGGCATGAAATACCGATTCCTACCATAGACGGTAAAACTTAAAAATAAGAATTACATTTTTTTCATGCGAAACTGGCATAGATACAGTGGCGAACCTCATCCAGCGGCAAAAGCATACCATTTTGCATCGCGGAGGTATCAAAAATGTGGCAAAATACCTCCATCCCCAAGTTAAAAAACTCCGATTTCAAAAACGCGCCCGCTCTTTTTGTGAGGGAAAAGGCGAGCTCTTCAAAACGGAGTTTTTTTTTCACTTGGAGAAGGAGGTATTTTGCTGCATTTTCGATACTTCCCAAATGCGAAATGGTACTACTTTTTGCCACTGGATCTCTACTGTCACCAAAAGTACTTTTATCAAAGCTTCTGTCGAAAAACCGGCTTCGGCTTTTTCCGAAGCCGGCACATAACGTCATCCCTTTTGTACGGTGTTGTTTTCTGTGTCCGCTCTCCATGTTTGGCGTACTCTCTCGACGGCAAAGGTCGTTGAATATCTCGGCTGCCCTTGCAAAGCGCGGGCTAAAATTTTCTGGAGTAAATTTGTGGCCTATGCCTGAACTTTGCGTGGCATTTGAAGAAGCTCTGGGCTCAACTACGTCACGAATTCTTTTACAGCGGATTCGTAGCGTAGTTGAGAGAAAATTTCTGGTTTCTTGAAATTTCTTGTACGAAAATCTTACTGTATAGAATGGTCAATAAGCCCTTGATTCGTGAAGTGCACTAAATCAGATTTACTACTAAAAGTTTATTTTAAAACGTGCTCTTTGTCGTTCAACAGTTTTATCAATGTTTTCGTCACCATTCTGCCACTTCATAGTGCAATTGATTTTTAGCACTTCTTGAAAACACTAATTGAATCCAATTTTTGCTCTTCAAAACTCCCTCTTCCTCCATCTTCGTCATCGTCAGCCACCGGACCAACCAAAGACCGGGCGTTTACGCAATCACTCGCCCAATAATTCTAATTACTCCCAATCGAATAGGATTACTTCTTTATTGTGGCTGTAAACGCAGACATTTCCATTTATTTTACAATACATTAGGAGACTACATCGGCGACACATCATGTTTACAATTAATTACAGTTATTAGGGATTGGTGGGAGCGACTTTATTGCCCTGCCCTATCCGTGTGACGGCCTTGGTGGTGACCTGCTCGGCGGCGGTGAATGAGTCCTGGAAGTGGGGTGGAATTAGTGAGAAAAACATGTCGGTAAAAAATTTACGAATATATAAAACGAATGGGATCGTGACAAACCAAGTCCGTTCAATTTCGAAGGCTTCCCAGTGCGACACTCAGATTTTCTTTAAACTTGGCGCACACGTCAGGCATAGCCCACATATGAATTCCTCAAAGTTTTAGCTTCCAATTCGCAGCGGCATCCAAGAAATTCAATGATATTTTCTGCCGAGAGAGTACGCAAAACACAGAGAGCGGTCAGAGAAAAAAAAACATTTTTTAGACATGACTTTGCTGATTTCAGGCAGAAAATAATTATTTATTTGAGAACATTGCCCTCTACAGTAGAAATAGGCACAAAACTTTTCATGCCAAAAGAATTCCAAAAAACTGTCGGGTTTTTGTACAACTTTCGACCTAAAAACGTCTATTGTTTCCGTAAAACGCAAGCTAGGAGCCTTACACATTTTCGAAAAAAGTTTTTCTAAATTTGTGCCAAGTTTCATCAAGATATGAGCGTCCCACTTGGAGTACTTCCCCTTTAAGTTAAAAAAAATCTTGGCTGGCCCAAATGCCATGTCTAGCCCATTGCTCACCTGAATGATTCCCAGTATAGACAAGCCCAGCCACAACCCAAGGATTCCTCCTAATTCTCCAATAAAAGCGGACCATGACTTGTAAACCTTTTCTTGCTCCACCGTCATGTATTCAAATGATGCCCAACTAACGAAAACAGTCGTCATGGCATTCGATTTCACTTTTTCTCCATTCGATAGGGGATGGACGATCCGAGCGGTTTGTCCGGAGATAATTTGGAAGCGAGTCTGTTTACAGTCTCGCTTGCAGTTATCCGCGCATTCTCCTTCCCTTGACTTGAATTGTTGGACACTGAAACGGAAGATAAGTTCGATATTATAATATAAGTAGAAACTGTATAGTGAAGGACCCGATCCAGGGGCAAAAAACGTACCATTTTGCATCCGGAAAGCATCAAAAATGTGGCAAAATGCTTCCCTCTCCTAGTTAAAAAGCTTCATTTTGAAGGGCGCGCCTCACAAAAAGAGCGGGCGCGCTTTAGAAATCGGAGTTTTTTCACGTGGAGAGGGAAGCATTTTGCCACATTTTTGATACTTCCCGGATGCAAAATGGTACGTTTTTTGCCACTGGATCAGGTCCCCACTGTATAGCGCAGTTCTCGCCGTTGTACAAATAAAACATTGTTTTTCTGCGACTTACTCAACGTCGCATTGGCTGTAATCCCCGCACAACGGAAGATCATCGTCTTCGCCGGCGTCCAGCAAATGTTGCGTCGACATTGCCGTGCAATTGCAAATGTCCTTGATCAACGCCGCTCTGCAGATCCCATGGCATTCAAATACTGTCTTCTCCTCTTCACCGTCATCGTCACCAATTTCTTGACACTTGGTTCCCTCTTCGTCGTTTTCGACCATCGTGTAGACGTCCAGCACTTCGACAGTGACGTCGTATCGAAGGCCAGGGCAAATACTTTCGGTAATCCCGTCACGACTTGAGCCTCCGTGCTCCGAATATGGGGAAATATCGTAGGGGTCGCCGTGGAAGTTCATACTGGCACACTTGACTTGATCTTCCTTGGGAAGATTCTTCTCGTTTTGGAAGTAATTTAGGAAGAGGAACGCGTTCTGAAAACGGTCAATTTTGTTTTGAACTCTTGGCTTTTGAGTAAAACATCTTTTTTCAGGGAATTTTTGGTCTTAAATTTTATCGACTAGTCGCATTTAGCCAAAAAAACAAGGCCTTTTTAAGCTTTTTTTGACTGAAAAATTTCTTGTATTCTTTTTGAAGAGAGAAGCCGCCTAAAAAACAAAAATTGCCTGGGGCAAAAACCCCATTTTTTTGAAAATTTTTACCTGATGTGTAACGGGAGCTCCGGTTGTCTCATTTAAAACCGCTTTGAAGCAGAAATCCTTCTCGGAAATCCAAGTGGTCTCAGCCTCAATTTGATCGCTTGTGACCTCCGTTTTATTGTGGTAAAGTCTTTGGAATTCTCCACGGACCATTCTGAAAAACACAGTAATATTATGACAATATTGTCATCAACTTACATATCAATAATGTCACTGCCGACTTTTTTCTTCAACTCCTCAAATGTCACATTTCTCGTCTCCAGTTGAGACGTCCAGAACTAAAAATCAAGTCGAAGATTACAGTGGGAAAAACGACAAAGTTAGTCATCAAAATTTTTGGACTTACCTTGACATTGTTTCTCTTCTCCGAGAAAAATTTCGAGGGGCTGTTGCCGAACTGTTTGATTTGTTTAGCCAAGAAACTTCCAAACGCCTCCCTTTCCAAGGTGTGGAGAGCCGCAACGGCCGTATACGCGCTATACAACAATTTTTCGCCCCACTTTTTGCCAAGGAAATCGTCTTTGGTCTTCATTCGACTTAGATACTTCTGAAAATATTTTTATTCAGTTTCCGAAATGAGTTATAGGCGCTACAAAGCGGTCAACTCACTTCAATCTCCTTCAAATCCGTCTCCTTCGCCGCTTTGCTAAAATGACTGGTCGCTTGCACTGATGGGACGCAGAATGTGATATCAGGGATCGGCATGGTCTCATTCACTTCAATCTTCATGTCCGACTCCTTTGGCTCTTGCCAATAGCGTTCCCACAAAAGATAAGAGTCGTGGATTGTGACGGCGATCATGGCGCCGAAAATGACGGCGCCAAGGACCGAGCGCCAGTTCGGGTCGCGGAATGGCTTTAGTAAGGCAGCAAACATGCTGAAAACCTGATTGGAATATGAAAAGGAAAGTAAAAGGCATAAGATATCGCTGGATCAAACCAGTTAGGTCTTTGGATGGAGATGACGTATTGTACAGACTATTTATTATGCGTATTTATACAGGAAGAGAAGTTAATTTAGGTCAGTTCGAGGCCATCGACGATCTTCTTCGGCTCTTTAGGTCTTGGTCTGCAAAAGTGGGGTTTTAGAGAGTCTGAGCGTAATTTTACTAGAGTCTGAAGGCCTACAGTGGGGGACCTGATCCAGTGGCAAAAATGTTCCATTTTGCATCCGGGAAGTATCAAAAATGTGGCAAAATGCTTCCCTCTCCAAGTGAAAAAACTCAGATTTCAAAAGCGCGGCCGCTCTTTTTGTGACGGAAAGCCCTTCAAAACGAAGTTTTTTCACTTTGAGAGGGAAGCATTTTGCCACATTTTTGACGCTTCCCGGATGCAAAATGATACGTTTTTGCCACTAGATCGAGTCTTTTACTGTATTAAGCAGAGAAAAAAGGCTATCCGCCAAAATCACCCTACCGACTCCGCCAAACGGATTCTGGCTCAACGTCACGTCCCCGAACGGGTTGCTCGACAATTTTCTCGTAATCGGTCCATTCGCTTCATCCGTATTCTCGAATTCCTTCGGTCGAAACAGCCGGTACATCCAGATGACGGCTTGGATGAAGCTCACAGCCGAAAGTCCCAGCCACAAGCCGAGAACTCCTCCAACATTTCCAATAAACTCGACCCAAGTCTCCTCGTAGTCCTGCTCACAATCCATGTACTCGAACGAGGTGAAGAGGAAGTTTACGGTCAGCTCGTTGTGCGGGACGTCCTGGCTCAGGTCTTTGACGAGCTTGGCCATCGCTGCGGGGTCGCTTTTGGCTCGGGTCTGAGCAATGATGGCCGAGGTGTGACGAGCCACACCTTTCTTCACATCGTACTTTATGTAGTTGCAGTCGCGATGGCACTCGGCGCGGCAGTCTTTCTCCGTGTTGGTGATGTTGGCTGGTCTGGAAGAGATATGGCGGTCAGATCATAATAAATATTATAGCTATCCAAATTTCTTTGAATTTCTAAAAAAGCCAAATTTTGGTATTCATCGTGGCGGACCTGATCCAGTGGCAAAACACGTACCATTTTGCATCTAGGAAGCATCAAAAAATGTGGCAAAATTCTTCCCTCTCCAAGTGAAAAAACTCCGATTTCAAAAGCGCCCCCGCTCCTTTTTTGTGAGGCAAAGGGCGCGCCCTTAAAAACGAAGTTTTTTCACTTGAAGAGGGAAGCATTATGCCACATTTTTGATGCTTCCCGGATGAAAAATGGCACATTTTTTGCCACTGAACCAGATCCCCCGCTCTACGTGAACCGCCTAATTTTTCACGCTAAATAATCTTACTCAATCATTTTCAAATTACTGTAGTCGCATCGAGGGAACTTCTTCAGCTCGTCTTCATCTGCCAAGTACTCCAGCGTGATTGGAGTGCACTCCAAATTCGTCTACAAGGATATATTCCTTTTTTATCATAACTGCTTTATCACCGCTCACCTGAACCATCTCCTTTCTACATTTGGCATGGCATTCAATCTCCTCACCCTCCCCGTATCCCCTGCAAATCTTGTCGTCCTCTTCTCGTGGGTCGTCCACCATCCGATAATACGCCTTCACCGTGGTCGTGACATCATGTCGGTCGCCAAAACAGAGATCCTCCACAACTCCGTTGTTCTCTCTGCCATGGTTCAGATGATAGCGCCAGAAGGAGCTTGGTCGGCCCGAGACATCAGCAGTGGGGCAATCAAGATCGTTGGTGAGGAGATTTTGCATGTTCAGCACTGATGTAAACGTGAAAAATGTGCCCTGAAGATTGCAAGGTTACAGTTAAATCGCCCCAAATATTATTGTGGTTGATGCGACAAGCCTATTTACCTGAAAATCCACCGGTGAATTGTCATGAAAAGCCGGTTGCCAGCAAAATTCCTCCTGCGAAAGCCAGGTAATCTTGGGCCAAGTGAGAATCTTCAACTCATCGTTTTTAGTCAGCCTTTGTAGACGTCGCATTTGGCTGTAAATTAAAAATCATAGCTAGAAATACCGGTACTTACTAGCCAAGTGCTTCAACTCCGGCTTTTTGTCGAGCATCTTCAATTGTAACTCCCAAATCATCAAAGAGCTTGGTGTATTTCTGAAAGTTTTCAAATACAATGCTGTTTATACGATATTCAATGGCTTTAAAGGAATTCTGAACCCTACCTGAATCTTCTTTCGTTTATTTTCGTCCGCATTCCGCACCGAGAACATCAGCATCTGCCCCACTGTGTTCACGGTTGTAATCTCCTTCATGTACAACGTTTGCAGCGTGTCAAACACGTCGAACAGAAACTCTGGAGGCCATTTCTCCTCGAGGAATGCTTCTTTGGTGGAGATTTTTTTCATTGCTTCCTGGAGAGAGAGAAAAATTATATTATACTTGACTATTACACTCACTTCAATCTTCCCGTCCCAATAAGCGCGTCGCGCCTCGTTTGATGACTGATTGCGCAGCGGACCCCAGTCCATGAAGGCCTGAATTTGCGCCTGAGGCATGCAGATTGTGATGTTCGGCATGCTCATGGAATTGTTGAAACGAACCACCATGTCGATGGACTTGTTGTACTCGAAATGCTCTTTGATTGCGAGAAACAAATCTTTGATGGTGAGCGCCATCATGACAACAATAATGCTCCAGAAGATGTAGGTCTTCTTCTTCTTGCCGAAGATGACCTGCTTCCAGGAGATGGGCTCGCCATCTTTGTTGTACGGCATCTGAAAGTGGTGGTGAATTTTGATGATTTGGACAAAAATGAGTTCGAAAAAACTGGGAAATAAAGGCTTCAGATTCAAATTAATTATCAGAAAAATTCAAAGCTTGATGGTGACAAATTTTACCTCAATCAGTCTGTCGGGAAAATAATAAACGAAATTTTGCAGCGCTGAAGTGTCACTGAAGTGAAAAGCAACTTGATTTAGCCGCCATACAATTTATTTTCTCAGCGGCGATTTTCGCTTTGAAAGAGTGCTCATTATTTTCCCGACAGACTGATATTTTCGCTTTCCAAAAAGTCACCTCAAAACTCAATCTACTGTAATGAAAATCCGCACAAATGTGTTCCGGAACACGATGATTTAACGTCCCAGCGTCTTGGTTTAATGCCGCAAGGCCTTAATTCTTCGAAAGACAATAGAGTTATTGATCGCATAATTTATCATATTAGTCTGACGAGAAAATAATGAGCACAATATCGCTGCGCCAATCGATTTCCCTAGCGGCGATGCGATTTTTGCTGCGACAGAGTGCCCATTATTTTCCCGACAGTCTGATCTCCAAATCTCACGTTTGTAACCCGGCTACAATAAATGTTTAAACAGACATTATACTTCCTCCCCATCAATCAACGAAGTAAGAATAACAAAGTTTAAAAAAAACGGGGATGGATCAAGAAGGAGCGTTCAGAAGAGTGAACCGTACACTAAAACGCTCTCAATTAGTCGTCAGTTTCTTGGAACTGAACATAGAATTTCCTGCAATCAACCGAACGCACGTTCAGGCCGATCGAGCCATCCAAATCAAGAGCGTGGAAGCTCAGAGGAGAATGAGAATTTAATCAAATTAATTTCTCGAACATGCCATAAAACAATTGGCAATCAACAAGTTCAGGGATGGCTTTGGAAGGGCCGAAAGTCAAGCGGGGTACCCGCCGTTGAATGGGGTTTATTTCGCGGCGGGCTTGTAATAAAAAACACAACATTAAGAGGGTTCCTGATGAAGTCAAGAGGTTGGGGGAGAGACAAGTTTGTGTTTTTCGTTCGATTAAAACATTGGAACTGTAGGAGGCGTCGTTTAAATGTTTTCCTTAAATTTACAGCGTCCCTGCTTCGGCGGCGAAGCGGTTTCGCCGCTTTCGCGGCCTCTTCGCAAGACCTCCGACCATCTAATTAGTTGTTTTTTTGATTTGCGTCAGAGTTTCGACACAACGCCGCCTTTCCGGCGGTGACCGAAACACGGTCATGAGTTGAGGTAGGCGCGGGTGGAAAACAAAAAGTTCAATGTTCCCGGAGGGCAGGGAGTCTGAAACAACAGTTTAAGCGCGTTAACGGAGTACATCGGAGATTACAGCAATCTTGAGTAGACAATTACGACAAGTACATTGTTAAAACATCAGTACTTAATTTAATGCCGAAAGGTCTTGTAAAAAACCTTTTCAAAGGCTAATGAAATCATTTATTATCGTAAAATAAGTCATGTCAGTCTGTCGGGAAAATAATGAGCACAATATCGCAGGGCCAATCACTTCGCTGGCAAAATTCAAGGACCACAAAAGGCTTTTTTGAACCAAAATTTTATCGGCTAAAAAATTGAAAATCAGGGATTTTCGTGTCGAGAAAATTCCGAAGAACAAATGTTCTCGATTTTTTTGGATAGGAAGATTTTCCGAGTTTTTGTTCTGTCCTCCTTGCAGTAATTAATGGACATTGGCTCCATGAGCAGAATTCCTCTGCGCCAATCACGCCGCTAAAGCCAAAAACAATTTAATATTGCCGCGAAATCATTTATTTATTTTCTCCATCGGCGATGCGATTTTTGATGCGACAGAGTGCTTATTATTTTCCCGACAAATTGATAACAAACAAAATATTTATTTTGTACAAAAAATATCTCTTCTCCAAACAATCAGTAATTTAAGCAGCACGCATAACTTTGAGCCTCGCATTTACCCGGCAGATGGATTGGGATTCATCTCCACATCATTGGAACTACCCATCGACATTTGCCGACTCTTCTTCCGGACTCCAGCAATGGTTTCATCGACGAAATCACCAAACGGATTGAATGACAACGAGGTTGACCCAAGCGGATTGGACGAGACTTTCCTGTCCATGGCTTTCATTCTGGCCGCTTGCTCGTTCTCGTCCTCCTCTTGTCTCTTCTTTTGGTGCGCGGCCGCACATTTGTCGTAGATGAAGAAGGAACCCTGGAAATGGGATTTTGAATTTTGGTACGTGAAACGGACACTAGAAGATCGTAATACTTTCCAAGATTTATGCAGAGCTTTGTCCTTTGCAAAAACCTTTTAAAAATTCATTTTAGCTTGAAGATAGACGGAAACCTGACATAAACCTGTCGTCTTTATTATATCAGTCTGTCGTGAAAATAATGAGCATTCCGTCGGATCGAAAAATATGGATTGTGTCGCGGCATGATAAAGTTGCTTTTCACTTCAGCTATGTTATCGGCGTAGCGTCATTGTGCTCATTATTTTTCCGACAGACTGATATGTATGCAGCTGAAATTTTTCTTGATATTGGGAACAATTTGTTTCTGTGAAAAAATGGCCAAAACAAGCAAATACGATAAAAGTACTGGTCTTTTTTACCGCTTCTCCAAATTTTATAAGCCTCTTGCCTTCAATGGTCATTGAGAACCTTAGCTAGCTCTAACAACCGTGCCATGACTTTCAAAAACAGTCCAGTGGGCTAAGCGATACATTTCTGTTTACATTTTACTTCTAATCTCACCTGAATCAGCCCCAGCACCGACAATCCCAACCAACACCCCAAAATCCCGCCGACATTCCCCATGAAGCTTGACCAAGTGTATTCCCAATCTTGCTCCGTCTGAATGTACTCAAATGTCCTCCAATGGAAGCTGATCGATGTAACATTGGGGTCTTTCTGACTCTTCTCCAACGTGTCCTCCTTTCCATCGGAGAAGTTGACCAATTGCGCGGCAGAGCTGCTCATGTCCTTCGAGATGGACCACTGCACTGTGGTGCAGCTGCGATAGCACTCTTTCTTGCAGTCCTCCTCAGTTTCGTTGACGGGAAGTTGAGTCGGTCTGAAATAGAGAAAAATCAAAGACTTGGGGTTATAACTCACAGTAAAGTGCAATTTTCGTATGAATTGCAAAGAGGGAACTCTTCCAGCTCCTTTTCGTCATCAACGAAGTCTCGAAGAGTCATTGCAGTGCAGCCACAGACGTGCTGAAAGCGATAACTTTAAGATTTTTACAGCAAAAAATTACTTTTTTTACTCTAACTGAGCACCCACCCTAATAAAGTTCAGTCGACATTTCAGCAGACATCCATACTCGCTCTCATTATCCCCTTCGTAAACAGTACATTTCTTCCCCTCGTTGTTGTTTTCCAACTGCTTGTAGATCCCAACAATCTCGACGTTCAAATGAAGATCGGTGCCAAAACACATCTCCTCAAAAACTCCATCTCTTGAGCGGCCTTTGCCCACCGCGAAGCGCTCATAATCCGAGGAGCGGCCCGCGAAATCAACGGTAATACAATCAATGTCGTGCTTGGCGTACGCAATCGGTGAGCGGATTTGGAGGTTGAAGAACTCGCCCTACAAGTTATTCAGTTTACGAGAGTTTGTTATGCGTAAGCTTTACTGTACCTGGAAGTCAATTGGTTTAAAGAATTCCGCTTGAGCAGCTGGTTGAAAGCAGAATAAACTGGCTGAAATCCATTTGATCAAAGGGTAGGTAGTGAGGTCTCGTTCTGTATCTCGAGTCAGCCGTTTCATCCGCTGAAGCGATCTAAATTTGAAAGTCACCGAATAGATAAGGCACTTACAATTTAATCAGTTCATATCCGGCCTTCTGAACGAACTGGTTGAAGGTGACGTTTCGAACATCAAGCTCGTGGAACCATTGCTGAAAATGGAAATTGAGAGATGATGCGTGGCTTTGATATAGTGGCAAAAAACGCACCATTTTGCATCCGGGAAGTATCAAAAACATGGCAAAATGCTTCCCTTTCCAAGCGAAAAAACTTCGTTTTGAAGGGCGCGCCCTTTTTCCTTACAAAAAAGACCGGGAACGCTTTTGAAATCTGAGTTTTTATACTTGGAAAAGGAGGCATTTTGCCACATTCGTGATGCTTCCTGGATGCAAAATGGTACGTCTCTTGCCACTGAATCAGGTCCCCCACTGCCGAACCAGCTGCAGTACCAGCTCTGATTAGACATGGCTAGTGGGCCGGGCCGAACGCGTTTTAAAGGCCCCGGGGCCGGGCCGACCTCTTCCGGCCCCCCGGGCCGTGCCGACCGGGGGCCCCCGCCAGGCCCCCAATCGGCCCCCAATGACTAAAATTCTCAGTCTCAAAGCGAAAATTAGGGTTGCCAATAAAAATAAAACGCAGAGCCAAGAACCGATTGGGTTTTTTGAAGTACTTTAGGCAATGGTTGGTAATTTTTTGCTTCAAAAATTTATTGTCGATTGTTATATCAAAAAAATGGGGACTAAGGTAAGGTAGTACAACTCGCCAGCCCAGTTCAGCCCCCCTGGACCCAGTATAAACCCCCTCATCCAATCTGAAGCGCCTACTCGGGATTGGGTTCTCTCGGCTACGATCATCGTTGCCTGAACCACAAAAACGAATTTGGACGGTAACTGGGGCTTTGAACTAAAAAGCCTGGGGTCATTTTACTCTAATTTGCATTTTTTGTATAATTCTAATTTTTTAATTACGGTGGGTGTGAAATGGGCAAAACAGTGGGGGTTTGAACTACTTTTCGCGGGGAGCTGAACTACCAAAGCCCCAAAAAAATGTGTTATATCTCGCAATGAATGCAGTATTTATATTTACAGGCCACGATTTTCGGCCCGGCCCGGCCCCCCAGCCATGTCTAGCTCTGATAGGCCCGGTACGGCTCAAATTCGCTTCGGACCGGCCTGGGAGCTATGCCTAGTCTCTCCTCGGGAGTGACCTTATTTTTTCTGCGCGGAATTTGCTATGAAATGCCCAAAAATTATTTTTTCTTAAGTCACCTCATTTTGAGCACTTTGTCGTTATAAAGACCGGTAAATTTACGGCTGCTTCTCTAAAGCACGTGCTATAGTTTCCTTGCAAGTTCTGGTATTCCTAAATAGAGTTTCAGGGAAAATAAAACACCTACTTGAACCATTTGTCGCTTCACCAGAGTCTTGGAGCTCTTCCCCAACATCAACAAGTTCAACGGGATCCTCTCGAGCATCAGCTCCCGTTCGTAGGTATAAAACGTTCCAATCACTTCAATGGCCTCTCTTATCAGCCGAAAATCCCATTCTTTTTCCAGAAAATCTTCTGTGGAATTTAGCCTTGCGAGTGATGCCTAAGAGCCGAAATAAGATGTCAGTTATGCTCTTACATTCACTTTGACATCCCACTCTTCCCCGCCATCTTTCTCGACCATCTCTTGAATTGGCAGCATCGCTTGCTCCTTCCCCATGCAAAAGGTGATATTCGGAAAAGTCATGGTCTCGTTGAAGACCATCATCATATTCGTTTGTGTCTCATTGTCAAGATAGTCGTTTACGGCCTCATTTAAGTCGCGAAGAGTGAGCGCTGTGAAGAGAAGGACGAGGAACCAGAAGATGTAATTGGACCATCGATTTGAGCAGAAAATCCCACGCCAATCAACCTTTTCCGGATTCATAACACCGACGATCTCGCCCATCCTGCAAAGTTTTGCGTATTTGGGGACTTGGAGAAAATTTTGTAATAACTCAATGGACATAATGGGAATTATAGGAATTATTCCAAGCCCCACACTGAGGCTGTTATGAACCCTGGCAAAGATCTTAAAATTTTTTCATGACTCTTTTTTAAGCGAGACCCCTAGCCCGCGCTTTGCAGAAACGAACGAGGTTTTAGGTCAAAATGTGGGTATGATTTGGCACTTTTTGTGCAATTTTACGGCATGAAAATTTTCCTGATCACTTCCTAGATTGTCTGTATAAAAAATCAATTTTTTCGCGCCTGCAACGATCGAAGATATGGCCAAGAAGTGTTTTTGACCGCTCTGCGCTTTTCTTGCCTCCTGTCGGCTATAACGGTCGCTGTATCCCGGCAGTCCCTGCAAGGTGTGAGCTAAAGTCATCAGGAATTGATGTGTGGCCTGGACGTGCGTCGAAATTTTTAAGATTTTCTACATGAAACCCCTGCTCACGTTTTCTGCAGAACGTTGGCTAAAGAACACAATCTCTACCCGCGGACTGAGAATCCTATATCTAAAACTTTGCCTGGCATTGTCAAAGTGAGAAAATCAAATTCCTCTGGGCTATGAAATTTCTGTCAACGTTCTGCATAACCAAAAAAACCCTGTATCTGTAAAAAACACTTATTTCCCAGCGCTACTCGAAAAATAAAAAGACAATTTGAGATTCAACTATTAACACTTTCCGGTGAAATCAAACTTCTTTTACAAACCGTTGGGGAAAGACTGATTTGATTTCCTCGTTGTAATACACTCGAAAAATTTCGGGTTTGACGTCAACTTTCACTTTCTTCGATATTAATTTTTCGTTCGGAATTGACTTTAATTCACTTTATTTACAGCAATATTGTGATCCGAATTTGCTACAAAGATAAGTTAAGCGAGTAAAAATCGGTTTCCGATTACATCAATGAGGTGAACAATGCAATTTGCCTCCAAAAATACCATGGTTATCATTGCGTCGGTGACAATGTCAAGCGAACGGAGCGACCGACTTGGACCAGTCGACGAACGAGAGGCGGCTTCCGACCGGCTTTTCGGTCAGTCTTTTGTTCAGGAAGTCGTACGCGACGCCTCTTCCGTTCTCCTTGTGCGAGTAGAAGATGGCGGGAGTGCGGCGATCGGAAAAGTTCAGCACTCGAGGCTTGTACTTCTCAGGGCCGTTGAATTTTAATGGCCCACGACGAAAATAGACCTCGTTCTTTTGGATGTAGAGTGTGTATTGGCCATTGGAGATGCCGCGAGGCGCAACAGCTGAAAATATATTTTCACAAACCGGGACAAAGGAAAAAATTCACAGTCTGACGGGCGACGCTCAGATTTTCTTTAAATTTTGCACACAATCCGGGCATGGGGCACCTAACAATGCCTGAAAGTTTTAGCTCGCGCTTTGCAGGCGCAGCCGAGATATTCAACAATCTTTGAGACCGAGAGAGTACGGAAAAGGCGGAGTGTGGTCAGACAGAAGGGCTTGAAAATTCTTCTTGGCCGTTTCTTTGACAGTTTCGTGCGGAAAAAATTGATTTTTTTTGTGAAAACAGTAGTCTTTACAGTAGAAATTTTAGGCCAAATTTTCACGCCAAAACTCGCCAAAAAATGTCATATTCTTACCAAATTTCGACCTAAAAATCTCGGTTTTTTCCGCAAAGAGCGAGCTAGAAGTTTCGCATGTTTTTCGCATACTACCTTGTTAGAACAAATTGATCTAAATTTGTGTCAAGTTTCATCAAAATCCCAGCGTTGCACTTGGAGTTTTGAGACAAAAGCTTTATCAGAAAAACAAGCTAATCTGCGTTTAATTCGCTTTAAAATGTTTCAAAAACAGCCCGCGGCGAGGAGGATTTTTATTGCTAAAAATATAAGGGATCAACAACCTCTTTTTTCTTTCTTAAACCGCGCAGTTGAAACAAACGAGCGCGCTAAAAATCGAGGAAGCGTCCGTGAAAAAGTTTGTCCTAAAGGGTGGGCGAAATTAGGTGATCAAGTCTAATTTGCGATTAAGCATGAGTGGAGAGTTGCGATTAAGCGCGGGTGAGGAAAAGTTGAGGGGGTGGAAAAGAACGATCCGGTTGACAAAAAAACATCATGTTCTGTTTAAAGAATTTGTTGAGTTAACAAGGGAACTACTCCAAGTGCGACGCTCAGATTTTCTTTAAACTTTGCACACACGTCGGATATGGACTAAATATCAATTCCTGAAAGTTTTAGCTCGCGCTTTGCAGGCGCCGCCGAGATATCGAACGAAAGAGAAAGCACGCTAAACGTGGAGAGCGGTCAGAGCGAAAAACGTTTTTTGGCCATAACTTTGGCAGTTTCGTGCGGAAAATTTTGATTTTTTGTAGAAATATTATCCTTTACGGCAGAAACAGGCTTGAAACTTTTCGTGCCAAAATTCGGCAAAAAGTCCTAAATTTTGGCCGACTTTCGATCTAAATATTTCGGTTTTTTTTTTGCAGAGCGCGAGCTAGGATTCTCGCATATATCTTACGAGGGAATGGTCTGAACTTCCCCCAGCGTTTGGGAAAACGACTAGTACAGGTGGATAGAGCATGTCAACTTTGGTAAAAAGAGCCATTTTCCAGCTGCGGAATAAGCCCGGCCGACGAGAAAAATCGACCGAAAGTTCCACAAAAATTTCCTCTTTCTCTTCCCTCGGAAAAGAAGAGCGGTGTCCAATGGTTCGGTTAGCCGAGTGGATAAAACATCCGCTCGGTATTCTTTTGGGGGTTGGTTCGGTTCCGGGGTCGCGTGGAGGACCATGATAAGGCTTTGATGAGCAAGATCAAACTCTAACAACCCAAAAAAATATTTTGCCATTTTTATACGTTTTATGGAGGCATTATACCAAAACAATAATCGTCAACAAATGCATTTTTGGGTGCTTCCGAACTTTCAAAGCGATGGAACGTCGAAGTTACACTGGGTTGGTGATAGACTTGACTTTGAAAAAGGCAAAATAATTTTTGTTTGGGTTGTTAGAGTTTGATCTTACTCATGAAAGCCTTATCACGGTCCTTCGCGAGACTCCGGAATCGAACCAACCCCCAAAAGAATACCGAGCGGATGCTTTATCCACTCAGCTAACCGAACCATTGGACACCGCTCTTCTTTTCCGAGCGAAGAGAAAGAGGAAATTTTTGTGGAACTTTCGGTCAATTTTTCTCGTCGGCCGGGCTTATTCCGCAGCTGGAAAATGGCTCTTTTTACCAAAGTTGACATGTTCTATCCACCTGTACTAGTCATTTTCCCAAACGCTGGGGGAAGTTCAGACCATTCCCTCGTTAGAAAAAATTATTCTAAATTTGTGCCAAGTTTCATCAAAATCTGAGCGTCGCAAGTCGCGTATTTTACGGGTTGAGAGACGAAATTTCAAGAAATTACATTGCCTAGCTTACACGTGCGTTAATATTTATCAGTCCGCCGATAAAATAAGGTCGATTTGTCGCAGCAAAACGTCGGGCCTTGTGGCAGTCGCGCACCAAATTTCTACAGCTAGCGTTGCAACGCGATAAAAAACGATTACAAAGCGCAACCACCTTATCTTCCCGACAGATCGTTATTTTACTGCTTATAGTTTGCAAGCTTTGTTGTCGCGACAGGACCATGAAAATCTTTTTTGACAATTCCTGTTTGAACTCGTAAAAAGCGCGGCTAAAGGGAGCTCTACAGACCCTGTATTGTGGAACAGTAATCCTCGACACCCCTCAGTGGAACACATTGTTTCTTCTACCATTAAATGTCCACGTACACTTGGATGAAATAAAGAAAGCGCAATTGAAAAAAGCCGGACTAGCAGCACCACAACACAAAAAAAATAAATTATTTTTTTGACTATCTTCCTTATTTACATATCGTGATATCACGACAAATTTTCAGTCTGTCAGAGAAAAAACTTTCACTTTTATTTACTGAACTTCATTTATAACAACATACCTTCGACAACGGCAACGCTAATTAGGCCCATCACCAGAATCACAAGCAGCGACAGATTCATTTGTCAAATTTTTAGGGGAAAAAACCTTGCAACGGTCTTCAAACGGGGTACCTGGTCGAGACGCAAAAAGCAGAGGCGTTTGACGGACACTAGCAGATTTAGGAAGTTGCCTTAAACTTGTTTTTTCTGAGGGCTCGCAAAACCTTAAAACAACAAAAGAATCGTTGCGGGGAAGTTCACCGTTTTAACCTCTAACCTTTATTATCTTGATCAAATTACGACCGGGTTTGAATTTGGACGCATGATTGCGTTCAAATTTCATGGCAACGGGTTTTTTTTTGGTTCAGGAGTTGTAGGCTCGCTCTTTCTTGTCTCCCTGATATTTCCTATGCAAATGATACTTCTTAATTTATCATCAAGAAATTTTCGGCAGACTTGTCTCCATCGCGTTTTTATCACATTGACAGCATGCGAGACTTTTTCGTAGCATAAAACGAAGATCCTTAACTTTTATTTTGATATTATTGATGTGAGTACATGTAAAACACCTCAAAAAAGGTGATAAGCTATCTTAGGACCAAATCAATCTTATTATTTCTACATTTTACTAACTAAGCCTTCTCCTAGCCTTCTCATGCATACAACGACAAACCGACGCTGTCCATAGTATCGTTGACACGAACTGTCGCTGACCCGAAAAGTCGTAGCGCACGGCAACCCAGGGAGTCTAACGCCTCCTGTCGGCACTTCACCCACCTAGTATCGGTTGGATTCAAACGAAATGTCAAAAATGAATTTTTAGTGTGCTTTTCCGACCGAAAAACATTTTTTTCGGAATTATTTTATTTCTTTTGTGAATTTTGACATTTCGTTTGGACGAAGCAATTTGGTTTTGCCACGATGATTTATTTTCTCGGCGGCGACGCGAGTTTTCATGTGACAGAGTTTTTTTCTCGACCGATGGGTTACGTTATGCTTCCTTATAGGCAGTGTCGTTTTCGTACAGTGCGTGTCGCAAAAATCACTCCAGCGCATTGCCCAAAACTTTCATTCAAGCAGTTACATCATAAAATTATGATATGTAGACCGAAACTCAAACTTCACAGTACTTTTTTCTAAAAAAATTACAAATGAACGGTTGTAATGTGATTGCGTCGATAAACGATTTTTCAGACATCAAGAAATGATCGATTTTTAAAGGTATATATATATAAAATGGAAAAAGTTATTTGTTTGACTGATCGCAATGGTCGGGCTGAAAGAGAGCGACGGATCTGGGAAGGCGCTGGACAATGAGATTGGAACTTCTACCTATACGTTTGATTATGTTCGTTTGAAGTTGTTGAAAAACAGCGAGGAGTTTCGACAGTTGAACCAGAAGAATAAAATTTCCGAGGTAAATTTTTTTTTCAGCTTATACGGAAAGTCGCCGCGGACTTAAAATGACGACACACACTGTGCGAAACAAAACTTCTTTTTACGCATTTTTCTGGTTTTTACTCCGTGCGACTTTTTTTTTTGGTTATCGCTCGTACCATGGATTTTTGCACCTTCCAAAAATCAGCCCGGTATCTTTCCGGAAGGACTAGTTGGGAAGTGTGACGCACGACAAACTGAGGAGTCCGGTGACCGTGATAGACCTTTCGCTATCGGTTCGTTACACTTGGTCTTGAATCCACAGAGAAGGCAGAGAAAAGGCGCGCAAAACGTACTCTCTCGCCCCAAAAGTACCACATTTCTTCCCCGACAAAAAATTTTTTGCGTCTTTTTTTGGCGAATTGCCATTAATGCACAGAGCAGTCTTAGCTTATCTCAGTTTGACGTGCGACGCTCAAATTTTGATTAAGCCCGGCACAAATTTAGAACAATTTTTTCGAAAAATATTGGAAAATGCGCAGTCATCGAAAATCTCAGGCGGCTCTGCAAATCCCGGGCTATAGAGCTCGCATATTTTGTAGAAAGAATTATTCTAAGCATATGTCAAGTTATTCAAACGTCTCAGGCCTCCTACAAGATTATTGGTGCTGGAGATGGCATCGTTTCGTCCCTCTACAAAGTCACGTTTGCCTTCGACGACGACGCACAATTTTCTGTTGTGCTAAAAGTTCCGACCAACGCAGTTATCAATTTCGAGGGTAAGTTGAGCTGATCGTTGACTTAAGCCCAATTTCAGACACCAATGTCCCACACGAGTGTGAGTGCAAGTTATTTGACTTGATAAAAGATCTCAAAGATCTTCCCGTACCAACCTGCTACTACACTGAGCTTGGCGGCGAGAAGCATCCGGGCTGCATCATAATGCAAGATCTCTCCGAGAGCTGCACGGGCATCTCAATAAAACGCTACGTTACAGAGGAGCTGTGTTTTGAAATCGCCAAAGTTTTGGCCAAGTTCCAAGCCTCCATTGGAACGTTGGACGAAAAGAAGTGGAAAGGAGTTTTCAAAAACGACTTATTCGCGCGGGAGTTTTATGGAAGATGCTATCAAACGTATCTCGGCGATACCGCAGTAAAATGCGGGTTGAGTAAGTAGGCATGGTAATAAAGGGTAGTAAAATGTATATTGTAGAAGCTGATCTGATGAAGAAGTGTATGTGTCTAACGAACAGTGACTTCTCCAAGTTTGCGACCAAAGGGATTGCTGAGAAACATGGTAAGGACTGGTTTGGTCACTTCTCAGTCTGTCGGAAAAATAATGAGCACTTTGTCGCACCGAAAATCGCATGAATTGGTCGCGGCAAAATCAATTTGATTTTCGCTTCAGCGACGCGATCGGCGCAGCGGCATTGTGCTCATTATTTTCCCGACAGATTGATGATCATAAATTTAGATGTCGTGACACTTTGCCACGGCGACGTCCACTCAAATAACATATTATTCTACAAAAACGAAGACAATTCCGTTTCGAATCGTATCGCGGCTCTCATCGACTGGCAGGCGGTTTTTGATGGTAAGCAGTGCCGTTTAAAGCAATGATCTTTCTTATCCAGGAAATCCGTTATCCGATTTGGCCAGATTCATGGTATGTTGTCCGCAAGGCAACGTTCGGCGCGCCTGCGAAGCCAGAGTTTTAGCCACTTATTATGAAACTGTGTGCGATGAGTTCACGAAGAAAGGATTCAGGATTCCGTTCAGCAGCGAACTGGTAAGAAATTCTTAACATAACTCCGAAATTTTTAGTGTCAAACCTTGTACGAATACGCCTTTCTCCAACAAGTTCCGTCTGCCATGATCCATCCTCAACTACTTTACGACGTCGAGTTGGAAGGTGTTGAAGAGAAGGTTAAGTCGGCAACAAGAGATATTCTTTCGTTGAAAGCAAACCACGCAATGGAGGATGCTCTACCGCTGATCAAGAAGTATGACTTGGAAAGGAAATATCAGGTCGACAAAGCATCAAAAAGCCTTGACTCTACCTCTGCCTAATAACTCTCTTAAACAAGGCGCAACAGTAGCAAAGCCGTTGCTCGATAGAGAGAATGACCGTAACATAGCTTTTTCTTAATAAATATGGCTTGTGCTGTCCGCCGACACCTTCGCCGAATAAAACAAAACGTTTATTTGTCGACCAAGGAAGACCCTAGTTTTAGCTCATGCTTGGCAAGGACTTACCGCCGAGCGAGTAATCGAGGCGCAGAGAGCACTCAGAGGGAGAGAGAGAGAGAAAAATTTCTTCGCCATATTTTTGAGACTTCTCAACTTTTTTTAGTGGAGATACTACCCTCCGCGGCAGAAATAGGCCCTATTCTTTTTATGCCAAAATTTTTAAAAGTGTTACTACAAAAAATCGTCACTTTCGACCTAAAAGCTTCGGTCGTTTCGGCAAAGCGCGCACATGGTTTCCACCATGCTGAAATTTCGAGTAAAAACTTTTTCCTTTGCATTTTTTCGTGTTTGTTTTTTGATTTTCCATTTCAATTGTACTTCCTTTTTACTCAACAATCAAAAGGCTTTGTGGCTCGCCAAAAATTAATTTTACTTCTCTTTGATTCAACACAACTCTCTCTTTTCCTTACAACGCTGAAACTACGGGAAAGAACTCTGACTTAAATTCAAGAATAGTCTTGAAGCGCGCATAAACATGAGAGAAAAATGTTGTTTCGCAGAAATTCACAAGAAATTCACAAGAAAACAATCTTTCCTTTTTTGTGTGGAAGAAGAGTGAAGCAAGGGTTTTTGATTGTTTACAAGAACATTGCAGCAACAGTTATAATGCCTTGAAGATACGGAAGACTTGCAATTAGTCGGCCATAGTTCTTCAAACTTTTCATATATCGTTTTTTTATGTTGCGTAGTGTCACAAAAAATCAATAATTATTTTTTTTAACATTTCAAAATTTCGGTGCGGATAAAATTTTGGATGCAAATGAAAGCCTAAATTGCATTTGTGACGAAATGCCACACTGATTTTAATCAATAAAAGATTTAAAAACCTTGATCAGAAAACAGCTTCAACTATATGTATACGCTGGATTGACGTCGATAGATCATTGTTGAACTATGAACCACCTTTCAATAGGCGACTCTTCTTAATATAATTCTTTGTGTTGGAAGATCAACGGTTATGACTGTTACTGCACTGCTATTGTAACCGATCAAAAACCCTTACTTCCTGCTTCTTCCAGACGAAAAAGTGGAAAGTCTTCGTACTCCTCCTTCTCCTTCGTTTTCGGCTGCATTTTTGTTTCGTCGACTTGCATTATTCATACCTGAGTGGATAATTGTATCCCCGCAAGGGGATCGGATTTACCGCATTATTGTGGGAAGTAGAAACCGCGGACATCGTTTATATTATTTATCGCGCTTCCGTCCAACTTTGTCGCTGAAGATTCCGACGTTCTGGAAGACTGATGTGGTAGCACGGAATGTGCCAGGACGTTATAATTGCGCTGTTTTTGCTGCTATTTCTCTTTGAATTCGGGGAAGTCGATAGTGCTGTGGAGAAGAAAGAGTTGTTGACAAAAATGTCGGCGAGAGATCGCTTTTTCAACAGTCAACTTCCCGTGTATCCCAGCAAGAAGAGTGGGCAGCAGATCGCGAACTCTGATAGTGTGCAGGAGCCGCTGGCCGATAAGGATTACAAAAGATTGTTCAAGGTGTCTTCGGGGACGGAGACAAGGAAACGGATGAAAAGTAAGTCCCGCTAGCTCGTGAAAAGTCCTCGCTTTTTTGATTTCCCTTGCTGATGAGTCTGCAAGAAAGCGAGAGCTTTTAGAATCACGCTTTCCGACGTTTCAGGCCCTCGTATTGTTCGTCCAAATCAGTCTACCGAAGAAGCCCACACCGAGGCTGACCACCCGTTCGAGGACGAGCGAACTCTCCTCCGCAAAATGCTCGAACTCCCCGCCCGACTTCCCATATCCCCCACGAACAAGATCACCAAGCCTCGGAAGGTTGTAACCCTCGCCACAACCACCCCGCTTCCCTTCAACACCTCGGAAATGTCGATGCGACGGACAACGATCAGCATAGACCAGCCGATGATGACGAGAGTACGCTTTTCTCGGTTTTAATGGATGTGAATGTAGAAACTAATTCCAGGTGTACTTTCTGCGTGGAAAAATCCCGCTCAAACTCGACTGTCGGATCCTCGACGTCGACCCCAGCTCAAAGTCGAACGAGACGCGGTCGGCGGCGCCGAGAAACGACCGACCAAGCCGTTCGCCAAGAGCAGCACCGGCCGGACCGTGGAAGCAAATAGTCGAGGCTGGACTTCGACAACAAACGCGCGAACCGCCGGCTCCACCACTCCAAGTCGAGGCTGGCCTTCGACAGTTGCAACAACAACTACCCCGTATGCCTCAACGACAGCTGCGGGTCCTGATGAGCCAGTTGAAGAGGGACTGTCCGAAGCCTACCCCAGCGAGTTAGTTGAGGCTTTCTTCAACGATGAGCTGGATTCATTCTACGGAACCAAGTCGTCCGAAAAGGTTCTGGTCGATAATGGAGATGAGGAGTCAAGAGAGAACCAACCGATGGGATGGAAAAAGGAGATCGAAAAGGATTTCTTGCCTCTACAGAGACCATACATTAACCCTTCCACATGGAAGAGCCGTGTGGTGCAGTTTGACGAGAATAATATAATAATCAAAGAAAGGGGAAACATTATAAGTCATGATGAAGAATAAACTGTAATATAATATTATTTCTGTAATATAATATTATTTTCACAACATTGACTATGCATCTTCAAGAAAAGTAATGCAGTTCACAATTAGATCTTTGTATATCTCCCGGATTGAATATCCTCGTACATTTGACTGTCCAAATGCTTGTATGTCTTGCTGCTAGAGTCGTAGTAATATAGCTCGTCGCCATTGCAAGCCTCCGGATTGAAGCCTTGCTCCTTCAACTTGTTCTTCTTGAGTTTGAAGGTCCCCGTTCTTTCGAACTCTTTGCCGATTCGCAGGAACACAGGAATTGCGTAGCCAGGAAGTCGGGAGGTCACTCTTTCACTCACTTCTTTGACTAGGTCCTGAAAAAACAAAATCTTTTTTGACGACACCAAACTCACATTCACTTCAGCCCCTTCGGCAAGAGAAGCGCTGATCATGCCGGCTCGGCCTTCCCGACCCTTAACCTCGACTCCGTACACAGCAACGTCTTGAATTGATTTTACCGGTTGAAGGACGCCTTCCACTTCCATGGTACTCACGTTCTCTCCACGCCAGCGATAGGTGTCGCCGAGGCGATCCTGCAAATTTACAGCATAAATTTTTTATTTACCGTTGCTCGCGGAGTTTATATTATGCTATTATTATACGTCCAGATAAGCAAGTTCTTATAAGGACGTGTTCCAGCATTAGTCTGTCGGAAAAATAATGGGGATTTGTCGTTGCAAGATGCCCCGCCCGTCCTAATTATTCTATCCCCAGCCGCCGCGAGCCCTGGAAAGCGATGGTGCGCAATACCAAGCCGAATCCACATTATTTTCCCGACACAATTCATTTTGTCCGCGGCGTCGCAATTTTCGATGCCACAGTGTGCTCTTTATTTTCCCGACTGACTGATAAGGACAAATACTCACCTTGAAAAAGAGGTATCCATACTCATCCCAGAGGAAGAGATCACCACTTGCGAACGCCACATCTCCCTTTTTGAAGACGTCTCTGATAATCTTCTTGTCGGTTTCGGCTTTGTTCAGATATCCCTCAAACTTGTTTACAGCGTCATCGTCCCTGATAATTCCAACCAGGTGGCCTTGTTCGCCGGGGTCACAACAAATACAAAGTCCATTTTTGTCTCTCAGGAATTCGCCCGTGTCTTTGTCAACTGAAACAAAATTTGTTACAGTTTGAAGACGACTTACTCTTCAACACAGCGACAGTTGCTCGGTCCTGAATGAACCTCGAGAGCGGCAACAAGCCGCACGCACCAATAGTCGAGTCCAAATTGACAATGTTCGCGTTGCCCTCGGTACTGCCGTAAAATTCGCTGATCTTCGGGACCTTGAACCGCTCTACAAGCTCCCTCCAAATCTCAATTCGAAGCCCGTTTCCATAAAGCAATCGTAGCGGATGCTGGGCGTCGTCGGGTTGCGGTGGTTGGGCCACAATGTATCTGGCCACTTCTCCAATGTACTGGCTGGCAGTGCAGTTGTATTTGCGGATCTCGGGCCAGAAGTTTCGGGCGGAAAACTTCTTTCGGATCACTAGTTTGCTGCCTAGAAAGAATTGTTAACATCGATTGGATATAAAGTTGTAAGAGCATATGAGAAGAAAACATTTTGATTTTGTCGCGAACAGAGTGCTCATTATTTTCCCGACAAACTGATAGTATTTAATATTTTTTAAAAAAGCTAAAATCCCCTACCCCGTGCCAACAACTGTCCGGCTCCCAGAATCCCGCCGGCGGAGTGGTACATCGGCAAAAACAAGTAGACTATGTCGTCCTCGCGGATGTCGCACACCAACCCCGACAACATGGACATCCAAAAGTAGCGATGATGCTTGATCACCGCCGGTTTCGGATTGCCCGTGGTGCCACTTGTGTAGATGTAGCACAAAATGGAAGAAAAATTGACCTCCGGATCTTCTGGAGGCTCGGAGGGATCGGTGAGAAGTGGGCTGATATCTTGGGCAAAGTCATCGTCATTGGCGTCAATGGTGTAGGTTGGGAAGCCGTACGGAATACAGCCGGCGGAAACGGCTTCGTCGATGACTAAAAAGGAAGGGTAATGGAAGTCCAAGAGGGGCGTTGAAAACTAGTACGATTGCGAACCTGATCCATTGTCAAAAACGTGCCATTTTGCATCCTGGAAGTATCAAAAAATGTGGAAAAATACCTCCCCTCTCCAAGTGAAAAAACTCCGATCTCAAAAGCGCTCCCGCTCTGTGTGAGGGAAAGGGCGCAAAACGGAGTTTTTGTAGTTGGAGAGGGAGACATTTTGCTTCTTTTTTGATACTTCTCGGATGCAAAATGGTATGTCTTTGCCACTGGATCAGGTCTATCATATGCTAAGCGGGGAAAAAAGTCTTGACTTGTCTTCTCACTAGTGGCTTTGCGCGAAGCAACCAGCGGGAAAATAATGTGGATTTATCGCAGCAAAAGGTCCCCCTTTGTCGCAGTCGCCAAGCGAACAAACCTATGGCCGCGGCCAGCCATCGCAAATCGATAATGGGCGATTTCAAGACCCGATGGATCCACATTATTTACCCGACAAACTTATAAATTCATTGTAAAAATTTCTACCAGTCGTAAGCAAGTGATTGCTAGTAATCAATGAGTTGCAATTCGCAGCGGCGATTGAATATTGCAGCGGCTCCAACTTGATATGGGTGTTCAGCCACGCCGTGCGCACTCCAATCTTGGATAACCCGATCCAAAGGGCGACGAAATCAGCGGAATTTTCGAGAAATAGACCGACAGTGTCATCCTTTTTGAAGCCTTTTGACTGAAATACAAAATTTTTAAAGTTTAGACTAGAACTTGCCTTGAACATGTTTGCATATTTGTTAGCCAAATCGTTCAGCTCTTTCAACGTAAATTTTCTTCCAGTCTCCACCTCTTCTACCGCAATTTTTTGTGGGTTCCGTTTGACGACGTTGAGGAAATACCAATGCATCGGCTTGTTGAGTCGCTGAGCCTTTTTCACGACGTATTTCACATGAAATAACGTGAGGATTGCCCTGAAATGAAGTCATAAATGAGTTGTGTGAATGAGAAATTTTTAGAGATCAATTTGTTCGAGTAAAAGCTGACCTGATGTCCCTTGGTATTGTGTACAAAATCCTTCGGAATTTTGGAAACAATATCAATGCTAGAGCGCCCGCCGCTCCAAGGGTCGTTAGCCAGGCTTTGTTGACTGAGAGTAGTTGTAATGACATAGTTCTGAAAAGATTTTTATGTAAGCATTTGTGAAAACAATAGTCTAATCTTTATGAAGGCTGCCGCGATAACAAATGGTAAATATTGTGTTATACGTCTGTCTCTTACAAAGAAAGAGCCTCAAGCGCAAAGCTCAACTTTTTTTTAATCTGGGCCAAATACCAAATATGTTCTGGTCCGTTCGTAAAGTCGCTGGAGTAATTTTTAGCGCCTGTACTGTGCATAGAAAGTCAGCGTACCAGCGACAGCCTGGAAAGCCTGCTGCACGGTGCAAGCTAAACTTTTAAATTGTTTTTGCACAGTGCATGTCGTTAAAATAACGATTTTGCGAACGGAGTAGTATATTCAACAATAAATTGCACGTGAGGAAGTACGCAAAAGCGGAGAGCAATCAGAGAGAAAAACATAATTTTTTGAAGTTTCGCGAAGGAAAAAACGGTGAAAATAATGCAAGTTTTTCACTCCAAAAACTGCAAAAAGGTATCAAATTTTGCAAAGTTTCGACCTTAAAATCTCGGCCGTTTTTGCGGATGACGAGCTAGGGTAATTTCTAGAAAAAAAAGTTGTTTTTTTTGTATAGATCTTGCCATCTCTGACAAAAATAACGCTGGCTTTTTTCATGCATGCACCCGCAAAAAATCACAACTTCCACCAAATTTCGGGCTAAAAATCCCGGTCCTTTCTGCAAATCGTCACCTAGAGATCTGCCATAAATTTTGTAAAAAAATGATCTTAATTTCTGCCAAGTTTCACCAAAATCTATGCGTCGCATCTCTCCTGACTGTAACAAAATTAAATTAACGCAGAATGCCTGTTGAAAAGCATTATCTTCTTTCTGCGCACAAATCAACCCCGCTCTTCCCCAACAAATGTAAAATCAAAGTCCACTTGGGGGAAAAAAACAAGTTGGCACATGATGACCACAGACGCTCTCCCAACCCATAAACTCCTAGCTCTCCAAGAGTAAATCAAAACAACAGACTCGATGCACTTAGTTAGGCGGATTACCAATGTGACCAGGATTATTGCGGTCGCAAAGTCGCTGAGGTGATTTTCGCGACATGCACTGTGCAAAAACGAAAGTTCACATTGCACTGTGCAATTTCTTGCTTTTTGCACCGTGCAATCGGCTTTGTTGGGCTGTCGCTCGCACCCTGATCTTTTTTGCACCGTGCGCAGGCCAAAAATCAGTCCGGCGACATGCACTGTGCGAAAGCAAAGGTCTCCGACTTTTTTGCACAGTGCAAACGTCAAAGACCAGTTCGGCGACATGAATAAAAGTTCCTTTTGCACTGTGCAATTTCTCACTTTTTGCACCGTGCAATAGGCTGTCGCTCTCACAATGACTTTTTTCGCACGGTGCAGACCCCAAAAATCACTCCAGCGACATGCACTGTGCAAAAACAAAATTTCACTTTGCACTGTGCAATAGGTTGTCGCTCACACCCCGACTTTCCGGCGACATGCACTGTGCGAAAACAAAGGTCACCAACTTTTTTGCACAGTGCAGACGTCAAAGACCAATCCGGAGACATGCACTGCGCAAAAAAAAGTTCGCTTTGCACGGTGCAATTTCTTACTTTTTGCACCGTGCAAGCTTTTTCGGGCTGTCGCTCGCACCCTGATTTTTTTGCACAGTGCAAACGAAAGATCACTCCAGCGACATGCACTGTGCAAACACACAAGTTCACTTTGCACTGTGCAACTTCTCGCTTTTTGCACTGTGCAACAATCCCTTCCAGGCTGTCGCTGGCATACTGGCCTTTTTCGCTCAGTGCAAGCGCCAAAAATCACTCTGGCAACTTTACGACCGCCCTAGCTTCCTTATCATATTCTATTTCACCCAATTTCATAGTGTTTTGAAAAGCTCACGTAAAAGAAGTGCGTTCGCGTCAGAGAAAACAAGCGATAGCGGTGATCGAAGGAAAGCGAGGGCACATGAATTGTGCTCAGTTTCGCGCGCTCTCGACGATCGTTGGACTTTACACAAGTCGTTGGCTGTTTGTCAGATTACTCATTGGATTAAACTTTTGAGAATGGAAAAAATTGATTATAAATAAATAATTTTTTTGTAAGCAAATTGCCTTTATGGCCATAAAATCAGCATTATGGACAGTAGAATGCTAGTTGCACTAGCTGTAGCGTAGCAATGCGGTTTCAAAAGCCTCTCGTATAATCTTTCGTGTTTTGTTTCTTCTCTTTGTGTGTTGATGGGAGCAAAGGCAGAGAGCGGCGCATTATTATTTCCGGGACTGAACCATAATTATCAGCGATCAAAACTACGCCGTTGCACAAAGTATGAAACCAAAGTACCAAAATTTGGCAGAAAATATTGGACGCCAAACTTATGCAAGGCAGTTGAAAAGGTCCACAAAAGACTCTCCCATCTGATCGGAAGGGATGCTGAAAATTTTTTATGCTCAAAATTTCCGAGCTGCGCCCGATCATCATCAAACTTTCAGATAGGAAATTGGCTCTCGGGCGGCATACAGTGGCGACCTGATCCAGTGGCAAAAAAAGTACCATTTTGCATCCGGGAAGTATCAAAAATGTGGCAAAATGCTTCCCCTTCCAAGTGAAAAAACTTCGTTTTGAAGGGCGCTCCTTTTCCCTCACGAAAAGAGCGGGCGCGCTTTTGAAATCGGAGTTTTTTTTGCACTTGGAGAGGGAAGCATTTTGCCACATTTTTGATGCTTCCCGGATGCAAAATGATACTTTTTTGCCACTCGATTAGGTCCCCCACTGTACACTGAATTGCCTGCAATTTACCTCACAGCTTGACAGAGGAAAGAAGAGAATTATAATACATATCTTTGGAGTATGCCCAAGAGCAGGTCAAAAATTCGTAATTTATTAGAAACCGATATGTGTACATGGAGAACCCGTAAATGATGAATCAAAAAATCAGAAAATACAAGCAAAATCGCACTAGATTTAGCCTGCATTAACAAATTAATCCACTCCAATTACTCGTTGATCCTCAAGTCCTGCAGCGAGCAGGTGACGTCCGCATAGACCGACACGTTCTGATAGTGACCGCAGCAGTCGATCGCCGAAAGCGAGGTCTCGGTGACCGCAGTGTTGTTGGACAGGAATGGTTGGATATAACATGGCGGGACGAAATGAGTGTCAGCCAGCGCTCGGACCGCCATCACGGAAGAGACGAGGCCAATGGAAGTGCCGATGAATGTGGCGACAACACAAAGCCATTTGATTCCGGCTTTGTTTCGGTTCCAGATGCTGAAATAGGAAGTGTTAGGGGTTTTTTAAACGTGGTTTCTCTCAGCACAAGAATTGGCATTCTGTTTTCTTCTTATTAGAGTTCGAAAAAACAGTCTAAATGACGGATTTTTTGGATGAGGTCAGAGAAAGGCGCGAAATACTATGTAAAATGAAGAGACCTCCTATTTCGAAGCTGGCTCCGTCAATCGTTACAATTTTAATGTCAAAAAATCAACTTTGTCTGCACTATCTACGCAAATTCTTCAATCGGTGGCCGAAGCAACCTGTTCGAGAAATCGACCAAAATAAATTTTTTTGGACACCTTTTTGATCCGCTTAAAAAAGAATGAAGATCAAGAAAATAAAGAGAAAATCGATGATATTCGGCTAGAATACGACTAGAGCTTTTGATTCATACAAAATCTTCAGCGATTTGATCAGGTCTTCCATTAGAAATCGACCGATCTTTTTGGTCAAAAATTTTTTTTGGGCTGAAACGGAATGCCAAGGATTTTTCATTTTTTGCGGATTTCTGCTATTTCATATGTATATCTTTGAATATGTATATGTAGTATTTTATACATCCCTTTCCTTTTTCAAGCCCTCAGGGGAAAAATGACCTTCAAAAACTCAAAAAAATGCTTACTCTCTCCAGCTCAAGTCCTCGGCTTCAATAAAGTTGGCCTTGCTCGATCCATCAACTTCTCCAGCCTTCAACGTCAAATAAAACAGACAAGGGAACACCAAGGCGGTCAACAGGGACGCTGTAGCTCCAACCAAGTCCATTAGAGCTCCGAAATTCGGTACGCTCAGCGCCGAGAAGATTTGAGCGGCCATCACCGAGGTTCGGAGGATCACTCGTTGATAGCCAAAGTCTGGAAGAAGGATATTTTGTGTTGGGATAAAAAAAAGCAAGTTTAATATAAAAAAGGTTGTAAACTACATTTTTTATAGATTTTTGGGAAGTTATCAATCTGTCGGGAAAATAATGAGCATTCTATCACAGCGAAATTCGTATCGCCGCCGAGAAAATGAATTGTGTCGCCACAAAATCGAATTGCTTTTCACTTCATCAACGCAATTGACACGGCAAAATAGTGCTTATTATTTTCCCGACAGACTGATGAAAGTTTTTTTATCTGCTTAAAGTGCGAGGTTCCGTAAGCCAGCGCCCAAAGAAAGAGTGTTCCCGCTGCGGGACCCAACACGGCAGATCTCTCTTGCCAGAAAATAAAAAAATTGTTTTTTTGTTGTACAAAATGGATCAAACAATGTGAAAGATGGACGGAGATCAGTGAAGAAGGTATGTTTTATTGTGTTTTCTGATTTAGAGCAGCTCGACAAAAATTTTTACGAAATCTGGTCCAAGATTTTTTTGTGTTTTGAGCGATTTTACGCAATTTTTGACATAACGAAGCATGAAAATAGGTGTAGTTTCCCAAAGAACCGTCCAGGAGCGCTGGTGATTGACTTTTGGTCAAGTTAGAGGCAAAACCTTCACCAAACTGCCTAGTATAATATAATTTTTTTCCAGGAATTCGAATCCAGATGCAGCCAGACGGCTAGACTTCACCACGAGGACTCGTTGAAGCCAGAAGGATGCTCGATATCGTCCAAAGTCAAAGCTGCTTTGACTTTCCAACTGTTTCCGAGGCTGATGTCGCATCGAAAAGGTGAGAGTTTTGCTCTGCTTTCACGTTTTAGGCCTGGATGTCTTTGCTCCTTGAGCAAGGCAATGGGTGTTGCTTCGCAATGATGCTATCTGGAATGTGGTTGCTTCGTCTTGCGCCACATCAGACCCAATATTCCAGTGTAATACAATTTTTTCAGGGGTACCAGCTCATTCAGTACCATGTCGGCAGCCCGGTCCGGGGGACTTAGCAGCCCACTCTTACAGATTCAACAACAGCCAGATCAATTGTATTATACTTTATACGAATATCAAAATATTTATTGCTATTTTTACAATAAATTGATTATGTTTTCCAGTGTTTGTCCTCTGCGAGACCTTCTTTATCGTCTATATAACGTCCCACATGTTTCGCATAGTCCAAACTTCGCGGTCGGGGGAGTGATCGCCTAAAAAAATTGTATTACACTGGATATATTAGGTCTGCTGTGACGCAAGATGAAACAACCGCATTCCAGATAGCATCATTGCGAAGCAACACCCATTGCCTTGCTCAAGGAGCAAAGACATCCAGGCCTAAAACGTGAAAGCAGAGCAAAACTCTCACCTTTTCGATGCGACATCAGCCTCGGAAACAGTTGGAAAGTCAAAGCAGCTTTGACTTTGGACGATATCGAGCATCCTTCTGGCTTCAACGAGTCCTCGTGGTGAAGTCTAGCCGTCTGGCTGCATCTGGATTCGAATTCCTGGAAAAAAAATTATATTATACTAGGCAGTTTGGTGAAGGTTTTGCCTCTAACTTGACCAAAAGTCAATCACCAGCGCTCCTGGACGGTTCCTTGGGAAACTACACCTATTTTCATGCTTCGTTATGTCAAAAATTGCGTAAAATCGCTCAAAACACAAAAAATCTTGGACCAGATTTCGTAAAAATTTTTGTCGAGCTGCTCTAAATCAGAAAACACAATAAAACATACCTTCTTCACTGATCTCCATCCATCTTTCACATTGTTTGATCCATTTTGTACAACAAAAAAACAATTTTTTTATTTTCTGGCAAGAGAGATCTGCCGTGTTGGGTCCCGCAGCGGGAACACTCTTTCTTTGGGCGCTGGCTTACGGAACCTCGCACTTTAACTCACCATGTGGGACATTAAAATAGTCCTCCAGCTCCTGATTCAACGGATTCGACGCAATAGTGATCGTCAGAATACAATGCATTGTGATCAAAATGTTGACCGTGATCTGAATCCACGGGGTTTGCACCGAATTTATGATGGAGTTCTTGACCGAATCCCCGTAGGCAAAGTAACTGATAGCCGACACCGGTCCGTAGAGCGAGCTGATCACTGAAAAAAACAATTTTTTTGGGGATATATTGGATTTTTTGCTGATTTTTTGAAGTTTTGTGGGAGAAAATAGCCTTAAAAGTAAAAAATCTCAGCAAAATCTTACAAATCATCGCCAAAATCATTGATTTCGTCCACTCTCCAGGCCTCCTCATGTCGTGTTGAACGCACGGAAATGACGCATGCGCTTCATATGCAAAGAAAAAGGTCCCCAACGCCAGAAAGTAGTTGCTCGCCGTGAACGGCGGCATCTCCTTGACCGCATTGCATGTGGGATAGTCAATAATGCCTCCGGTCACAATTAAGGACGCCGAAACCACCGACGTAAACATGGCCACAATCACCATGGGCCAGAAATCTTGGGGAGATTTGAGGAAATTCAGCGGTAAAAGGAGGATCCCGAGGAAGACGACCATGAAACAGTAGCTGATGTCGTAGTCAAAGAACATTAGGACGAGATCTCGAAGATTCTTGGCGGAGAGGAGAAGATACACTACGGATTGGCCGAATTGAGCGATATTGCAGTTGAGAGAAACGATCCAGCTGAAAAATGGAGGTAACTTGGAAAAAAATGACATCTGAACTTTTATGGCTTACCCTGAACAGCTGTGCAATAATGTCTGCTTTGTTTTAATAGCGTGGAAGAAGAAAAATTTTGTGAGATTTCGTCTTCCAAGCCGTTAAAATAAGGTTCAAATGTAGCCGTTTTTGGTCTTTTAGAGGCCGTTGAGGAAATTTCGGCCGTTGTTTTGCAAAAAAAAACAGCAAGATTTTTAGTCAAGATTTCTAAAAAAATTGAAAAATATGGCACTTTTTAGCAAGTTTTGGTGGACAAAGCTTCGCACCCATTTGTGTCGTAAAGGAAAATGCCGGTAAAATAATGAGCTCTCTATCGCATCATGGCCGAGAAAATCAATTGTGTCGCGACAAAATCAAGTTGCTTTTTACTTCAGCGAGGCGATTGGCGCAGCGACATTGTGCTCATTATTTTCCCGACAGACTGATACTGTCACCAATAAATAATAAAACCATGGTCTACGCGTCTAAACGGGTTTCTGATCAACTCAAAATTCCACTTCCAAGTTTTCAAAATTTGCCCAAAAGTTCCAACTTACACGTAATTAATCCCCAGCGCGCGCTTCGCAATCTCGGCATACGGCTTTCGGCAGTGATTGCGGTATTCCGGCCACCGCTCCAACATCATCATCCAGCATTTCCCAAGGAGGATTCCGGTCAGTCCCATTGTCACAGCGATGTAAAATGTGAAGCAAAGACATGCCCAGAGACCTGGAAAATTTTGAAAAACATATAAGGCGCGTGCGTTCTACACCTCAGCGGGCCTCCTCGCAGAAAACCCGCATTTCTTGTCTGTAGGCCCTCTAGACAAGAAATGCGCATTTTCTGTCTAAAATAGAGACAAAATTTGCAAAACTTGTCTGAGATAACAGACAAAAGGCCTGGCTGTTAGCCTGGACGAAAACCTGAAAATGTTGTCTGGACTCCAGACAAGAAACGAGGAATCCTGTCTGGTAGTCAGACAAACTTTTTTGTCTGATCAGAAACGGAAAATCCCGTAAAAATCTTTATCCACAAAAAGTTTCGATTCTCCTCTCCGTGGTTGCGAGTTGCATTTCACAGCCCAGGTTCTACGACGGAACTTGTCCGAACAACGAAATCCAAGGCCAACGACCGTCGTCGCTGACCCCGATCACGGTGAAGGACATGCCTCGCCTTGGAACCTCGGCGTTCCATGAGACTGTTATCGTTTCTGGCCGAAAGGCCGAACTTCAACAAATTCGAAAAAAACATTGCCCGTACAAGCAAAGAAAATTTTCTCGCTCAGAAAAGAAATGGGTTCCTCTCATGAGCGAGAAACCCAGAGCCGAGAAACGCAGAGAAAAAAACAAAAACGCACGCAAAAAGCGTGAGTGAGAGGCACTTTTGAACGCGATTTTTTCTCTGCGTTTCTCGCTCATGAGAGGAACCCATTTCTTTTCTGACGAGGGAATGGTCTGAACTTCCCCCGGCGTTTGGCAAAATGACTAGTACAGGTGGATAGAGCAGGTCAACTTTGGTAAAAAGAGCCATTTTCCAGCTGCGGAATAAGCCCGGCCGACGAGAAAAATCGACCGAAAGTTCCACAAAAATTTCCTCTTTCTTTTCCTTCCGAAAAGAAGAGCGGCGTCCAGTGGTCCGGTTAGCCGAGTGGATAAAGCATCCGCTCGATATTCTTTTGGGGGTTGGTTCGATTCCGGGGAAGCCCGAAGGACCGTAATAAGACTTTGGTATGGGCAAGACCAAACTCTCATAAAACAAAAAAAATATTTTGCCGTTTTTAAACGTTTTATGGGTTATAAAAATTTTTTTTAAATAATACAAATTGGGGTACAGTCCTTTTCAAAAAGATATGATGGATACCTTTATCTATGACCAAACGAGGATGACTTCGACGTTCCATCGATTTGTAGGTCTGGAAAAATCCAAAAAAACCATTTTTTAACGATTATCTGTGTTTTCGGTATAGTTAGTTCCATAAAACGTATAAAAATGGCAAAACATTTTTTTTTGTTTTATGAGAGTTTGGTCTTGCCCACACCAAAGTCTTCGGTCCTTCGGGCTGCTCCGGAATCGAACCAACCCCCAAAAGAATAACGAGCGGACGCTTTATCCACTCGGCCAACCGAACCATTGGACACCGCTCTTCTTTTCCGAGGGAAGAGAAAGAGGAAATTTTTGTGGAACTTTCGGTCGATTTTTCTCGTCGGCCGGGCTTATTCCGCAGCTGGAAAATCGTTCTTTTTACCAAAGTTGACCTGCTCTATCCACCTGTACTAGTCATTTTCTCAAACGCCGGGGGAAGTTCAGACCATTCCCTTGTGAGCGAGAAAGTTTCCTTTCGTCAATCGAGCAAAGTGTCCTTCGAATTTGTTGGTGTTCGGCCTTCCGGCCAGAAACGAAAACAGTCTCACGGAACGCCAAAGTTCCAAGGCGAAGCATGTCCTTCACCGTGATCGGGGTCAGCGACGACGGTCGTTTGCCTTGGGTTTCGGTGTTCTCACAGCTGCGCCGAAGAACTCGTGGTCTGACGTGCAACAAGGTTAGTCCCAGGAAAGAAGCGCGATGAAAAGTTTTTTGTAGACGAGATTATGCATTTCTAGCCAGACAAAGTTTTCTTGTCTGGCTACCAGACAGGATTTCGCATTTCTTGTCTGAAGTCCAGACAAAAAAATTGGGAAAATGTTTTTTGCATAGAAATAAAAATGCTTTTTCTTAGAAAACTTATTTTTAGAAAAAATGATTTTTTTCATAGAAAAAAACATTTTTATTTTAGAAAAAAATGGTTTTTTCTAGAAAGTGTAATTTTTAGTAAATTTCTGTATAATAATAACAAAAATTGATTTTAAACAGTAACAAGTAGTGAATTTTGTTAAGTAGTAGGGTAAAATAGTAAGAGTAGTAACCTTTTGAGTGAATATTCGGGAATAGGGTATTCGATGGTGCTGATTTCGAAAACAAAGTCGGTTTTTTGTGATTTTGACTTTTTCTCTTAAGTAGTACTGTAAGTTGGTAACAATTGTGTCTTTTTTGGTTAATTGTTAAATTGGATATTCTCTCTGCTTCTCAAAAAAAAATCGTCTAAACTTATATCACGTGTAAGTCAAAGAATGAGCATGAAGTTGATTTCAATTCACATTGACATAACAATACATATTTTAGAACCCCATCTCAAAGTGGAGCAAATTGGATGATTATAAAGGTTGACATCTGGAGCATAAGGCCAAAAAATCTTGAAAGCAAAGGATGGTGATGACTGAAGCCGTGAAAAAAGAAGCCTTTCATTTACAAAGTAAAACAAATGCCATACAATAATAGAGGTCCAAGCTGCAATTTGCAGCGTGGGGTTGCGTCACAAAAATTTCTGCATTCAATCAATGCAGAAAATATGTAAAGACAGTTATGTCAATGTGAATTGAAATCAACTTCATGCTCATTCTTTGACTTACACGTGATATAAGTTTAGACGATTTTTTTTGAGAAGCAGAGAGAATATCCAATTAAACAATTGACCAAAAAAGACACAATTGTTACCAACTTACAGTACTACTTAAGAAAAAAGTCAAAATCATAAAAAACGAACTATGTTTTCGAAATCAGCACCATCGAATACCCCATTCCCCAATATTCACTCAAAAAGTTACTACTCTTACTATTTTACCCTACTACTTAACAAAATTCACTACTTTTTACTGTTTAAAATCAATTTTTGTTATTATTATACACAAATTTACTAAAAATTACACTTTCTAGAAAAAAACCATTTTTTTCTAAAATAAAAATGTTTTTTTCTATGAAAAAAATCATTTTTTCTAAAAATAAGTTTTCTAAGAAAAAGCATTTTTATTTCTATGCAAAAAACATAGACCCAAAAAAATTGTCTGCTTCCCAGACAACTTTTGCCTACTTCTTGTCTGGCTTTGGGCAAGAATCGCCAATTCTCGTCTGGACCAAAAATAATTTCGACGGAAAACTGCAATTCTTGTCTAGAGGGCCCACAGACAAGAAATGCGGGTTTTCTGCGAGGAGGCCCGCTGAGATGTAGAACGCACGCGCCTTATATTATAATTAAACTTTTATCAATCCGTCGGGAAAATAATGTGGATGTGTCGCAGCAATATTTTCGTCGTATCGCTGACCAAATTGCCAGCCTTGGCCAGCCCTCGCAAAGCGATGATAGGCGATTTTGGAGCAAGAAAAATCCACATTATTTTCCCGACAGACTAATACTATTGTACTTGACAAATAGCTTGCTAAATCGGATAAAAAACCCACTAGTTCTTACTGTAGCCACCGGCAGTGTAACCAGCCCTCCACCGGCCACATCTCCTAGAATAAACAACGCCGTTGTGACCCAATGCATCCCGCGCGGTCGATAGAAAACCCCATCGACAAACTCGCCGTCCGACACCGTCGAAATGGTCTTGTTTCGTTTGCCGATCCTCGCCGGTGGACTTGAATCTTGGACTGACTGAATCTTTTTCGACGACATTCCTAAAATACGGCGGAAATTAAGTTTCAAAATTTCGAAATTCAAAGAAAACTCGGAAAATTTTTAATTCTTTCTCAATTTGTCGCGACGTTCAAAGAGTTGTAAATTGAAGAAAAAATGCGATAAAAAATCTGCACTCGAATCACGTGCGTTATCAGCAATGGTTTTCGGAGAGGACGGGAGTCGTAAATTCCTGAGTTTGCACAACGGATTTTTTGGTTGCGCGAGAAGAATGATGACGGGATGACGAAAAAAACGAAAATCGTCTAGAACAATCTGCAGTTCATTAAGATAAATGCTACAGCTTTTCGAAAGTGCGTAGAGTTTTCTCCGCTGCGACATTTTGGTAAAAGTTTCTCATTCTGGCCTAGAGGTGGCAACAGGGCCGGGCCGGGCCGAATTTTGCGGCCCGGCCCGCGGGCCGAAGTAGCCAGGCCGGCGTGGGGCCTTTTCAAATTTGCTCAAGCCCGGCCCGGCCCGGTGAAAGCCCAGGCCGGCCCGTGCCCGACCATTTTTTTTACTTATCCACCTTCCGGGCCCGACGGGCCGAAGCGGTCAGGCCGGCCCAGGACTTTTTCAAATCTGCTCAGGCCCGGCCCGGCCCGGCCCAATCACCGGGCCCGGCCGGGCCAGCCCATCCCGATTGCCACCTCTATTCTGGCCACAATGGCCACAAGTCAGAATTAGCCCAAATTTAGCGTGCACGCTCAATCAAATCGTTGTCAATGCCCGGACAGTGGATTTAGTTAGCGAGTACCTTCTTTTTTACGTACCACCTTACCCTTCAAAAACGGCTGTAGGGCGTCGCGACACTTGCGGGCAACCACTTTGCGGGCAACCAGTTTGCGGGCAGATTTTTTGCGGGCAGCCACTTTGCGGGCAAAATTTGGGGGGGTCACATTTGCGGGCAGCTGAGACACTTGCGGGCAGCCTGGGACACTTGCGGGCAACCGACACTTGCGGGCAGCCGACACTTGCGGGCAGCCGACATTTGCGGGCAACCGGCACCTGAGGGTTACAGGGTAGAGGAGGAAATATTACTGCGATATTTTGGAAATTTGCCGACATTTGCGGGCAGCCGACACTTGCGGGCAGCCGACATTTGCGGGCAACAGAAAAAAACAGCCACACAGACTGTATAGGAACTTTTGGAACTGTTGCCCGCAAATGTCGGTGTCCCGCAAGTATTGCCTGCCCGCAAACGTCGGAAAACTTCCAAAATATCGCAGTAATTTATCCACCTCTACCTTGTTATCATCAAGTGCCGGTTGCCCGCAAATGTCGGCTGCCCGCAAATGTCGGCAAATTTCCAAAATATAATATCATAGTAATTTTTCCACGTCCACCCTGTTACCCTCAAAATCAGGTGACGGTTGCCCGCAAATGTCGGCTGCCCGCAAATCTTCCAGGCTGCCCGCAACTGTCGACCCTGCCCGCAAATGTCCCAGGCTGCCCGCAAATGCCGGTGCTGGCCGCAAATGTCGGCCGCCCGCAAAGTGGCTGCCCGCAAAAAATTTGCCCGCAAACTGGTTGCCCGCAAAGTGGTTGCCCGCAAGTGTGCGCCCGCCGGCTGTAGCCTGTGATTTTACACTTTATACGATGAAACATGTCCGGAACTCAACTTATTGCCTCCGTATGGAACTAATAAATGGGTCGTCGTAACCCTCGTAAGTACCCCCTAAAACTATAGAGCTATTATAGTAATTCAATGCCAAAATTCTACCTAATTTATAATGGAACTGTTAGTACTCTTGGCATCAGTCTGTCGGGAAAATGATATGGACTCTGTCGCATCAAAAATCCCATTAAGAAAATGAATTGTGTCGCAGCTAAATGATATCGCATTTTAATTCAGCGACAGCGTCGGCACAGCGACATTGCGCTCATTATTTTCCCGACAGACTGATATCATAAACAATACAAAATTTTCGGAACGAGTAAAGAATGAAATTTCGGTCAAAAAATGAAAATAAAAAAGGATCAGAAACAATTGTAAAGTGTAGTCAAGAGACAGGTTTTGATCTCAACGACCAAAAAAGTTACTGTATGAGGGTGGATGACAGTCAAAGACGCTAAAAAGAAGGAATCAATCAAACGTTTGTCAGCAAAAAAAAGAAGAATGAAACACGTAAAAGTGTAGGTGTAATATTATACATATAAAAAAATTGTAGTCACTCGATTGTGATCTTAACAAAAAACTTACTAGTGCTGCTACTGGAGCTTGAATAGACAGAGGACATATAGCGCCATGAGGGGAAAAAAGGCTTGACCGACCGGTCGAAAGGTAAAAAATGAAAGGAACAGCACAATGGGTTGCGGAAAAGTGAAAAAAGGCAGGAAATAGAATTGAAAGTTCAAAAATTATTATAAGGGTGACCCAAAATAACGGAGACAAAAGATTTCGCGTTTTTTCTGCGACTTATTAAGATTCATGAGTGACTCCTTATTTATACTACAGTACCACGTTAGGGTAGTTTTATATACCGGAAGTTTTCTTGTACGACGCTCTTCTGCCTTGAACGACATCGATATATCCGGTTGACTCGGACCCTTCTGCCCGTGGGGTCTTTTTACAATAAAGCTGCCTTACTCAAAAAAGAAAACTCGGAAGAGGTTGAGATTTGCTGTGATTAATTACCATAATAAGGCCTTTAAAATGAGCTATCGTACTCAGCTTAACTATCGATGGTTCAAAAGTTACAGCCGAGTATTTTCAGGCAGTTGAAGTGCAAAAATCGGCCTTTTTTGAAAATGTAAGCGTAAGAAGGAGTTTGAGTGTTAGATAAGGCAAAATGAAATATGAGTTACTAGAACATGATTAAAGGAACACCATAAAAGCAAAAGAGAAACATTTTGTAACTGCCACGGAATTCCATTTGGTAATCACTAGAATTCTGCCTTATTCTTGCCTTAGGCGAAATACCGGTCAAGCCGGTGACACATAAAGACCGAAAGTGCCCTAGGCTGATTCTCAAGAGTCGTATTCATAAGTGTGCAAGAGCATAATGCACCATTTTTATCTATCATGTCATTCTGTTATCGATAACCCATCTTTCTAAAGCCGCGTGCCATGGGGAGGTTCTGGGCGAGAAACTTGTTAAGGAAAAGCTGTTGCAACCAGCAAGCAATACCAGCTTTTTTCAGAATCATTGTATTAATGAATAAAACACGTACTAGCGGTTTTAGCTTTATTCGAAAAAAACTGAATTTTTTATAGAAAAAACTTGGAAAAAATGGCATTCTTGAATGTTGAGATTGGTACCACCGTAGAAATAAAAACCGTAGCCCAAAAACCTACGCAACTGCTTTCTTAGGGGCATAGTAGTCTAACAAAACAAATGAACTTGCCATTTCTGCAACTGTAGTACAGCCAGGCTCTACGCAAAACACGGGAACCAAACTTGAAGGCCAAAAAACGGCGCAAGGCATCTTTGCTAAGCTGTAACTTTTTTCTGCGTCAAGATGATTCCACCAAATTTTCGTGGATTATAGAGGAGGTGTTATAGAATATTACCCGTTGTCGCTTATGTTTCTCTAACCCCCGGTTTTCGCGGTGGGACCTTTAAAAATTTGTCTCCGTTATTTTGGGTCACCCTGTATGTATTGTTGTTGATCATTTATTACAACTTTTTGGAACAATCTATTAGAGAGGAAAATTTAGTGCACATAAGGTACTAGTTGGCTTAATGTCGCCACTAGGGGTAACCTAATAACCTTTTTGTTTTTTTTACAAAACGGAGGCTAAAAATCTTACACCCGCCTAAAAGAATCTCATGCAATTTTTCTGAGCGTCAAAATTTTAGAAAATACGGTTCAACCCGCTTTAAGGTACTACTTTAACTCCATTTCCGTCCGATCTCTTGACATAAAGCAGCTCTCATGACGCAACGAAACTGAAGATTGCGACGAAAAGTCCATTTTCATACTATCGAACGTCTTGCCTCTATAGACGGTCATTGCAGCAAGTGTAAATAATAAACTAGAAAATCAAAAGTTTAGCAACGTCATTCGTCAAGCGCCACATCAAAGAAGTTATGAAAAAATAATGATAAAGCAGAATGTATCTGTATATATCTGAAGTCGTGCTGTTTTTTCTAACGCACGCTTCGACAATTGGAGTCGACAAACAATTAGATGCAAGGCAATGCAAATTTGTTTTTAATTTTACTATGGGGGCTTTGAACAGATTGCGGGGCTTGCTCAAGGGTTTGTTTTTATCTACAAATGGGAAGATGCCTAATTTTCTATTTAGAGGAGAGTTCGATATGCGCCGGTTTAGGACGACGTCATTATAGACATGTGAGGAAATAACCGTTTAACAATACGTCCAAAGTTATGAGAAATCGGATGGGTTTTGAAAGTTTCTGCCCCAAAAAATGTCAGCAATTCTAATGTGAAGGAAAACATTTCTTCCAAAACCAGAAAATTTTTTTCCTCTGACTGCTCTCTGCATTTTTCGTACTCTCTTGAGTGCTGAAAATCGAAAGCCAAAATTTTTCGACGTTAGAGCTTCGCCCACGTACACCACGCACAAAATGTATGTGCTTCAGATTTCATAACCCCAACAAATGACTACTAGTCTGTCGGGAAAATAATGTGTATTTGTCGCGCCTTGGAATCGCCCATCATCGATTTGTGACGGCAAGCCGCGACTGGAGATTTGGTGCGCGACTGCGGCAAGGCGATACATTTTGCTGCGGCAAATCCACATTATTTTCCCGACAGAATAACAATATTATGTTCATCCTAAAAACCTTTGCCCTGAAAGCGTAAAAAAATACATTTAACCCTAGAAGATGGGATTTTTAAAAGGGTTAAAAATCCCAAAAAAAACTCTGCTCGTTGACGTTCAGCATCCAAAAAGGGCCACATAAAAAGTCAACTTTTATGACCGTCTCCATAACGATTGCCCGCTCTCTCATTAACCGATCAATGAAGCAGTTCAATACAGAAGTCGTCGCCGCAAAAAAAAACGTTCAGCTCCGGAGACCTGGTAAAGGTTCTCTCCCCCACATTTCATTGTCACCTAACCATCGAATATCAAGAAAAAAGTTTGCGTCTCAACATTTGATTTATGAAACTCGCAGTTCGTCCGGGGGAGAATTTGCTTTATTAAAAACCCCCAATGACTTTGAGATCTTTTTGTCGTGGAACAAGGAATCAAAATATGAAAAAAGAGTGGATATCGGAGTTGGGTTCGGGGAATTGATCAAATAATAGACGAGGTTAAAAAAGAGTATGGGAAATAAATATAAACTGAGATTGTAAAAAGGTCAAAGGCTCAAAACTCGAACAATGAAAAATCCAGATGAAATTGGACAAAAAATCCAGTTGATATTATAAATGGCGCAACGACTTTCCAAGTCAGCGATGCTATTTGTCGTTGTGTAAGATTCTGTAATAGTCTCATACGAATATACAATATCTATCTACCATTGTAATCCCATGTCTAGACTCCGCCCACCTCGATCTGGCAAGATCGAGGATCGGATCAAAGGAGAACTGAATAAGAAAGCCGGACGGTCGCGTCCGAGCCCGTCTCTCTGGCTGCGCAAGCAAGCCTTGTAATATCTCTGGGTTTAAGGTTGTTATAGTAAATAAACCTAAGTAACTAACCCAAGTCGACATATATTTAACTGTTGGATGCATAGGGGAGGCCAGGAGGACGCTTAGTAAGTAGAAATAATGAGAATCATTTGGTCCTAGGACAATTTATCACCTATTTTGAGGTATTTTACGTGTACTCACATAAATAATAGCTAGATAAAAATTACAGATCTATGGCTCATGATCAGAGATTGCCATGGGCAAAATTTCTCTAACTCCCGACTCAGAGCCGGAGCCGCACAGAGCCGAAAACAAGAGCCGGCTCCGGAACCGTTCCAATCTCTGCTTAGGATAAAGTAAACTGGCGTTAATAAAAGCTAAAATTGGAAAAAGCGGCAAGTCTTTGCTAAGTTTCCGCCGATCCTTCGCCGAGCGTCCGCCGACCATCCAACGGATTCGCCAGGCCTAGGCTCTTCCTATAATCACTTTTTTGGGCATCTGCCCTACGCCCCCTATCGATCCATTTTGTGTTCACCCGAACTGTCGGCGATCCGAAAAGTCGGGACGTGAACGGAAATACAAAAAAAAATCCAGTTGGCATTATAAACGGCTATGGAGTAGTTAAAGTTTGACGAAATTATAGCTGGGATTATGTTCGAGCGCACACAATGGCTATGAACTAGTGATCCGAAAAGGTCAGAAAAACAAGGTAGAAAGTGAATGTGAGTTTGTGAAAAAATCAAAGCACACATCAACAAAAGTCAGAGTAAAATGTCCACCATCATAAATTTAATATTTTGGTAATGTTTCCACAAAAAATCAATTTTTTCCACGCAAATAGCAAAGTTACGGCCAAAAAAAGTGTTTTTCTCTTTGACCGCTCTCCACGCTTGGCGTACTCTCTCGGCGGCAAAGATTATTGAATATCCCGGCGGCGTCTACAAAGTGTGGGCTAAAATTTTTAGGCATTGATTCGTGGCCCATGCCAAAACTGTGCGCTTACACGGTGCAAACGTCAAAAGTAAGCAACTGCCGCCAGCTAATTTCCGCTTCTCTGGCTATTTTTTGTTTATCAAGAATATGACTGCTGTAAACCATTATTACCTTTATTAAAAATCGAATAAAGATCATCGACTTGCTGCTCTTTTGCTCCAAAAACCATTAGACAAATAAGCAAAAATTTGCTCAAAGCAAAGGTCAATCGTTTTTGCAGTTTTCACATTCCCAGCCGTTATCAGTTCGCTTGGAATTGGCAGTCAGATACACTGCTGAGCTGCATTTGTTGAGAAAAAAATAAAAAAGAGTTGTTTGATGTTACCAGTTGAAAAATCTAATTGGTTTTGTTATCTTCTCTTGTTCTCTCGGTTAAATCGCTTGCGTTTTGATGAACACGGATGATTTGTTATCAGCCATTGTTCGGCAGCGATGATATGACGCTTGTAGGTCGGTGAGCAGCAAATTGTCTGACATTGTACTTGAGCGGTCAGAGAAAAACTTTTTTGGCGTATTTTTGTCAGTTTCGTACGGAAGAAAAGGATTTTTTTGTATTAGAAACATTACTCACAAAACAGTAAAAAAGGTATAAAAGTTTTGTCAACCGACAGAACAAACCACATCTTATAAGTCTTGAAGGCGAATAAACCTCTCTATAAGCACTGCTGGTGTTGTCAAGAACGACGTAGATCGTGCAAAAAGAAGTGAACGCTGGCAGCGCAATGTAGATGGATATTATCGTACAAAGGGGAAGGGTAGTTTTTGACGTTCAACAAGTTCGTTCGGTTTTAGCCGTTCGGTATAGTCCGTATAGCATTCCGAGGTCGTTTGTGAACTTCAAAGAGATCCTTCGTTCCTCGCCAACACGATCAGACACCGGGTCTCCTAATACGCTGCCCTAGACAAGCTCTCCTAACACTCCGACAATAACCAATGACCTCTTTATTCTTTCAAACACAATACGTCCGTCCGGAAAGTCGCCGGACGGAAATCGGCGACATGCACTCTGCGAAAATGAAAGTTCACTTTGCACTGTGCAATTTCTTGCCTTTTGCACCGTGCAATAGGCTTTTTTGGGATGTCGCTCGCACCCTGACTTTTTTCGCACAGTGCAAACCCCAAAAATCAGTCCGGCGACTTTCCGGAAGGACTAGTACACAAGCAGGCCAATACTTAAATTCCAATTGTCCACACGCTCTGACGGCCAACCGCTCGCTCAGGCTGCGACTTCCAAATTACGATCCTCCTTTTCCTTCCAAATCCACGTCTCGGTCGATTGCGGTGTCCTTTTGGGCTTCGTGGCGGGACGCAGCGACGGGTTGAATGCTGTTGCGGAGGCCGTGGCCTCACTCTTCTACCGTCATGCAATGGAATCTTTGTACAACCAACACAGCATAACCTCTCTATAAATAAAATTTCAGAGGTTGCAAGATTCAATACTTCAGGGTAAGCACACCAACAATGACGCTCAGGTTTTAACTTGGCAAAAAATTTTCATAAGTTTTTCTAGGGGAAATGCGAGACTGCTAGCTTGCGCTCAATATGTGTTTGTTTCTACTGTGGAGGGTAACGCTTTCGCAAAAAAAATTTTTTTCGGTGACACTGGCAAAGAAACGGCTAGAAAATAATTTTCTGTCTGAGTCCACTCCGCGCTTCGCATACTCTCTCGGCCGAAAAAAATGGTTGAATATATCGGCTGCTGCTGCTATGAATTGCGAGCTAAGATTTGGAGGAGTTGATCCAAATCGAAACAGCATTTGCATAGCAAACTCCTTCTATAACGAATAATTTTTCGGCCCTTGAGGTTCGTTCAACCCGCAACTTGTTTGGCTTTGCTGTGCATATCGTTTTTACACTATAACATATCCATTTTTGCCTTTCACCTCTTTCATACCCTGCTTCTCTAAACCAACAGTCTAAAAATATCTCGGAATTCGTATAGTTGTTGAAAAAAACATCTATTTTGATAAGCCTGATGGAAAACTTTTTTAAAACCCTTCAAGTTTCTTTGTCTCTTATCAGTTGGGTGGAGGAATCAGAACCGAATATTAATATTTGCTCAAATCTTATGCCAAACAAAGACGACAATGGGCCTAAAAAACAACTGACTGTTGGTGATGATGCAAGATTAACCTGATATATAAGCGGAACGAACGTCGGAGGTAATAAGTCAAAGGCGATCGGTGTTTAGGTCGCTGGAAGAGACGCTGAAGAGCTTTTGAGAAAGCTAGGTCTTGCGATTTTGGTTTTGAAATATCGTTCAAAAGAGCGGTTATCTCAAAAAGTTCAAATTGACTGTAATTCTTGTGATTTATTTAGCTACATTGCTTCATCATGAATCCAATACTCTTCCTTTTCCTTGCCACTACTGTCTACGCTCTTCCAACAATCGAAACGCGGACAGAACACAGAATTTTCGCCACCAAGTTGAGCCCAAAATCGCTCATTGACGAAATCAACGAGGATGCCACGTCGACCTTCAAGGCTACGCTTCACAAACAGTTTGCCGACGCCTCGTTGGACGAGGTCCGAAGGCTTCTGGGTGTCAAAGAAGATCATGACACTGTGGTTGCCAAAGAACTTGGACGTTCACTCAAACAAGCGCCCGTTTTTCTTGCCGACCCACTTAAATTGCCCACCGAATTCGACTCCAGAACGCGTTGGCCGCAATGCAAAGAGCTGATGGATGAAATCAGAGATCAATCGTGGTGTGGTAGTTGTTGGGCGGTTTCTTCGGCTAGCGTCTTGTCCGATCGTCTCTGCATTGCCAGCAATGGAACGCTTCAGGTGCCAATCTCGGCTGCTGATCTTCTGGAGTGCTGTGACTATTGTGGAAGCGGGTAAGACTGTTATTATAAAGGAGCAACCCTCTATCGCTCCATAATACCTCTACCGTTGCATGTCTTATAATTTTTTTTCAGCTGTGTTGGTGGCTACCCATACCGCGCTTTCCACTACGTCGAGCAGCTTGGTGTTGTGTCGGGAGGCAACTTCTCGTCGCAAGCCGGCTGCAATCCTTATCCATTCCCTCCATGCCATGCCGCGGATCATGACAAATATCCTCAGTGTTCCAAGAGGAATTTCGCTACTCCAAAGTGCCTGAAAAAGTGTCAAGACGGCTACAAGCAGCATGACTACAAAACTGACAAGTATTACGGTAGGATTTTTAATTGAACGCTTGTAGATAATAATGCTGTGATATCTGACAAATTTCTTTTAGCCTCGTTGTCGTACAGTTACGTCCGTGACGGCTTCGGAATCATGAAAGAGATCTATGAGCGCGGACCAGTCGTGATTGCGGCCTTGGAAGTTTATGAAGACTTTTTGTACTACAAATCGGGAGTTTATCAGGTAATCAAGCTAATATCTACTGGATCAGTCTGTCGGGAAAATAATGAGCACTCTATGGCCTGAAAAATTGCATCACCACCGAAAAAATGAGTTGTTTTTCAATTCATTGACGCGATTGGCGCAGCAACAAATACTCATTATTTTCCCGACAGACAGACATGACGATACACTTACAGTGTTCTGTTAACATTAGCTTGTACGCTGCTAATACTATATAAAATTTTCAGCACAAAAGAGGAGGGTATCTTGGTCTGCACGCGGTCCGAGTAATCGGCTGGGGAGTTGAAGACGGAACCCCGTATTGGACGGTCGCCAACAGCTGGGGATCTCAATGGGGAGAGAATGGCTTCTTCAAGATCCGGCGAGGATACAATGAGGCAAATGTTGAAGGGTCTGTCAACGCCGTCGTTGTTGTTCCAAAGTCTCCAGCGAACTGAGATGTTGTTCATCTTGTTGATGATTGCAATGTATATAATCCTCAAAAAAGTCTTTCAATTATTTAAAATATTGCCGCGTCTTTGTTGAGTAATAAATTGGAGGTTTGAATTTGAATTTACCTTGCGATTTATGGCAAATTTTATATACAACTTTCGAAAAAAAATCAAAAATCTGATGTTGCTTACTATTCACAATAAAATAAGCCTACAGCTCTCAGTATTTCCCACGCTTGGTTAGCCTTTTACCGCGTAACAGAGCGAGCGGAGACCTGGAAATTCGGAATGAATTGTTTGTCCGAGCGCTATGCGTCGCTGCCCGCAGGGGGTCACGAAAAGGCGTTGAGAGGGGAGGAGAATGAGTAAGGCCGGGGCTGTATTTGCATTCGTTCGATAGGTAGGGAAGAGGAGATTCTGTTCTGATATTATTCGTTCTATTTCTATGGTGGGTTCAAGGTGTTTTTGACATTTTTTTGGGGACTGGAATGTGAAGTAAAATTTTTGTAGACCTTTTTCTACAAATTTCTACCGCTTTATTGCCTGTTTTTCTGCAAAAAAAAATCGCAAAAGTCCCCTTGGAAAGGTTGCCAATGCCCATGCAATTAGCGCTTACGCAAAATGAAGTCATAACACGTTACTTGCAATAACATAATTGAACGTTTTCTTTGAGTGCGTTTCCATGGGAACCCAGCATTAAGCCGGCACTAGAACCTTGCTTGCCCCCCAAAAAAAGGATGTTTGAAATTCGAAGATGAGGGCATGACCTTTGTCGCTTTTATGTGTTTACGGTTCACTGGACACCTATTTTGGCCGTCTCTTTTTTCATTGTTTGGTCGTTCACGTGCCGCCTGTTTTCTTGAAGGAATTCCTTCTTTCGTCGGGAATTTGAAGCCGTTTTATAGCAGGGGAGAGGCAGCAAGTGCGACGCTCAGATTTCGATGAGACTTGGCAAAGGTTTAGATGATTTTTTTGTAAGACATACGCGAGACTTCTGGCTCGCGGTTTTCACAAACGACCAAGATTTTTCGGTCGAATGTTGGATGAAATTTGATACTTTTTTGCAAAATTTTGGCACAGGAAATCCTTGTGTCTATTTCTGCCATGGACAGTAATGCTTTCACACAAAATCAATTTTTCCACACAAAACTGGCAAAGTTATCGCCAAAAAGCGTTTTTTCCGTAACCACTCTCCACGTTTCGTGTGTTTCCTCGGCCGCAAAGATTGTTGAATATCTCGGATGTCCCTGAAAAGCGCAAGTTAAAATTTTCAAAAATTGATATGGGGCCTATCCTCAAACTGTACGCAAAACTTGAAGAAAATCTGAGCGTCGCGCTTGGAGTAGGCGGTTCCATACTAGCGGGCAACCACTTTATGGGCAGCCAGAAGAACCACTGAGATTCTGCGGGCATGTTTGGAAATCAGCCAACATTTGCTTAAAACAAGAAATTCAAACGATGGATTTGGCAGTTAGATGTTGCGGATTAAGTTTCCTGGTGCATAAGTGGCTTGAATAGTTGCAATAAGGTTAACCAGGCATTCTTACTATGTTCTTGGAAACAAATTCCCATAACTTTGAAAGCGGTGGACGAATTCAATAGAGTCATGTACTTATCAGTAGCCGGGAGTTGTCAGTGAAAAATTTCTATCATACTACGAGGATTACAGTGGGGGCCTGATCCAGTGGCAAAAAACGTACCATTTTGCGTCCGGGAAGCATCAAAAATGTGGTAAAATCCTTCCCTCTCCAAGTGAAAAAACTTCGTTTTGAAGGGCGCGCTCTTTCCCTCACAAAAAGAAGCGAGCGCGCTTTTGAAATCGGAGTTCTTTCACTTGAACAGGGCGGTAATTTGCCACATTTTTGGATTCTTCCTGGATACAAAATGGTACGTTTTTGGCCACTGGATCAGGTCTCCCACTGTACGACAGAAAAATCGTAATTCTAATCGAAAGAATGTCCGATGAATTTTTTTTTACGGGTCTTAAAACCGTAATCTTTCCTCGATTTTCCAATAATAATTTTCCTTGGGCCTTGTGGGAATATTGACTCCAAATACGCTACAAAATTAATAGATCTTCTCACAGATTACACCCCTACTGCATTTATTGAGTTTCTCTCAATTGTCCTCAACATCCTCATCCTCTCCCCCTTTTTTTTTCAATCCGGCTGAAGAATCGAGGAGAAGAAAGCATTTCCGAAGCGGGCAAATCAAATTCCTGAACGTCCTCGACAAACTCTCGTCCGCCATCTTTCATAGAATTTGATGTCCTCGTCACGACGGAAGCCGTGGAGGAGCGGAAAACGGATTTCAAAGATTTGCGCCGCACAAAAAAGCCCGGCACCGCAAGCGTCCAACAATTGCGGCCCCACTTTTCGCACAAAACCCCCCGACCCTACGGCCATCAATGAAGAGAGAAGAAAAAACGCAAAGGGGAGGAGAGCAGAAACACGCTGTCATGGTGGAATTCCCTCCTCTTTTTCTGTTTGCCTTTTGCATTCTTTTTGCGCGCTCGCTTTTCGTCTTCCGACATTTCCTGGCCGCCCTCTCTTTCGCTCGTTGAGAGGGCCAAGTAGCGGCCAAGCGGCCACGGGCGGGGGAATTGTTTTTGTTTCCAGTTTTGGCGCGCGTTTGCATCAAGTTTTTAATTATTTTCCCGTTATCCGGCTTCCCGGAAATTTGCGCGCACACACCAAATTAGGGATTTGCCCCGGAGGTGAGTAATCCGGCCTAAAAGTGCAAGATGGTGTGGATGAGGCGGCCCCGGGGCGAGGGCCGACGGATCATAAGGTCACGTGGGAATTTTGGCCCCATTTTTGGGTTTCTGCAGACATTTTCATTCGGAAATGTCTTCAAATGAAAAGATAGCGGTGACGGAAGTCGTTGCGAGAAAGCTGTTTGTCTATTATCCATTTGGTATATATTATTTTTGGACGAGATATCAGTCTGTACGGAAAATAGTGAGCGCAATGTCGACGCGTTAATCGTCTCGCTGAACCATTAACAGGGGAAGTACTCCAAGTGCGACGCTCAGATTTTCTTTAAATTTTGCACACATGTCGGGTATGGACTAAATATCAATTCCTGAAAGTTTTACTCGCGCTTTCCTGTGGCCGCCGAGATATCGAACGATTTTTGCCGCCGAGAGAGCACTGCAAAACGTGGAGAGCGGTCAGAGAGAAAAACGCTTTTTGGCCATAACTTTGGCAGTTTCGCGGAAAAGTTTGATTTTTTATAGGAACATTATCCTTTACGGGAAAAATAGTCATGAAACTTTTCGTGCCAAAATTCGGCAAAAAGTCCCAAATTTTTGCCGACTTTCGTTCTAAAAATCTCGGTTGTTTCTGCAAAGCGCGAGCTAGGATTCTCGCATATATCTTAGAAAAAATTACTCTAAATTTTTGCCAGGTTTCACCAAAATCTGAGCGTCGCACTTGGAGTACTTCCCCTGTAAAAAGCAATTTAATTTCACCGCGACACTGTCGATTTTTCTTGGCGGCGATACGATTTTCAACGCGACAGAATGCTCGATATTTTCCTGACAGACTGAGATTTGGTCTTGTTTTTGGGGAACATTGAAAACGACTGTTTTAAGATAAGGTTGTTGATAAAAAAATACTCTTTCAAAGGTGCTCAAGCAAGCACGGCACTAGCGTAAATTCTTTTAATTTTTTTGTGAAAATTGAGTGCATGTTAAGAGCAAGAGTTTTTGAGGCGTATAAGGAGTCTTCACCGTGCATTTTAAAGTCTGTCGAAAAAATAATGAGCACAATGTCGCGTTCAAAATGATGTCAAAAAAGAATAGTGTTGTGGCACGATGCACTTGCATTTTTTTCTTGACATTAGCTTTGGCGATTTGCCAAGCTCTTGACGTTGGAAATTCAGAAATAAATTTCTTGTAGGTTGATGGTATGTGAAGCATTTTGGAGCCCGTAAAATTGTCGGGCGTTTTTTATAGAAATATCAAGTCTTACAGTCATAAAATTGAGTCGCTTTCTGAGCCTTTCTTTAGTCATCCTTTTTTGATGTACTGTGTAACTTTTGTACCACAAGCTGCCGTTTAAGTAAGCTACTTATAAAGACAGTTTCAGGGCTATCTCTATCAGTCTGTCGGGAAAATAACGGCGGATCGTCGCAGCAAAATGTCTCGCCTCACCCGCTATCGCGCACCAAATTCCAAGTCGCGGCTTGCAGTCGCAAAGTGATGATGGGCGATTCCGATGCGCGACGATCCGCCGTTATTTTCCCGACAGACTGATAGTCAGTTTTCGACCACAAATAATAAGCTTCTGTATACCAAAAAAATCTCCTATCACAAACGAATTTTATTGTCTAGTAAGATGGTTGCCCCATAGCGCTTTTCTAGCCTCTCAATTAAACATAACCTGCCTTTGTCCTACAATTTGCATCCCTTCTCGGCACAAAACCCTAGGTTCTGCTTTGTATGCATAGTGCAACAAGTGGCGTAATGTTATCTCCATGTTTGTCCGTCTTGAGGAGAGCAAGCGGGCTTCGGCTTCAGTTCTCCCTTACGCTTACTCAACGCGCATAAATTGGTGGGCTCTTTTCGAAAATTACATGCCTTAACGAATGTGAGTTTTTCGTATTCCGACGGTGTGAACGGAATGACGTGAGGAATATGTTGTACAATTTGTTGTTAATTTAGGGGCGAATTAGCGATTCTACACCTGGTTTTAAGGGTGTTGAACGGGGTTGGACGGAATTTTTAGAGAGTAAAATTTTTATGAAATTGATTAGATATGTGGAAACGGACTTTTGAGGTGTCTAGGGTTGGTATGATATCAGTCTGTCGGGAAAATAATGACCGAGATGCCGCTGCGCCGGCCGTGTTGCTAAAGTGAAAAGCAATTCGATTTTGTTGCGACACAATTCATTTTCTCGGGGGCGAGGCGATTTTCCATGCGACAGAACGCTCTTTATTTTCCCGACAGGCTTATAAGAAGCCAAACTAGTGGTTACCATGTTTTACAGCAATACTTTTGGGCGTAAACGGAAGCGTTACTGTTCGTTAGGTACATGAATTTCTTCATCAGCTCAGCTTTTACAATATGCGTTTTACTACATTCCTTTATTGGGCCCGGTTAGTATCAGTCGTCGGGAAAATAACGCCGGATTATGGCAGCAAATTCTTCTTTTCGACTAGGCTCGACACGAGTCATTTTCTCGGCTGTAATGCAATTTTCGATGCGGCAGAGAGCTCATTATTTTCCCGACAAGCTGATATTTACATTGTTTTACAAAACCTTAGAGTCTTACGCTAGCTTTCGCCCACCATCAAAGCCTTTTTTAAGGCAATTTCTGGCTATTTTTAAGCTCATTTGGCCCAATTTTTTATTCTTTTGCACTTGTGGCCTTTGCACGAATTTTATATTTCATTTTGAACTATTTTATCGCAAACATTAACCTCCGTAAGGCTTTGAAATCCATTAAATTTATAAAATTATCCCTTCTGCTGTGAAAACAGCCGATTTTCAAGCTCTCAGCCACGCCGTGTTTTCGGGCCACAACTGCCGGCACAACAAAATTTCATGCGAAACTGTTTGGGGAATTGGCAGCGGGTTCGTTCAACTCAATTTTGTTCAGCCCGCGTATCCGCACATTCAGATGCTTTTTACTTTGTTTTTGCGGGTTCGTTCGTGTACGTACATGTATATATCCGGGGCGCAGAAGTCGAGAATGTTGACAAAAAATGATCGAGAGATCATTCTATTATATTTCACTGTGACGCTCAGATTTTCTGTAAATTCCTCGGGTATATAACATACATATGTATGGTGGGTTCCGGATAAACTCTCATTTTTTCGGCCATGATACTCAGGCACGCCTATCGAATTTTTTGTCCTAGAACGTGTAGCGCACTAGACAGGACAAAACTTTTTACGAAAGGTACAGTGGAAAGAACCTAAAGACGTCGGTCGGCTCTGCGATTTTCGCATTTGTCATTTTTACTGACAGGGGAAGTACTCCAGGTGCGACGCTCAGATTTTGATGAAACTTGGCACAAATTTAGAATAATTTTTTCTAAGATATATGCGAGAAACCTAGCTCGCGCTTTACAGAAACAACCGAGATTTTTAGATCAAAAGTCGGCGAAAATTTAGGACTTTTTGCCGAATTTCGGCACGAAAAGTTTCATGCATTTCTACCGTAAAAAATAATTTTTCTACAAAAAATCGAATGTTTCCGCACGAAACTGCCAAAGTTATGGCCAAAAAGCGCTTTTCTCTCTGACCGCTCTCCACGTTTAGCGTGCTCTCTCGGCGGCATAAATCGTTCGATATCGTGTCCACACGTGTGTGCGAAATTTAAAGAAAATCTGAGCGTCGCACTTGGAGTACTTCCTCTGTGAAATTTCACTTTTCTGATGAGACTGAAGGTATATTTATGACTTGAAAGAAAAGTTTTATTTTTTCTCAGATTTTTTTTTATTTTGCGCACGCTTTAGACATAGCACGCATATCAATTCGTCCAATTTTTCTCGCGCTTACGCCGCGGCGCGCCGTAACGATCTTTGCGATCTAGGATGATCTTTGCGGCCTATGGGGTACGCGCAATGCGGAGAGTAACCTTAAAAATCACTTTTTGGCCAAATCTTTGCCAGTTTTGAGCGGAAATTTTGATTTTTCGGGGAAACATTAAAAAAGTTGCCTTTCAATTTCATGCCAAAATTCGCAAAAATGCTTGCAAACTGTGGACTTCAAAAACTCTGTCATTTCTACAGAGTGTTTTGAAAAAAAATACTCTGAATTTGTGCCAAGTCTTTATCATCAAAATTTGAGTGTCGCACTTTGGGTACTTCCCCTGTATGTATTATAAATGCAATAACTGCCTTTGTTTTTCACCTTTGTCCACTGCCAACTAAAATTATCTTTCATCATTGTCCTCCACTTCCTATAATAATATAATATTTATGATCGACTTTAGCCTCTAAAATTTTCATTTCTTTCAAGTCTCCATAAAACTTTTATTTCGAAAAAGTTTGAACCAAAAACTTGCTCCAAGGTGACAAGGCCGGTTTCGAGAGTATTTTAATTTTAAATTTGCTTCTGTTTTTCGTGCCCCATTCACTATGCCAACATGCGCTGAGTTTTCGACGCCGGTTGAAATTGCCCCGTGCATTTGGACTTTCGGAGATATTTTTGCATTTTCGAAAAGTGCCATTAAAGCCGTGTTATAGAGGATATGATTTTTGGGGCTTTCAAGTCTTGATTGTGTAGATCGCATAGATTTTTTCGCGTCAAATCGCCAGATTTTTGCCTTAAGTTGAAACAGATTTAACCAAAAAAAGTTATCGTTCTCCATTCCAGACCCCTTCCACCCCCATTCTGACCCTCTTCTCTACGCGAACATCATCATGCTGAAGGCCGAGCACACCTAAAACGGCGCCGCAATCCATCCCTGCCATTGATATTTACACCCTCTGCAAACAACCCACACCCCAAAGTTCGGCTGGCTCCAAATGCCTTCCGAGTTCGACTAATCCCTCGCAGCGTTCCGAGCCGACACCGCGAGCCAAGACGTGCCAAAACAGTGAGTGGAAATTTATGGGATTGATTGTGGGTGTTTTTTTGGTGGGAGATAATCTTGAGTTTTGGCTTTTTTTGGGATTAAGGGTAGAAAGGGGGGATTTGTGAGAGGTTCAACGGCTCTCAGGGTAAGACAGTGTGATCTGAGCAAGGAGCAGAGAAAGTTATGAGAGTAGAGTCACCCAATTTTTTGCATATGCAAGACAAAAAGTCCTGATAAATTTTCGCGACACCCGAATTCTGTCCCACTTTGAAAAAAATTATTTGTTGTTGCGAAAAATGGGAATTGCGCGAGCCGTAACGCAAGAAAAACAAAAACAAAAATGCAGTTTGCAAATGCTGTTTTTCGGTCAAACGCACTGTACAAATCATCAGAACTGGGGACAGAATGCCAAATCTTGTAGGCACAAGAAATTTGGGGGCTTTGGTAATTCAGCCCCCCCCCCCCAGGCAATGCTGATCGTAGCCGAGAGAACCCAATCCCGAGTAGGCGCTTCAGATTGGATGAGGGGGTTTATACTGGATCAAGGGGGGCTGAACTGGACTGGCGGGTTGTACCACCTTAGCCCCGAAATTTGTTTTTTCAAGAGGTATTGAGCTTGCAATTTTGTTTCACAATTTGTGGCCTAGATAAATCACCTTGGCAAGGGCTAGAGAAAGAATTAAAACGTTTTTTTTGTAAAAATCAATTTCTCGAAGAGAGTTGCTTATAAGCAAAGTACCACAACTATGACGCTCAAATTAATTTATATTTGCACACACGTCAGGCATAGGTCACATATCAATCCTGAAAATTTTAGCTCGCGCTCTGCAAGGACAGTCGAGATACTCAACGATCTTTGCGGCCGAGAGACTATGCAAAATGCGGAAAGCGGTGACAGAAAAAACAACTCTTCGCCATATTTGTGCCAGATTCATGCGGAAAATTAAATTTTTGTGGAAGCATTGCATTTTACGGCAGAAATAAGCATGGAACTTTTCATGCAAAAATTGAAAAAAGGTGTCAAATCTTTGCCAACTTTCGACTTAAAAATCTGGGTCATTTCTGTAAACTGCGAGCTAGCAATCTCATATATTCTTTGAAGAACGATCATTCGAGCTTTGGGAAGATTTGAGCCTATTTTCATCAAAATCTTATTGTTAGCGTCGTACTGAGGCTATTTCATTACCACAATGTTACTTCTCTAATTCCTCCTTTTCCAGACCACAACCTCTCACAACACCGCATCATAACTGGGTATCAAACGGCTTAGAACGAAGATTCCTTCATTTCGCGTTAGCCCAAATTGGTCTTGAATAGGGACTCGTGGGAATATCGAACGCCAGCCCCGCATCCGGAGAAGGATATCATTGGCCATGCGAGCAATGAACGGCCGTTTGCAGAGTGTGCTGCGCTCGCCGCTGATGCGCAACAACCAGCTGAATCACGTCGAGAATGGGAACAAGCAGCACCATCACCATCATCGGCGAAGGGAATCGGAGGGACTGCCGGGGATCATACAGTTCGACGAGAGCGCCGACGAGTATCGATGCTTCTGCAGTTGTTTCCACATCAAAACGGGTGCATATGTTATTGCGGGTGAGCGCTTTTTCATGTTTGTTTCCGTATACGGCTTAAGGCTCGGGAATTATCAAAATCATTGCGCGTCCAGAAAATGTGTCACGATGACGGCCATTTAAAATGTGCTAGCGGTATAAACAACGACTGTATATGGATTGTAGTACTCTCTAGACTACCCACAAAAAGATTTAGGTCCAAAACGTATGCAATACGCTATTTGGCGAGCGCACACTTGCGGGCAACCACTTTGCGGGCAGCCAGTTTGCGGGCAAATTTTTTGCGGGCAGCCACTTTGCGGGCAGCCGACATTTGCGGCCAGCACCGGCATTTGCGGGCAGCCTGGGACATTTGCGGGCAGGGTCGACAGTTGCGGGCAGCCTGGAAGATTTGCGGGCAGCCGACATTTGCGGGCAACCGACACCTGATTGTGAGGGTAACGGAATGAAGGGGGAGAAATTACTATGATATTTTGGAAACTTGCCGACATTTGCGGGCAGCCGACATTTGCGGGCAACCGGCGCTTGAGGATAACAAGGTGGAGGTGGAAAAATTACTGCAATATTTTGGAAGTTTTCCGACATTTGCGGGCAGGCAATACTTGCGGGAAGCCGACATTTGCGGGCAACAGTTCCAAAAGTACCAATACAGTCTGTGTGATTGTTTTTTCCTGTTGCCCGCAAATGTCGGCTGCCCGCAAGTGTCGGCTGCCCGCAAATGTCGGCAAATTTTCAAAATATCGCGGTAATATTTCTATCTCCACCCTGTTACCCTCAGGTGCCGGTTGCCCGCAAATGTCGGCTGCCCGCAAGTGTCGGTTGCCCGCAAATGTCCCAGGCTGCCCGCAAATGTCTCAGCTGCCCGCAAATGTTTCAGCTGCCCGCAAATGTGACCCCCCAAATTTTGCCCGCAAAGTGGCTGCCCGCAAAAAATTTGCCCGCAAACTGGTTGCCCGCAAAGTGGTTGCCCGCAAGTGTCGCGACGCCCGCTATTTGGATGACGGATTTTCTGGATTTTGCTGGATTTTTTCTGCAGCCAGTCTCAAATTTTTTTTGCGTGATCTGAAGGTACTCCTAGCCGTATACATCCGTTTTTTAAACCATTAGCACACTTTAGCCTGGTGTCATCGTGACGCATTTTCTAGACACTGAAAAAATTTTATGCCCCGGGGGTATAAATTCTCACCATATTTTACATTAATCTCCCATAACTCCTTTTACTTTTCCGATTTCATCCCCGCAATTTCAGGTCTTGAATTCTTCCTCATCCTCTTCTTCTTCATCAACTCATTCCTCGTCAGCCTTCAACAAAAAGAAAGCTACCACTACAAGCAGGGCGACAAAACCAGTGATTACGTCCACGTCGCATTCATCATCACGGCCGCTTGCTCGGCGTTAGCCACGATTTGCGTGCTGTTGATGGTAATCGGGGTCATGAAGAACGTGGGCGGCTTGCTGATACCTCACATGATTATTCAGGTAAATTTTGGGGAAGCATTAAAGAGTACGGTGTCTGAGGGTTAAAAGCCATACAAAAGTCTTTTTCGGCAGTCTTTACAAAGCTTTTTGTCAATTTTAATAATAAAATTAAGGGTGTAGAGAAGGTTTTCCTAACAACAAGAGAGAAAACAAACTTTTTTTAAATACATCTTTCCCAATTTCGCTTGGAAAAATATAGATTTTTTGAGACATTTTTAATTTCCCTCATCGGCAAAAATAGGTATAAAACTTCACGCCAAAATTCGCAATAAAGCGGACATTTTTGCCAGCTTTTTGCCTTGAAACCGTCTTTTTTGCAGGGACCAATGCGTTATCTGAAAGTTTGCTGAAAATCATAGGGCGCAGCTCGGAGAACTTGCACGGGCGCAGCTCAAAAGCAGGCTGAAACTTAGCTCTGGCGAGCTGCGAAACGTTGTTTTTCGAACTGCGCCCTACTATTTTCAGCTAACTTTCAACAAACTTTCAGTTAGCGCATTGGCCCCAGAACAAAAATCAGAAAAAGGAATCTTAATTTGGTGACTGTTTTATCGAAATCTGAGCGTCGCGCTTGAGGTACTTCTCATGTTACAATAAATCAATTTAAATTTGTTGCCGTTTTTCGTCAAAGTCTGAGCGACACACTTTGAGCACCTTCCATGACAGATTGAAATATGATTTACAATGCATTCAAAATTCGGCCTAAAGAAAAAGCTCCCCCTTTTACAGCATGAAACTTTTTGTGCGGAAATTCGGCAAAAAGTGTCAAATTTTCGCCAACTTTCGATCTATAAATCTCGGTTGTTTCTGCAAAGCGCGAGCTGGGATTCTCGCTTATATTTTAGAAAAAAATTATTCTGAATTTATGCCAAGTTTCATCAAAATCTGAGCGTCGCACTTGGGGTACTTCCCCTGTAAAATCAGCCAATTCCTTTTCATTGCAGGTTCTAACCATCCTCACAGTCGGCCTCCTCATAATTCTCGGGATCGTCGCCGTTTCCACCGACCTCGCCGTCTGCTATCGGATCCTGAACGCGGCCCCCTTCCACGAGCACCCTCAACAAAGCACCGTGGCGTTGGACACCAATACCTTGGTCCGGATCTACTTTTTCATCGGCATGCTGGTCCTCACATTCATCCTGCAGCTCTACTTCCTGATCACCATCTACAACTGCCGTCAGTACTTTGTGGAGCGGCGTCAGTACATGAAGTACTGCATGACCTACTCCAAGCCCATGGAAACCTTGAACAGCGCGCGGTGACCATAGCCAAAAGTTGTTGACAATTTTTTTTTCTTTTTTACTTGAAATTTTTGACACAATGTCTTCTCGTTTTAAGCCTCGGTCCGGATTGTCTTTCTGATGCGTATACCTTTGGAATTTTTGTTGTACAAAAAAGTCTCGTGCGTTCTACCAATAGTTAGTTTTGGAATTTCGTAGAATACTTCACTTTTACGTTGTGGTTATGTGAAAAAGCTTGATAAACAATAAAAGTAAAAAATTATGGTTCAAGATGTGGCATGATTTCTGTGTGTTTATGTGTAAGTTTTTGGAAAGTATGTTTAAAAATGTCGGAGTATGAAGATCCTTGTGTTTGAATGGAACCCTCGTGTTTCAAGCCTGATCGCTACAACTACTCAAGAAAGTTCTTTAGCGCGATACTCCAGCTCGTGCTCTGCAGAAACAAGCTCAGGTATTTAACACATCATAACAACTAGATTTGGATCATTGGCAAAAAACGTACCTTTTTGCATTCGGGAAATATCAAAAATGTGGCAATATGCTTCCCTCTCCAGGTTAAAAACTCCGATTTCAAAAGCGCGCTTCACGTCAAACCGAGATAAGCTAAAACAGTCCGGTGAATGGATTGGCAATTTGCCAAAAAAAGACGCGAAAAAACGTTTTGTCGGGGAAGAAATGGGGAATTTTTGGGGCGAGAGAGTACGTTTTTGCGTGTCTTTTTTCTCTCTTTCTCTGGAAATCAAGACGAAATGTAAAAAACCGATAGCGAAGAGTCTATTCCGGTCACCGGACTCCTCAGTTTGACGTGCGCTTGCTCTTTTTGTGAGGGAAAGGGCGCGCAGGTCAAAACGGAGTTTTTGTAGTTGGAGAGGGAAGCATTTTGCCACATTTTTGATACTTCCCGGATGCAAATGTTTTAATAGCGTGGAAGAAGAAAAATTTTGTGAGATTTCGTCTTCCAAGCCGTAAAAGCAAGGTTCAAATTCTCTTCAAAAAGAAGATTTTTTTTCACTTGGAGAGGGAGGCACTTTGGCACATTTTTGATGCTTCCCGGATGCAAAACGGTACATTTTTTGCCACTGGATCAGGTCCAACACCGTATGTTTATGACTTGGAGAGCAAAATTATAGAGACATTATCACATACTTTTTCCTGTCCTTTGTCGTAAAGACGAATTTTCAGTAAAAAAAATCGGATAGGTTCTTACAAGGTCATTAAAAATAAATAAAGCGTTTAAGATTGTCGTGATGACCAAAAGTTTGATAATACCACAAACGTATCCGCCAAATACGTATCTTTCCGCGTTGACGTAGAAAATAGTCGGAAGCGCATTTCGCCACATGACTACTTCCCGGAGTCTTCCGGAAATTTCCTGTGTACATGTTCAATTTCACAGCCTAATAAATCACTAATTTTGTTCGCCCTACTCTTGCCTAACCAACGTGATGCGGGCGAAATCAAAAAAGGTTTTTCGCTTTCATCATTTATTTTGTTTACTTCGTCAAGATTTTTTTTACGTCAAAAATGAGACTGTTTACTCTATTCTTACTACTGATATCAGTTGTTATTGCCATTCCGACAACTAGGGACTTGAGAGAATGGAGAAGGATTCGTAGGCTCGACCTGGAGGACAGAAGCGATCACCACCATCCCCATCATCATCACCATAACCTTCATTCGCATGGACACCACAGCAGCCATAGCTACAGCCACAGCCATGAGCATTAGGTTGAGGAGATTTGCGAAGAAGGATTTACGAAGAGAAATTTGACTTCAACTGTAATTTACAAAAAAATTTTTTTGAATTTCCATATGTGAATAAAGCGGTACCATATGCAACTGATACACCCCTTTGTTTCCGGTCGCTCTAAGCAGGGGGAAGTTCGTGACATATAGCAGATATTCAACGATTTTTAGGACCGAGAGAGCACAGGAACGCGGAGAGCAGTCACAGAAAAAAACACCCTTTGGCCACATCTTTTCCAGTTTCGCACGATAAACATTGATTTTTTGTGGAAATATAACTCTCTGCAGTAGAAACGAGCATGAAACTTTTTATGCCAAAGTTCAACACATGGCGTCATTTGTGCCAAGTGTTATGAATATATGAGCGTCGCATTCATGAACTTCTCGTGTGAGTCACACGACAAGTAAAAACTTTACTCTGGCTTCCTCACTGCTATATGTATAGGCTCGTGATTCCGTTGCCCAAGAAGATAAGGTGTCTGACTCCTCCAAACATCTAGACAAGTGAGGAACGCAGCGCCGACGGTGGAAGTCAGCGTTGGGAGGATCGTCGTTTCTCTAATCGTCATCGCCAGCACAGCAGCGGCGTAGCCATGAAAGGGTCATGAAAGTGAGTAATGCCCCATCCAATCCAAAATTTTTCCATTACCTCTGTCTATGACGCATGGCGATTAAATCTAGTTTTGATCCGTCCTTATTTCTCGCTGAACACTACACTATAAACAACTAACCAACGATAAACTCTATTACTCACGACATGTCAAAAACCTTACACAGTAACTTTTCAATTTTTTGACTTCCAATCTTCGTCGCGCCATCTCCCTAGCCTTCCATCCTTTTCGTATAAAAAGAGAGCACCGCTTCCACGACGGTTCATTTAGTTTTCAACATGATTAGGAGTGTAAATGTCCTGCTGATTCTTCTTCTGCTAGCTGTTGCTGTTTCGGCGGCGCCACAGTGGGGCTGGGGCCAATCCTACCCATATTATGGTGGCAATTACTACGGAAACTACGGAGGATACAACCGGGGATACGGTGGACATCATCACCACAGCCACAGCCACAGTCATGAGCATTGGGGATGAGGCTGAGATTTTACAAATCTATAATAATAAAAAACTGTTTGAAGAAGTGATAATATGTACATGTTGTTTTGCTGAAGTAAAGAATAAAAATTTTTTGTTCTTGTTGCAACGTGAGTTGGCGAATTTTGTGGGGAAACACAATTTCTTAATGCAAAATCGAACGTGATCGGAGAAAAAGTCAAAAAGTTTGATTGATTGTAATTGGGATGTAAAAATTGAAGGGAACACAAGTTGAAAAACGACCAAGAAGCTGTTGTCTCTTTAGCTTTCAATGTTATTACTAGAGGAATTCAGCAATGTGAAGTCAGCGTTATTGTATATGAAGATTAGGGATGAATCATGTCAAGATTTGTTGGCCTACCAAGTAATACAATATGTGGAGCACATTTATGTGCCGCCTAAGCTTACTTGCAATTGATAGGCATCTATATAATTGTTTTGTATCTGGGACTCGTTTGATTTACCTTTAAAGAAAATACGTTAAATTTGAGCTTCTAACAAGCCGTAGTTCCAGAAGCATGAAAAGTTCATCCCGCATAGGAGTGAGGTTTGTTGTAGAGCAAGTTTGGGCATTGTGAGTTCTCAAAAACAAACGCAATGTCGGGAAAACCCCATGCTTGGAATGCCTGAAGCTTCGATGATGTGTAAGACAGAGCTCTTTCTTCAAAAGTCATGCATTCGAAAACGACACATTGTAAAAATAACCCTTGTTTCTTACGCAATCTCATGATCTCAGAGATTAAGGAACTGGTTAGAAATTGAATTGAACTAGGATATTTTAGTCACGCCGAAAGTAGCTCAATCTTACGCAGTTCAGCGAATCAATCAAACCCCGCCGCGAACAGCTTTACGTCATTTCCAAGGAACCGCGAGGCTTCCCGATCGCCAAATTCATTCACAAGACGCCCGCTGTGGGTGTGTAATATCGACTTGTATAAAGGTCGGGAGAATTCTTTGATAGAAGGTATTTTTCAACTTTGTTTTTCAACATGGCCTCCAAGCTTCTTAGAATTCTCTTTGTCGTCCTTCTTCTTGCCGTTGCGACGTCGGCCGCGCCTCAATGGGGATGGAGACAGCCGTACTACGGCAATACTTATGGTAATTACGGCAACTACAATGGGTATTATGGCGGAGGCTATGGCGGTTATCATCACCACCATCATCATCACAGTCACAGCCACAGTCACAGTCACAGCCACGAGCATTGGGGCCGTTAAACAGGTGGGAATTTGATGACCAACGAAGTGCCATTGCACTGAAAACTCTATACTACGACATTTCGTCCATTGATGTTGATCCTTTGCTGTTGATTGTTCATATAATAACCTCTTGTCTGATGCATATTAATGTTTGTGTACATACGAGTAAAGATCGCTTAAACTTGACCCGAATTGGACTTGGATTAACTTGCAAATTGCTGAGCCCAGGGTGTGGCCCGATAATGCGGGAGAGGATTATTGTAGGGGAAATTGGAGAAGAGGCTACCGTAAATATGGCCGAGCTTTTTGAGGAGCGTTTTGATGGTTGTTAGAGTTTTTTCAAAGCAATACATGTTGCAGAATTTTAATCAGGGGAGTCTTCAGCTGTTAAAATTATAATGACGCCCACAATACCCCACGAAAGGTCATAACGTCTAAACTGGCCCTTCCTTTTCTCTGTCCCTCCTCGTTTCACTTTCTCTATCGAAAAGTTAGTGCTTCGCTTAGCCATGATTGCAAGCACCAGATCCCGAGTCACGGTTAGCCGTCAGATAGCGATGATGGGCGATTCCAAGGAGGACAAATTATTTTCCCGACAGAATGAGAAAGCCATGCGAGAAGAATTTCGAATATGACGTTTATTTCTCTTTGAATTTCCTGGTGTATTGTCTTCAACATCTCAATCCAGCAGATTTCCAAAACGTTCAGAGGTTTCGTGCACAATATCAATTGACGAACAGATTTTAGATATTAAAATTCGTTTTTTGGGCGACTAAACTGGTCATAGAGAGAAAAAAATCAGCACGGTATTTTCTGCCCAGAAAGCAAGCTTTTTTCCCGGCTAACCAAGGGGAAAACCGCCAAAGATTTTCTAAAAAATTCTATTTGTAACGAAACGCCAATACAATCTCAGTTAGTAAAGAACTAGCTTACTACACTGAATTGACGTGCCTTCTAATCTATCGCTCTCTTCAGGCCCAGTTGAACACATAAAAACAGCAAAACCCTTGTCCGTTTTCAATAATTCTCTAAACAGAAGGTGGGTTGTTCAAACAAAGACAATCTCCAATGTAATCGGCGCGGCTTTTCGCAATGTTTTTTTTTGTCTGTCTATGATCGACAACGACAAGTCAAGTGGATTGGGCGACTGTTTGTCGGCAATTAACAGCCCGTTTCAAGTAATAAACACGACAAATTTGCCTATTATATGTAATATATTTGTCACAAGACGACAGAGAAAAATGTGTTTTGTGACAAACGTCCATCGCAATTATACGATGCATCGTATAACCATTATCATTATTAAATACACATTTTTAGGGACTCAAAACAGATTTGCGGCTCGTGAAGCCCACTCACTACTGTATCATCAGCCCGTCCGCTAAACATTTGGCCAAGGAATAAGCACAACATTAAAGCGGTTTAAAGTTTCGGCCGGCTTTTTAATTTCCTTTTCGTACCGAAATGCGATTATATTACAGCAATATATAATATGCTCAAATATGGGCTCAAACGGCAGATTTTGCCGGAGTGGGGGCATGATGAGGGCTGGGCTAGAGCTAGGTGCATATTCTAAATTTTTTCTTGATTTTTTTGAAATAAAAATTATTTTTTTTGTGGTAATAAAAATATGGCAAAAAAATTCATTTTCTCGGCGCCGATGCGATTTTGGATGCGACAGAGTGCTCATTATTTTCCCGACAGACTGATATATGGCTCGGGGATTACAAATCTTAGAGTGTCCAAAAAATGTGTCATGATGACAACGGTTAAAAATGCGCCAGTAATATCAACAACGGCTGCTTTGACTAGAACTACTTCTCAAAAAATTGGGGCATTACGACGCTTGTGGCTGCGGAAAAAAACCATGAAAAATCTAGAAAATCCGTCATCCAAAGTGCTCATTACACAAACGTAGAACTTAAAAAAAAATTCTGGATACGCTAGGGAGCACTCCTAGTCATATACAGCCGTTGTTTATGCCACTCGCAGATTTTAAAGGGATGTCATCGTGACACATTTTCTGGACATACCAAGATTTATAAGCCCTGTCGGAAAAATAACGAGCACTTTCAAAATCGCATCGCCGCTGAGAAAATGAATTCTCTCGCAACAAAATCGAATTTCTTTCACTTCAGCGACGCAATAGCACTCATTATTTCCCGACATGATGCAGGTGTTAAAGTCGTATGTGTTGGTGACGTTTAGCTGCTCCAATATCGGCTTTATTTGCTTATCAAGCCGCTGTGCCGCCATATGACTCACCCCGACACAACGTGATCACTAGCGTGACTTTTTTTGGGCTTTGTCGACAGTTTGCCCATCTTTCGCAAATCCAACAAGCCAGCGAGCCTGAACTTTAATCTCCGACACCTCTGTTCTTTATCCCCATTGTGATCCGCCCCATCATCCCCAACACACAATGGGGCCGTTTTTGGGGCGCCCGGATCGTCAAACATCCGGCCCTTGGCCGGTCGCCGCCGAACAAACAAGCCCAAACAGTCGCGAGCAAAGGTGCGCCGCGATTGGCTAAAGTGAGCGCTTAATAGAGTTTAAGCACTCTTCGCTGAGTCGTTGAAGCGGATTAGGCCCCGCGAAAAACATATTTGACGCAAGTTTTTCGAGGCACGGCCTACGTTGAACCGATTAGGGTGGCCTAAGCTAGGACCAGACTTTATTAAGGATTTTTGCAGGTGCGGAGATATTGACTTAGAGTTTGCGTAGGCCGAATATTTTCATTGGAATGTCGCGAGTTTGTGGTGTCATTAGGAAAGAGGCCTTTGCCAGTATGCCAAGCAAGATCGACTGTTTTTACTAGGGTCTAAATTTTGCAATTCCAGTTCTCTTTTTTAAATGTTGTTTTTCATCTACAAAGCCTTTCAGTTTTTTCGGCTACTATATATTGCAATTTGCAAACTAAAATTTTTAAACGCGGACCTGTGAAATATCCGCCTGTCGGGAAAATAATGTGGAATCGCCCATTATCGCTTTGCGACAACTAGTCACGGCAGGAGATCTGTTGTGAGACTGCGGCGAGGCTAGAAATTTCGTTGCGACAAATCCACAGTATTTTCCCGACAGGATGATAAACGGGCTTCACATGCAAAGTTTCAGCTAAACCTCTAAACCTGACATGCGTATCGCATCTTCTCTTACGAAGATGGGTCCATTATTGTACATCACCAACAATGTCTTTTGAGTCACCGCTAAAAAATTGAACTACAATTCCTAAGCAGTCATTTTTTGTGCCCGTTTATCAATTAGGCCCGTAATTTCCACGGCTTTTGTATTGTACTTACAAGTGGGGGGTCTCAAGAGTAACGTTCAAGTTTTTGTGAAACTTCGCTGGATTTTGGGCCTTTCCCATATCAATTCCTAAAAGTTTTAGCTTGCGCTTTACAGGTGCTGCCGCTAATGCTCCAAAGAAAGAAACGGCCATACATGGGAACATAAGGGTCGGTAATGATGTTAAATGGTGGATTAGAAACGGTTCAGGCATGAGTTACGGCATCCCACTCGGTTTATGTTTAGACAGTGTTTGGGTGAAAATTTAATAATAAAAGCGGTATTGTTGGGTGCTGCATAAATGAGTTTTTAGTTCTTGATTCCGTATTTGCGAAAGGACAGTGGGTTGGAATTGCTAAATCTGTAAGCTCTTTTAGTTGCTTATCATCCGCGTGTCGGTAAATTGTCGGGAAAATAATGAGCACTTTGTTGCATTGAAAATCACATTGTCCTCATTATTTTCCCGACAAATTTGCTGAAAAACTTTTACGGAGAGAAATGACAAAAAATTTTTTTTCGTGCGCTCTAACTTCCTGCGCAAGTTGCAAACATCCATAAAAATGTCCGATGGTTTTTGTGGCCTCTGGTGGGACACCTAGTGTCGCTACGGACATAAAAAAAAGCTTACAGTTATTTTAATTTTTATTTTTTACTCTTTTATCAGTCTGTCGGGAAAATAATGAGCACAGTTTCGCTCACACTTTCTTAGGCATTTCACGTCGGAACACCGAAAAAACCGGTCGATTTCTAAGGCGCTTTTAACATGTTGATTTTTTTTACAAACTCGAGAGCTCTATCGATCTGTCGGTAAAATAATGAGCCCACTGTCGCTGAGCGTGTCGCTGCACTGAAAAGAAATTTGATTTTCCCGCGACACAGTTCATTTTCTCGACGGCGATACTATTTTCGAAGCAAGACAGTGCTCGTTATTTTTCCGACAGTCTGATAAAGACAGCAGCCATTTTTTTTGAAATCATCAATTCTTGCTCACTTGTCAACCTGAAAATCCTACTGTTCAAATAAATCACAAGCTCGCGTTGTGCATGATGAGCCGGGTCCTGATTTGGGTGACGTCCCGGCTGAACTTTAATGCCATAAAACCTTTATTCCGTCGAACAAAAAACGACGAATAGGACCATGGGATCCGAGGCCAATTCAGACGCACCTATTTGCGGAGCTGCAGCGGATTTTTGAAACTGTTGTAGGGCTTTTTGTTTTATGCGACTTGGCCAACAGTAAAGTCGTTTTTTCGGCCCAATATTTGAGAGGTCGGGTTTGCAGATTTAATTTGTTAAAATTGCATTTTTATTCGGAAAAATTTTAAAATTTGATATATCGCCCAAACATTTCGATAATTGTAGATCATGGATATCAACACGATGGTGGCGTTGCAAGGCTTGAAGGCCTTGCCAATGAGTCTGGCGTCTCCAACGTTGTCCGACAGCGGGATTTTCTCGACGTTCCCGCCCTTGTCTCCCAACCTATTCTCTCCGTTCCCGGTTTTCCCACCTCATCCCAGCACATTCCTCTTCAACAGCCCGCAGACCTCAGTACCTCAAGACAATGGCGGTGAAATTGGACGAAAGGACAAAAGTGAGCATATTTTTGACACTTTTTTGTCTTAAAAAGTTATATTTTTGCATCGTAAAATTAATACATTCAACTAGGGAAGTACCCCAATTGCTCATATTTTTTCGCTCAGATTTTCTTTAAATTTTCGACACATCGTCCGGTATAGAATTGGTACCAATTTCTGAAAGTTTTAGCTCGCGCTTTGCAGGCGCCGCCGAGATATTGAATCATCTTTGCCGCCGAGAGAGAACGCTAAACGCGGAGAGCGGTCATACAGAATAAAACTTTTTGGCCATAACTTAGCCAGTTTCGTGCGGAAAAAAATGATTTTTTGTGTCAACATTACCCTTTACGGTAGAAATCGGCGTGAAAATTTTTATGCTAAAATTCGCAAAGAAATTTTTCCATCTTTTGACATAAAAAAGTCTCAAATTTTCGCCAATTTTTATCTAAAACTCTCGGTCGTTTCTGCAAAACACAAGCTGGGATTCTCGCATTCATTTTAGAAACAAATATTCTAAATCTATGCCAAGTTTCATCAAAATCTGACCGTCGCACATGGCGTACTTCTCCTATATAAGTAATAGTATGTATTTTTTTATGGTTTCAGGTCCCCGTTCAGACCACGACTCGCTAAAGCGCAGGAACAGAACCTCCTTCTCCGACAAACAGCTGAACTGCCTGGAAAAGTCGTTCAGAGACAGTCAATACCCAGATCTCAAAGCAAGGGATCAACTGTGCAAGGACACCGGGCTACCGGAAAGCAAGATTCAGGTGAGAAAAATGCCAAACATACCCATTCCCGTTTGTTAGAGTCATCATTTTTTGGATATCGTTTTGTCGGGAAAATAATGAGCAATTTGTCGCATCGAAAATCGCATCGCCGCTGAGAAAATGAATTGTGTCGCGGCAAAATCAAATTACTTTTTCACTTCAGCGACACAATTTAGCGAGATGATGCTCATTATTTTCCCAACAGGCTGATATTTGTTTTCTGCTTTTGACCGAGCCATAAGCGTGGATTTTGCAAAGTTTCCTTCATAAGGCTACAAGTACAGGTCATAACTATTTATTTGCTTCCAGGTCTGGTTCAAAAATCGACGAGCAAAGCATCGCAAACATTTGAGGAATCTGCCACTGCAAGAGACCAAAGAGAATGGCGAGAGCAACAACGCAAAGAGTACCTCACCGACGGTGATTTGTAAGTATCTCTCGGGTTAATAAGTTCATTAGAAAAAAACGCCTTTCCTTCTAAGGCAAAGTAAATTATATAAAAATAATTTCAGCGTGGACCCCCGAAACCATAGCAAATCTATGTAACCCGATGTTCTTCAATTTCACTCCAACTCTGGGTGAGACTTCGCCGACCCATACCTAACAGTCATCTGTGATTTTGCTGATAAGATACCTGTACCACTCAAAATGATCTATTGCGTAATTCCCGAGGTAAAAAATTGTTCTATGACTGCTATATTGAGTACAAATAAATTTAATTACAGTGCTTGAGCTGGCCTTGATCAAGTGCAATGTACTTTCGTAGGCTGAAAGGTAGCAACTTGTCGGGAAAATAATGCGAAAGTGTCATGTATTGGAATCGCCCATCATCGTTTTTTTGACGGCTAGCCAAGGCTGGGGATCTGGTGTGCGACTGCGCCCTGCCGTATCGCAAGTCGCATCGCTGCCGAGAAAGCGAATAGTGTTGCGAAAAATTCAGATTGATTTTCACTTCGGCGCCGCAATTGGCGCAGCGACATTGCGCGCATTATTTTCCGCTAGCGTTTTTTTTTTTTTTTTTTTTTGATTGGTTGCCTTTCCTCTCCACTTCCCACAATCGTGAAGTCGCAAGTGCTCAATCCACGTCAAGAAGATTCTTTTAGGAAATGGAAAAGACATGGAATCTCGGATCATTGATCTTTTGCGAAGTGCCACAGTTTATCGAGCTCGAAAAATTATTTTTCTCTTCGAAGAAAACAAACTTTTTTCTTTGGTAAAGTTTGCTTTTGCGGCTCGATAATTCGGTGACATTCAAAAATCAATGATCGAAGATCCCTTGTTTTTTCACTTTTTTTGACGTGCAATGTATCGCCGGCCTTTTGATCCCTTGTGCGGAAATTTGAAGACTTCCCGGTAGTTTTAGCATCCTAATAAAGTGCTTAAAGATCGGTGTGATCATTAAAAAAGCGATCAAAGGTCTCCACCGAATACACTTTAAGCATTGACGCAGAGAAAAAGTTTTTGCGCTAAGAACCGCTCATTTTCTTCTTTCTACTTCAAAAAGAATTTTTTGAACATTCTAGGCGCACAGCAACTGAATATCGTTGCTGTGCGCCTAGAAGTCGAAAACCTTTCCGGGGAATCTCTATGGACATCCTGTACGGTCACAAATTACTGGGAGTAGGCTTAAGCCTTCATGAAATCTTTTTCAGTTGGAAATTGTTGGGAAATACACTTTTGCGAAGTGCTAGGCGCTAATCTGACAAGTTTAGAAGCATTGGTTATTACTCTAACTAGTTCCGTCCAAAAGAAATGTTTACAAATACATTAACCCCGAAAGCAGTGGATAAGAAATTAGCCCCGATATGCTTCGCCCGCGATATACGTGAGCAATACGTTCAAGCAGGCAAACCGCCTCAATGCACAGTGAATCAGTTTGATTGCTGAAGAAATCTGCTGACTTCCAAGAGAATTGGCACGAGTGTTTCACAAAACTGGTTTCACTCCGCGGCCGCTTGAAAATGCGCTTATCAACGGATTTCACGGAGTTTATGACGCGGTCACGGCTGGCAGTTTGGTTACGCCGGGGATCACACTTGCGACGGCATTATCCGGCCCTATTCTCGGCGTGGACAGCCTACCGTAGTTGCTACGAATGGCCGAGGAGGACAAGTGTCCAAGTCTTATTGCGTTGCAGTCTCTGAGCAACCTGCAGTTCTCCATGTATTGTACCACGTACACGGTAGCTCAAACGACCACGACAGCTACGATGTGTGCGTCCTCCGCAGAACCTGGGGGAGCACTACAGGCTCCGTTCGAGTTCAGCGGCCTTAAAGCTAGCGATGTGGCTTCACATTCCAACCAACTCCCAAACCAAAGCGCCAGTGTGGCTTCACTTCCCAACCGAAAAACGCGAAATTCTTGCGGTAAGTTCACAAACAGTACTTATACTCCCGGACATTAATTTCTGACCACCCATATCTGAAGTGAATGTAACGCAATCAATTTGAAAATTGGCATGTGTACTAGTCATGACAGGCAGGATGTGCCACATAAAATTGTTTTTCGTGTCTCTGTCCTTAGGCGAGTTATGCAGGTTTTACAAAGAAAGTACGTTTTAAAAATTTTATGAGACCTTCCACTGTTAGACGGGACATACCTCAAAAAATACTCCAGATCACGGTGATTTGGAATACTTTAGCAAAAAGTGTTTCTTGAGCTTCTGCGACATTATAAACAGGTCTACGTAGACCCCATACTTTTACTGATTCTTTAATGAAATTTCAGCCAAACGAAAGGATGATGGTAGCCACCGTGCTCGAAGCAACTTCAACGAAGCGCAACTCATGTGTCTAGAGAGATCGTTCGATGCTTCGCCATACGCAAGCCTTCTAACCCGTGCGAAGCTGAGCTATGAGACAGGGATCTCCGAAGCGAAAATTCAGGTAAGGAAATGGTTCTTTCACGGATAGCAGGGTTTACAAACCTCTAAAGAAAAGCGTAAATGTAAAAGAAATTTCGCGAAGTTTGACAATTTTGTGGAAGACTTGGAAGAAGATGTGTTAATACGGAAAATTTACGTCGACGGGCACAGCACCTTCGCTGCCAGGGCGCTGAAACCTCCGGTAAACATCTACACACACGTAAAAAATATTGGTACATCTAACAGGGGAAGTAGCCCTTAGATTTTCTTTGAACTTTGCACACGTCGGGCATCGACCAGGTATAAATTCCTGAAAGTTTTAGCTCGTGCTTTGCAAGCGCCGCCGCGATATTGAACGATCTTTGCCGCCGAGAGAGCACGCTAAACGCGGAGAGCGGTCAGAAAGAAAACCGCTTTTTGGCGATAACTTTGGCAGTTTCGTGCGGAAAAATTTGATTTTTTGCAGAAACATTATCCTCTAACAAGGGAAGTCACTTTTTTCGCAGACGGACTTTGGAACGAGACCTAGTAGGTTTCAAACGTGAAGCGCCTGCGACCATAAAACTTATCTCCAAAAGTGTTTACGGGACTTCTCTGCCGAGAAAATCGACCGCAAAGTTTAGCCCAAATGGGCGAATAGCCTCCCCAAAAGAAACAGCTTATTTCATCTGCAGTGGTGGCCGAGCGGTCAGTGCGCTCGCTTTTTGCGCCAGAAGACGTGAGTTCGACTTCGGCCGTCTGCGGATGCATTTCTTTTGGCCATTGAAATAAATAGCGAAATGCCGTTAACACCGCATGTGCTAACTATTAGCAATTTTTAATAAAACACGAATTTAGAAACTATATCTTCATTAACCCAGGTCTGTTTTGACTTTACAATATTCATGAACATTCAGCTTTGAGTTTATGTTTAAATAACTGTAAAAAAATTTAAAAAGTGTATACATTTTATGTTTACACACTAAATCAATATTTACGAACCAAAAAAGAAAATAAACTGCGCAGAGGATCGAACCCGCCTCTTCTGGCGCAAAAAGCGAGCGCACTGACCACTCGGCCACCACTGCAGATGAAATAAGCTGTTTCTTTTGAGGAGGCTATTCGCCCATTTCGGCTAAACTTTGCGGTCGATTTTCTCGGCGGAGAAGGCCCGTAAACACTTTTGGAAATCAGTTTTATGATTGCAGACGCTTCACGTTTGAAACCTACTAGGTCCCGTTCCAAAGTCCGTCTGCGAAAAAAGTGACTTCCCTTGCACGGCAACCCAGGGAGTCTCCCGCCTCGTTTCGGCACTTCGCCCACCTAGTATCGGTTGAATTAAAACGAAATGTCAAAAATGAATTTTTCGTGTGGTTTTCCGACCGAAAAATATTTTTCTCGGAATTATTTTATTTCTTTTGTGAATTTTGACACTTCGTTTGGACGAAATTCAAAAGTGGGCGGGAGACATTTTTGTTCTATTTTGGGTTGCCGTGCCTTGTAAGGTAGAAATAGGCATGAAACTTTTCATGCTGAAATTCAGTAAAAATTGTCAAATTTTCGCCAACTTTCGATTTAAAAATCTCAGTTGTTTCTGCAAAGCGCGAGCTAGGAATCTCGCATATATCTTAGAAAAAATTATTCTAAATTTGAGCCAAGTTTCATCAAAATCTGAGCGGAATACTCCCCTGTAAGTTTCTGCAAAGTTTTATCAAGCGCCATATTTGGAGCAATCCCTCTGTAAAATACAGTCATACATAGCACGCAGCAAGACGAGTTTTTCGGGGGCTAAGTTTTCTCCGATTCGCTTGTTATTATTTATCATCTATAGTGGTTTGCTTTGTTTGCAGGGATGGTTCAAGAATCGTCGAGCCAGACTTCGGAGGACTGCCAGTGATTTTCACTCGTCAAACTCCGCCATCGATTACACTTCACCCAAGGTTACGGAAATATTTTCAATGCTACGCTTTTGTTAAAGGCTATAATACTGTGTATATTCAACGTGGTTCGTTCACACCACGATAAGTACCACTACTTGGAAACCTGAGACGTATACATATGTTTGAATCGCACCATTAGCTTTACTTGTGATAAATATTAATCAATCAAATGTTTCTTGCTCAGCGTACCTTTTGTGAAGATGCTGTCAAGTCTCGGCCGGTCGGTATTTATTAAAATTTTTTTGCCATGTCAGACAGCGAGGTCCCAAGGCACTTTCCTACTATAAGTCCACATTATTTGCCAGACAATTAAGTGTAAAAGAAAACATTTTTAATACTGCCTTAGTGCTCCTAGGCTGGTTTAAAATTTTAAAAGCCGAGCCCAGCCCCTGAAAAAATCTTTTGAATAATTTGAATGAAAATTTTCCGCCATTTTGGCAATATTTTTGGCATTATGTTTTATGGCCCGTTTAGGGGTTGCAAGCAACACTTCGGACAGCAAAAAAATGTTTTCGATCCGCATGGAGCCACAAATATATCTCGTTGCATAATCCCAAGAACCCAAAATTGGCATCCCAATTTTTCGGTTGAAAGCGAAATTTTCCTTCCCAGAAGTACCTTCCTAGAGGGTGTAGAGCCAACCCAGCCCCAGAAATTTATCGGTGCGGGCCGGCCCTTATTGGAATTTATGAAGCTCGGCCTGACACGTCTGAGATTTGTGGTTGAAATCCTTCAGCAACACATTGGGGGATGGTTAGATAATCTGTCAACATTTGGATCATTAGTCATCGCACAAGTGTTTTCATAAAATCTTTTAGAAAGCCCTTTTTAAGCCGCAAAAGACATCCCGCCGCCACAAAACAGTATTCCAACCCGGCGTCCTGGATTTGGGTCGGCTAAGAGCGCGCCGAAACATGAAAGTCCACGGTGAATCGGTTTAGAAGACTGTGTTACCTCGGACGAATACTTGTTATTATTATTTTCAAAGATATAGTATTTCATTTCCCAATCGGCCAAATGCGCTTATCAGGCCTGCAAAAGGTTTATGATGCACTTAGGAGTGCCAGTGTTTCGAATCGCGGGCCCTAAGTTACACAACCTTCTTCGTCTTTGGCGAACACACCTACCGTAGTCCATCCCTCCATCCACATGGAGGCCCAGACTCCGGAACTCACGGCGCTGAGATCGATGAGGAACCTGCAGTTCTCGTTATATTGTATGACGCATACCGAGTCCTCAGCCAAGATGGTTCCCATGCCGTTACTGCCCAGAATTTACCCAATAGCTGAATTACCACAGTTTGCACTCGACACGATTCCTAAGGAAACGGCTACAAGTCTCAACACCGCTCCACATGACGACGCGGAAACACATGGCTTCTATGGTATGTTGAACTATATTTGTCGACTGATTGGAATTGCAGTAAATCGGCTGCAGAAAAAGACGCGCATTCGTTGCGAACGGAGCCATTTCACCGGCTCACAACTCAGCTGTTTGGAAAAAGCGTTCAATGTTTCGCAGTACGCCGATATTTCAACAAGGTACAAGCTGCACATGGAAACGGGAATTCCGGAGGCGAAAATTCAGGTAGGCCGGTCTTTTCATACATTCTTAGGCCACCCGAAAAACCCCCAAAAAAATGGAGCAGATTTCTGCCCAGATTTATTGGCACACCTTGTGCATATCGATATGTAGTGTATGGTGGGCCACTCGAAACTTCCAACGTTGAAGTTTGGAATCAAAATTTAATTTCAAAAGTCAATGCAGAGCCTCCGTCAATGTAGACACGCCGCATTTGGCGTAAGAATAAATGACGGTTAAATTTTTTACATTGGGGTGCCTCAATTTGTTCTTGTGTGCATGGAGAAGGCTTGGATCGATCAGGCCCAGGAGAGTTTAGCACCTTTTTTTAAGGTGTTTTTCATGTCATTATGCAATCCGAAGATCCGTAAGTTAAAACTAACGGAGCTTTGTTGTATGGGGTAAGTTTTGATCTTTTCCCCGCGACAATTACTCAGCATTCGGTGACTTTCACAGGCCTTGCACGTCAAACTGACAAACGTGAAGCGTCACAAAACTGAGTCCCAAAAGTGTTTACGGGGCTTCTCGACCGAGAAAATCGACCGCAAAGTTTAGCCGAAATCAGCGAATAGCCTTTTTTAGAAAATGTATCTTCATTAACCCAGGCCTGTTTTGACTTTACAACATTCATGAACATTCAGCTTTGAATTTATGTTTAGGTTGCTGCAAAAAAAATTAAAGAAGTTTATACATTTTATGCTTACATACTAAATCAACATTTACGAACCAAAAGAGAAAATAAACTGCGCAGAGGGTCGAACCCGCCCCTTCTGGCACAAAAAGCGAGCGCACTGACCACTCGGCCACCACTGCAGATGAAACAACCTGTTTCTTTTGAGGAGGCTGTTCGTTCATTTCGGGTAAACTTTGCGTTCGATTTTCTCGGCCGAGAAGCCCCGTAAACACTTTTGGATATCAGTTTTATGATGGCAGACGATTCACGCTTGAAACCTACTAGGTCCCGTTCCAAAGTCCATCTGCGAAAAAAGTGATTTCCCTTGTGAGGAGCCCGGTGACCGGAATAAACTCTTCGGGTTTTTTACACTTCGCCTTGATTTCACAGAGAAGAAAAGACGCGCAAAAACGTACTCTCTCGCCCCAAAAATTCCCCATTTCTTCATCGAGAAAGTCTTTTTTTGGCGAATTGCCAATTCATTCACCGGACCGTTTCAGTTTGACGTGCCTCATATGCGCCTCGCGCTACCTTTTTTGACTCTCTGTCCTAGGCCTTGACTCAATCAACTCTTTGTTTGACCCGAACTGGCTTCGATCAGAAAATTCAGGACGCGCAAAAACGGGGTGTCTCAACTTCAATTTGCTATAAATTTTATAGAAATTGGTGAATTACATTTGCGGAGAAATACCCGAAACATAGTTGGAAGTTTCGAGAGACCCTCTCTTAGTCATACATATAGATGATACATTAATGATCTGCAAAAATAATTGTTTAGGTGTGGTTCAAAAATCGTCGGGCCCGACTCCGCAAGACCGAAAGGGAGTCCATGTTGTCGACGATGGTGGAATCACAGCTCAGGACGCGCACTTAACACATGTCTACGATGACAATTCTTGTCTCTTTTGTATCTCTGGCACATTCCAAGGAAATGATGTTTTTGGCAAAAATTTTCTTCACGTCAACGTTGCGATTCATAAATCTTGTTGATAGTTTTTTTTCACGTCATCTGCTTACTTCCGGAAACATTTCTTTGCCTTTTCACCTCCAGGATACAAAGTTTTGGAGGGAGGGCAAAGATTACGTAAATTCATGGTTTATCGCCAACACTCGAGTATAATAAAAATCGCTGTTTCAACGCGGAAATTGAACACTAAAAAATCCTATTTTATTATTAATATGGGACCAAAAGTTCTTCCTCGATCTTTCCGTTTCGTTTTCCAGATGTCTAGGCTAAATGTTTTTATTTCTTTTTCGTTTCTTGAAATTTTTTTGTGATCAACTTGAAGATCAAGGTTCGGGTTGTTCGAAGGTCTATTGTTGATTCTATAAAAGTTTATTCTATTTGTGGGCATTTCAACGCATGTTGTAATACTCAATTTTTTTGAGGCGTTGTTACACAAGACCAAAATGATAAGAATCGTGGTCGGACGATCTGATTAGAACAAAATATCCGGCAAACAGAGTAAGGCCAACGGATCTGAATAAAATGGTGAGACTTAGTGGTTGGTGAACTTTTGTCTTCCCTGCATTTTCTGACTTACTGTATTCCAATATTGGCAATTGTAAATTATGTATATCTCATAAGAGAAGAACCGCAACCTCGACGCTCAAATTGGATCCAAACAGCCCTTCTCCTGTAACTTTACATAATTCCCGCTCTTCAACTACGCATTCGCAGCGGCCAGATTTCCATCCCAGTGCAAGAAACCACAAGTCCAACGGGGCTCGGCCAAGTTTTGCGCAATATCCGATTATTTCCGCCATAACCTCACGGGCCGCGTGGAGGGCCGGGGAATGCCTTGAACCGCGAGAGAGGACGAAATGACACAGCGAATAATTGCAACAATACTTTTGTTGGGCCGCTTTTGTTTGTAGAAAAATTGCCATGATATGTGTTATATTTACTGTAGTCGAACGGGAAGTTTCATTAATTGCAAGGGGGTTTTTATTGCCTTTACCCAATATTGTAGGTTTTTGGGCCAAAAGGAGAAATCGTTTTAGATCCTCAAGGCGTGCTTTGTCCATGTCTGCCCTAAATTTCTAACGAGGGAATTCGTATTCCGCAGCTGGAAAATGGCTCTTTTTACCAAAGTTGACCTGCTCTATCCACCTGTACTAGTCATTTTTGGAAACGCTGGGAGAAGTTCAGACCATTCCCTTGTAAAATTTCTTTTGTGTTTTTCAATATCAAACTTTGCTCATGGAGTACTTCCCATGTTAAAAGAGACTCTTGGAATCCCTGAGATTGCTCGTCAAAAACAAGTTTAATTGTATGGGCGTCCATTGTAGACGCTCCATGGCACCTTCTATCAGTCTGTCGGGAATATAATGAGCGCAATTTTTGCTGTGCCAATCGTATCGCATAAATTGAAAAGGAACTTCATTTTATCGGGCCACAATTCATTTTCTCGAAGGAGATGCGATTTTCGATGACATAGTGCTCATTAGTTCCTCGATAGACTGATGCATAACGAAAAGATTGTTTGTTCAAGATTATGTGCCAAACTTTAGCTTGCTTCTACGTCGACTATTCAAAACCTAAGCGTTTTTTGCAGCGTCATAGCTTCAAGCCTCAACTGGTTATGCTATTTTCGTTTGATAGATGTGTTCTTGTTGGCCTATACTTTCAAACCATCCTTAAAATTTTCTGCGTCCGCAAATACAAACAAATGAGTATTTATAATAACGTTCGCGTCCTTTGAACATTTCGTCCCATGAAATTTTGCTTTATCATTTTGCAACATGCTTCTTTTTTTCTGAAAATCCAAAAATCCAAAAGTAATGTGGATGCAACATTCCTGTAATTAATCGCTAACTAAAATGATTAATATTTCTGTTGTAGGAACCGTGGTATTTCCAGTTGAGGGGCTTTTACTCGGACTGTAAGATCATAGACATGTTCGGGTTGCTGTAAAGGCATACATTTTAGAAGTTTAAATTTTTACAACCAAAGAACTGACAATTTGTGAGCAGTTTTGCACATCAAAAACCAAACAAAAATTTCGATTTATCACAATGCTCACACGTACTACCATTTATAAAAATCAAAAGTTGTGAGGTCAGAACGTGATGGCACAACACATGGTGAGAATTCACATGTTTCTAACTTTGCCCCTTAATTAGTCACAGCTCAAATTGCTTGTTCAGGACCACAAATTCGTTTTATTTCAACCCAACGCCTCCAGATGTGTTTATTGTCTTGTTTCAGTTTTTGGAATTTTTTTAATTTGTGGATAAATTAAAAAAGTTTTCTTTGGCTTTCAATTCGCATTTTGTATATTTTTTTCGCTCATGATATGTTTGCCGAGAAAGACAAACTTCGTTTTTTTTTTGATGCAGAGTGTGTACTGGCCATTGGAGATTCAACAAGGCGCTTGCTGAAAACATTTTTTTATAATCACAGGGAAAAAATTTATTTTACAGTACTCCTCAGTAAAATCGATTTTTTCAAACAAAGCTTCTTTTCCATAAAAAAGCCCATTTTTGCAAGAAAAATGGTCCCCAAAAAAACTCGACTTGCTCTCATCATTGGAACTTGCGTGGAGGTTTCAATTTATGCAGAAGGCCTCAACGTCTTCGTCCTGGAATTATTATTCATAAGCCCAATTGTTTTTCCAAACATTCCGGGCATGATGAGGGCCTTATTTCTTCTTTTTTGTCTCGATCGTCCTAACCGAGGAATGTCAAAAATTGCGGGGTGGAGATTGGTGTAGATGATACATAATTAACTTTTTATGATTCTTAAGAAATTCTTTTTACTCTGTAATGGCTGTCAAGACTTAGCTCTAAGTCGAGGTATAGGATGGCCCCTAACTTGCCCTCTACTCCTAGTGTCCACTGCCCCTACTAACCCGGAGACACAAATATAGAACTCTAGCAATAAAACTGTGGACTCACGCAAAATTGATTCCACTTTGTATCGACACGACCGGACTGGATCAAACGGAAATTCCAACAATTCCAAAAATATGTTTATTTCACCAACGAGTGACCGAAAAGCGGTCGATCTAAAATATAATAATTAATAGGGTTTGGGGTTTCTTTTTTCTTTTGCTCCGATTGACTTGATTTTTGGCATGGGGGTTGTCTTAGATGCTCTCTTTGTGAATTTGAAAAAAAATTTTGAAATTTTCAATTTTGAGTGACCTATGACGTCACAAAAAGTAAAAACTTTGAGCTACCATATCTCGCTTCGTTTTATAGGTATCGATTTGAATTTTGGTTTCGTCGCGTATGGTACATAATGGGACAATCACTGTCGAGATTTTTTCGAAATTTCAAAATTTACGAAAAAAATCTCAAAAAAAGACCTTTTTTCGTATCTTTTAATTAGACCGGGGAATATTGAAATGCAAGCTTCTACAGGTCCATATCGGGAAAGCAAATTCATAACTAAGAGATAACTCCATGTATGTGTAGATACGGCCATGTACAAACTTACACTTCCAGAAAACCCCGTTATGATGACGGAATTTCTGGATTTTTTCGATTC